CCTAAATATGTTGTTCTGAATTTATTTTATAAAAGGTACTGCATAAGTGCCCTTACCTTTTATATGTTTATTTCTATTAATAAATTAATAATCCTGTGTAAATTAGATCATGTGAAATTCAACATCAAAAGAGGAAACTTTAAAGAGCTGCAAAATATGCTGTACTCCACAATCTGATATAAGGTATTGATTGTATTATATTTTGTTATATAAACGTGTACACTTAATTTATTTCACGGTGATATAGTGGCATGCAAATAAACACACATTTTTTTTTTTATTGCCAAAAGCAGAAAGTTAATAATATACCTACCGTGAATAACCTATCTTATTACACCGCTGATTCTTATTGGAGTTTATTTTGAAGGTACTAAAATGATATATACTTATATGTGCAAATAGGTATCTGAATTTTATTGCATCTGTTTTTCAAACTTTCTTTGCCAACTATTAACTGATTTAAGACAAAAGTTTTTAAAGGAGTCGGAGTTCAAATCGAGGCTATAGATCTTTTAACTCTCGCACATACACAAAACAAACAAATACTTTACTCCATTTGAGTTTGTTCTTTTCCGCTTCATAAGGTAAATAGAATTTTCGTAAGTTTGCCGAGATAATATTTTTAAATATGATCGAAACCAATTTATTTGCCAAATAAATGAGACGTGGATGAAAATAATATTATATAACCTCCGAATTTCATTTAAAACACGTGGCAAAAACAATTGTTTTTTTATTTATTTATGATTTAATTGGTCTTGCTTTGATTTTTGCAATTATTATTTAGACATTACACCAAAATACATTTGTCAACAAATTCGAACTCGAAAATGCATTAAGTCGAGCCTAGTGCGAGTTTTCGAAAACATAGTAACAAAGACAAATCACACGTTTACCATACTCGAAAAGTTAGTCCTAACATATATACTATCTGATTATCTAAGATAATATGCTTCATAATATAAATGCCCCGTTGAAGTAATAATTATTAAATTCTAGCCAAAACTAGCTGATTATAATATATGATGTTTTAAAACAAGATAAATCATATTATAATTTATAATGTGCAACAATGCAATGACGACAGTGTAATGGTCAGTATTAATCGTGTTTTTTGGTTTACACTTTATTTAGAATTAATATTTTAAGCCATTTAAAAAGATAACGACAACTTGAAACATTACTCAATTATTATTTGTTTCTGTCCGCGACAAGGATCTTCCAGCAGTTTAGATAGAAATCGTTTTTGTTTAACGTTTTATTTTAAAAGTAAACGATCAAATCAATTTGAAATCAAAATATATCGTAATGTATTATTGTGCACACAAATCATACCGATTAAATCCTTAGTATTATCAAAAAAAAAATGTTATTATCGTGGCAGGTGTTTTTTAATAACACTGATAAATCAAAATGGGTTAGTTAATGTACCTATAGTGGAAATATTATCGCTCAAATTAGTTAATACAATCAAACATGCCAGTTTTATAATAATACCATGTTTAGCATTTACAATGGCTTTAGATTATCGGCCTAGCTCGCTCAATAATATATTATTCATAATACTATATATATATATATATATATATATATATATGTATGTATATGTATGTACACCAGTATATATTATATAATCTGTTTGATGTCACCTGTAAAATGAAATGATATATTACATTATCTATGTTGCATGAAATACTAAGATCATAATCCTAGTTTGCCATTTCCATAAACCACAATTAACGTTGTTATAAATGGTCGATTTTCGGTTCACATAATATCTCAAATTCTACTATGAATTTGTCGACAGTACTTAGACCGAGTTAATTCAGAAGACCTGTTTAGTGCGATTATTGATCAAATGAAAAATATAATCGCTATAATAAACACGGTACAAATCAATCCTTATTTTCAACAAACGTACTCTTGATATACTTACATGTATAAAGTGTTGCATACGTGCAGTTGCATATTCATAACAAGAAATAATTTTTTTTTTTAATACAAATCAGTCAAATGAACGTTGTATACAAGTTGTCATTGTAAGTTTTTACGGATAAAATTATTTATTTATTTATAAAAAAAACACGTTTGATGACGGTGTACGTTTATAACGAGTATACAATTTATTTATAATAAACATGCTTTGTATATTGTGTATCTTTATAAATATAACATCTAAATGGGCACGCCGACGTCCATATAAAACTCTTTAATATCGATCTTGCCAAAAACCAGAGACGTCTTTTAACGTCATTTACAATAAACTTGCTGTTTTATTTGCACCCATCTCGTTATAAATTAGTATACATTTGACTTAACATGCATACTTGAATAATAATTTATTTCCATTCGATTACTCTGATCTATTAAAAAAAAAAAGTTCAACGAGTAAAAATTATTACAGTATGACGGTAATACGTTCATGGCGATTTGCGATTTTAATAGCCACGTTAATGAGATTACAATCGAAGATAGGCTAAAAGTATGTGATAGTCTTTATATAAAAAAAAAAAAACATTTCCATTTTCTATGTAGTTTATAATGCCATTAAAACAAGTAAATTTATAGGCGATTTATGAATGTATTGATTTTGAATATATTATTTGGCCGACCCCATGTAGTTGGGAGTGTAAGGAGAAGACGAAGAAGATTGATTTTGAATATCTGGCCCCGGTCAAGTATCCCATTTTATTTTATTACAACTTGGATGTTCTTCGTTTTCCCAACATAATAATAACACAAAATTGAAAATACTATTACAAAATCGTTAATATATCGTTACACTTCAAAAGTTATGAAAACACATTCTACTCTAAAACGTGAATCTGACATTAGTTTTCAAAACAGATATAGATTTTTCAATACTTCCGTGATGTGTCGATCGAAGTACATTTTTTATTTATAAGAGATGAAAAAAAAATACCAAAATAGATATCTCTTTCCGAGTTTACAAATTTTAACTTATCGTGTAATTTAGTAAAAAATTGCCTATACGATGCGCCTTAATGAATTCTAGTGTAGAGGCTCTTTAAGGGTTTTCCGCATGCCAACGGAAATCACGTGGTATATGTTGATTTTTATAATTATTTATCGAGTTATTAAACAGAAAATCTTGAATTTTAAAGTTGTAAAAAAATGTTCTATCTCCACACTATACGGGGTTCAAACGACATTAAAGAGCAATTATTTCGATATTATTTATAACACGTTTATTACCCGCTTGGTAATTATGTAAAACCGCGATTGGTTTTTTTCTGGTTGCTTATTAAGTTTTTGTTACATAACAACAACATTAGTTTTAAACATCAAAACAATATCACATTATTAAGGTATATCCTTAATATTTTTCTCGTGTCTGTGTAATTTCGTGTAATATAGTAAATACTAAGCGTCCAGTTTATAATAAATACCAAATACCACACTCAACCGGCCAACCGCCTACGACGGAGATAATTACGACCAAAAAAAAAAAACTAAATAAATAAAAAACAAAAATCCGTATAATATGGCCTGTCTAACCGGTTCGAGTGAGTGTTTGACGTCGAGTAGGTATATATAACACAATAAAAAATATATATATATATATATATATTTACAAAAACCATAATAACGGTAACTACCACTTCAGCTGCCTTTCCTTCCAACACTGCTTGGCACGGTCAGACGTTTACACTTGAGGTACACGTTTGTTGTGGAATATTATTAAACGTGTCTCGAACAAAATAACAACATACTTTCACAGCGTCGCGCGAAACGAAATTCAGTCCAAGTCTCCTCGGCCAGAAAACAACAGTATAATTTGACGACCAGAGCAAAACTCGAGCACCCGATAGGGAAACTGGACGGCGAGAAACACAGGAAATTCCTTAGGAAGTCCTATACAATCTTAGGTATCCGAGTAGGATCTTAGGTTTCGGTCACGAGTTCAAGGCCGACGACGATTATTTTGCACTACCTGGTTGGCCTTGTGTTTCCGAAACAACAGAATTTTCGACATTATACAGATTTTTTTTTTTTTTTGGCAGCCTACTCTCGAAAATCCAGTCAGGCGTAACAAGGGTTATAATAATTACTTGCAATCACTACAAGCTACTTATTTAGTAAATTTGAATTTCACCCAACTGAAATAAAGGTAATAAAAACAGCCAGCACTAGAATTACACGTTTAAAGTCCATTAACGAGCAATAACAAGTCGTGTGCAAAAAATAAACCATGTATCGTCAATTAGTTGACTTGGTAATAATTTTTTACGCTAACGTGGCGGGTTCTAAAACCGTATTGGAAAGGACACGTTCTACATCGCCTCTGGGCGTCATTAATAAACCAAGTGGAAGTAGTTATTCATTTTTTTTGAGAACGAAATGTTACCTATCTACCAGTGCAACGAGTAAATTTCTTCCCATTTGACGACAACACAAGAAATTAAAAACCATAATAATAACAATTCACTACTATATACCATTCGGATTAATTTTTTTTAGCTTTGATGTACTAATATTGGTGTACACTGTACTTTATTTGAATTTATTGTTTATGGTATAGCTATTTGACTGTTTAATATCTTTTATTCTAAAATCACTCACAACCCTGTAAACACACATCTATAATAGTCCATCCTATATTAAAGTCTAGATACAACTAAAAATATCTCTTCATTTAATATAAATTACTGTTATGAACAACATCCAGAGATTACTCAATCACTTCCAACATATAAACGTCGTAGTTTATAATTGATTAGGAAATTACAGTTATTAAACTACTCCGAGATTACAGATTATTATACCAGTACAATCATTATTTATTTGTTTCTCCTAACAATTCGTAATTATCATTAAATATAATTGTTTTTTTAATTTTAAGGAAACAATATTTATGTGTAAGGTTCTAAATGAAGATCAACGCAGATTTGATTCACGCAACAAAAGATAATACAATATATTTATGAGGAAAAAAAAGAATTAAAAAAAAACCAACATTAATAATCACAATTTTTTAAAATAATAATTAACTAATATTGTATTTCTGTCCCATTACCTAGTTGAAAGCCTTAAAACTAATTATATAATAATAAAAATATTAATTAATAATAGTTAAAAAGCAATTGTATTGGTAATTTAACATAACATTTGTCTAAAAATAATATTCATTTAATAAATTTAATACCAAAAAAAAAGCCTTAAGGTAAAAAGAAGACTACCTTAACCAAACAAAATGCAAATGGAATCCAGATGTCGTACTACCACCAGCGAGTAGCGAATACCTCATGACTAGTGGAACTGTAGCAACCTATCATAAAGAACTCTTGTTGCGCTAACCAATTTAATATTTTCATTTAATAAGACTCCTCATCACTCGAAACAAGAATTACTCGCTCTGCTTCTCGCCTGCTTTTCACAGCCGATGTCGGCAGCTCATTAATCCATTCAGATGGAGCAGAGCGCTTTTCAGCTTTTGTCCAACTGTCGTCAGATTCGGGCACATAGTAATCTTCCATAGTTGTCCTCGAATAATCATGATCTTTCTTGGACGACAAGCGCTTGAAATCTAAAAGCTCTCCAAGTTCGGCCATTATGGGATCACGTTGTCCATCAGCCGATGAACCGTTAGCTACCAAAGCCAACATTTCTTTTAAGTCGGTACTTAATGGAGTACCCGATTTAGAGAAAAGCAGATTTCTTGAACGCCCTAAAAATATACAATTTATTGTTGTATCCAATGTTGTTTAAATCTTTTAAGTAATGACACATACCTGAAACGGCTGAACTCGTTTCTTGTCCTTCTATGGACAACAGGTCTTTTTCGTCGGACACAGAAGACCTCAAATTAGGCGCAGCGATTAAAGCTAGAGACATCATCAACACGAGCAGACAAGTGGCGGGCTGCGCCGTGGTACCGCCTGGAGCAATGACATTTTGTAGACGTTTGAGTGCAGCCTTTAAGCGTTCGTTTTCAGTCTGCAGAGCGCGCACATTTTTCATCAACTGGCTGTTTTCATCAGAGCATTGCTTAACTCTGAATTCATATTTATGTTAAATAATTGTTTTCGAAAAAAAAAAATAATTCTATAAAATTGAATTGGATATATTATTCTCACCTTTCTTCAAGACCGTCGACATACTCTTTCTTTCGTTTCCTTGAGTCTTGTGCTGATATTTTATTACGTATCTTCCGACGAATGCGCTTTAAATCTCTTTCTTCGTGTTTAGTCAGCGGATAATGTGACGGTAATTTCACTCCTTCTTTTTCCATTAATTTTCTCTCTTCATCTAAAATCAAAATATAATGTACTTATTTTTCAAAATAAATGTTTAATAAATGTATCAACTTATGAAATGCAAATATATGCATACTCATTAAACCTACACACGTGAACAAGGCTTAATGTGAAGCGTAACCATTCATTTTATCCTTTAATCAATCGGGTATTAAACTATGCTTTTTTAGTATAACAAAGTTATAGAATACTTGGAATAGTTTCAGGATATCAAAAGAAAGAAAAAATAACCAGTTCAGTTTAGAGTTGATTTAGTTTTTCTGTTATAACTTATTTTATAATAGAATCATTTTTTATGACTAAATAGATCAACAATCTTATGACCTGATACATTCATATTAAATCCTAGTATAGTAACTCATTTATGTTTCCTACAAATTGGGGGTAAAAATATGTACAAGAGAACTAACGTGAGCACATTTTAAAATACATTATTTATTTACTTGTTAAATGAAGTCGCGGATACATCGAATCTGACTCGTCACTTGTACAGTCCGACACCACAGCTTTATTTTGTTTTAGTATGGGCATAGGTTTTGAAACCATCGTACCATTATTTCTTACAAATATTCTTCTTCCTCCATGATTTATGGTCTGCAAACGTTTAAACGCTTCAGCATTTATCGTTTTACCATTCTGGTTAACTACCTATTGAACACATGGTTATTAATAATATACAACAAAATTTATACTAGCTAGATTTTATATCCCTTACTTTAATGGTTTTTACATTTGATAAGTTTATTGGTATAAAAACTGGTTTTGATAAATGCTTGGATATAGCAATAGGTCCTTTGGACGGTTTTGGAGAAATCACTACCGTATGTGGAGTAGTTTTCACCAACTGAGGTTGGTGAATAATTCTATGTGTTTCTTGCACGCTTTCGGTGTCGTCGTTGCTATCGTCTTCGTCGACATCGATTATTTCTTCTTTAACAAACGAATCGTACACAAAATCTAATTTGTTATTATCTGTACTACTCGCTTTGGATGTTTCTGGTGTTGGAATGAATGGCAGATTATCCACAGATGATAGGCCTAATACATAATTACATTTATCAAATAATATTTCTTAAAAAAACGCAATTTTTTTAGGAAATATGGTTGATAAAAAAAAGCTATGAGTAACTGTAATTTTTTTAGCTCTTGTATGAAGTGCGTCTTTTAATTACATTAAGTAGTATAGTTAGGTGAAATCTCCAAATTAATAAATATTATAAACTTCTATAAGGTAGTACTTGAGCCCATATAAATTACAAATTTAACAATATTGGCTTAACATTTTAGAGTTTATCTATTTTTCCTTGTGCTTATTTATAAAAGAGAAGCAAATCAACTTTTATGTCTTCAAATGCTGTAGAAGAATTTCAATCTAGATTCATACTAAATAAAAAGAACCAAACATCTGGCAAACTGAAGTGAATTATGGTGGGCACCATTAAGTGGCCACTTGACCGACGATTTCATTCAATATGTTTACAAGCCAAGAGAGTGATGAATAAAGCACATGTATTTATTTTATTTAGCGTACCGCTGTCAGAGCACGAGCTACTCTCGGCATTGTCGTAGGTGGGCGTGGTAGCCGCGCTAGACATAAAGTCGTCGTTGTTGGACAAGAATTCAAAAGGTGTAGCGTCGTCTTCCATTTTCAGTAAAGAGTTGAGAAAATTATCGTTTTCCAGGTCCCAGTTAAGTTTCTGTACACAGAAAACAACAATTAAAAAAGTGCCACTTTAATACCGCAAACGGTTATCGGCACCGCAAGTCCTTGCCGGGTCATACGCTAACGTAGTAATAGACAACGGGTACTTACAGCGTCCGCGTCTGTGGCGGCTGAACTTTTTTCGAAATCGTCCAGCGCCGTCGAGTCGTTGAGCAGCATGTCGACGATGCTCAGTTGACACTTGGTGTCCACCGACATGATGGTGCCGGCGTTCGAAACGTTTCCGGTTGGCGATTAAAAATCAATCGATTGTCGGCTTTTGAATTTTGGCAAACAATCACATTTTATTAACTGTAGGTCGAACGTAAACACAGCCCGAAAGCACCAAGACAAATCGGCGAACCGTAACTGCGTAAAGCGAATGTAAGTGACGTATACAAAAATTATTGGGAAAAAAAAAAAAAAAATACAGCGTGAAACCGACGGACCGGCAACACTCGCACTACTGCCGCCTATGGGCGATAGCCTGTGTACGAGTTTACGTACATAGTGTAGACTGTATAGTGAAGTTTGTTTACCTGGCGGCCGATCGGAGGTCGTTCATTGGTTACCAAAAAAAGGGATGGGCCGCCGCCGCGCACAGTGTTGCCACAACGCGCACGCCGCATTACCGGACGCGTTAAACGATTTCCGTTAAATTCGATTTGTTCGGCAGTAATCGTTATTATTACTATCATTATTAACAAAATTAAAATAACTCAAAGTATTGCAACAGATAATTAACGCAATACCTATTTTTCTGCTATCGTTTATCGTGCTCGCGGAATAAAACGCAAACGTTTTTATTCATCGAAACAGCAACTTGCTTATAAGGTCATGGAGTAATAATTTCTCTATGGTATAAGTGTATACATTATAATAATATGTAGCCCGTTACCGGCTGTATGGATGTATACAGGATGATCAATTTTATGTAAGACGTAATTAGATACAGTTAATTTTTCTAAATTATTATTAATCGGCTATGTTTAGCTTCGATGTGAACCGGTAGTAGTTACATACCTAGATATTTTTAAATGTTGTTATTATTATTTTAAATCAAATTGTATACAAACCGTAGTTGAATCAAATGATTCTTCGATAATAGACTATATTATTATGTAGTTAAAATGACAGTAAAATTAGTAGTTTTGAATAATTTTACGGTACTCGTAAATTGATTATTTATTAGCATTTAAGCAGAAACGGCTTTTCCCGTTGTAAAATTATGTAAAAAATATTATACAGTAACAATTTAAAACTGTTTATATTCACCATGGCCAATATACTTCTATTAGAATTTAGATTATAATTAGATTAATGCAGGGTTGCATAAAGAATAAATTAATAAATTTAAAGGACCAGTCACGGGCCACTAAATTATGTTTAAGGAACCACTAAACATCTATTGGTTCATTAAACGTTTATGCATAAGTCGATTAGAGCCCTGAAAAAAACCTATAATGTAAATGGGATAAGGTGGGGCGGTTGAAAATCAATGTAAAAGAGCGAGCCTTACATTTTTCAAAGTTTTAATTAAAAATATTAAATTTAAATTAAATAATTGTAACCACGTGATGATATACATTTTTTAATGGTTTTATATAAATTTGATCAGTTACGCTCATTCAATTGCAGTTACTCCGTTTCGTCCAATTATACTTACATGTATAGGAACATGGACATTTTTTTTAAATAAAAAAATTTTAATTGCAATTATTTTTAAAAAGAATCAGCATTTTGGGAGTTTAATCGACCACTTGGTATAGATATGGATCAATTAAAAAAATCTATATACTGTATTGATGTATTTATTATTATCACGGTTTACGAATTGACCTAATAATAATGATATTATTATTGCGCTGAGCCAGCATAACCATTATGCGCACCTGTATGTATAAAATAAGGTATACCTGCTATAAATGTGTTCCCATTATAATATTATTGTTGTTGGTGTATATCGGACATTTTATAATATATAATAGGGCGTGTGATGCCGATAAGTATTATAGTCGCGTAGTCAGTTTTAATCTGGTTTTAATAGATATTATACGGTCATTATTCATTAAACAGCTATAATATATCTATTTATGTATAATACTTGAATAATATACTTGTAAGGTAATACCAAGTATAATAAAATGAATAATCTATCCTGGCACTAAAGTCTAAAAGTACAAAATATGTCTTAATAATGCAACAATAGCAATACAAATAGGTAGGTAGGTACAACTAATATAATATTATATTTAAATATAATTTCTGATAATTAATAAATATAAACACACCCTGTTTTTTAGAAAATTCTTTAATGTACATATCACGTATAAGAAGACATCTTACTGTGGCTTTGCTACCCACACCCCCTCCCTCAATTTAAAATGGATATTTTGTTAATAAAAAAAAACAGTAACAAAATAGTTGTAATAAGGGAGGAAAGTGAGAGATATTAAAAACTCATTTTTCCGAATTATCATATTTCTTACCGTGGTCACCACCACCACAGCATCACATCATTTAGATCATCACAGCTAAGTGACTTAGATCCAGGCAGACATTCTTCTTTAGCTGTCGATAGAAAGCCGTTAGAAAAACGGACCAAGTTTGCCTTGAAGAACGATCGGATTTTGAAAATTAATTTTATTGTCTATACCAAAGTGAAAGACTTTGATCGACATTGGCCTACGATTTTCAACAATTTAATTTCTAAACATTGGTGACTAAAGGGTTTGAATATTACAAAATAGGTTTGTTGACCACAACTATTATTGTTATAATCTCTACACAGATTACTTGCACTGAATACCGATTAACCTACCCGTAATACAGTTAACACTATAGGTAAACCTAGATAATAATTAGATTTACATCTAATAATTTATGTTTTCCTCATTTAAGACACGTGCCACCGGCAATTAATGAAGATCATTAAACGTGTCCCAGGTCCTTATCTAATTGCGCATACTAACTGACCAATATATTAATTATTATTACCCCACAAATCACAATTGTATTAAAGTATACCGTATATTGTATACCAATTGTAGATAGATACAGTAGTCAATATCATAGACCTATTATAATAGGTCTATGGTCAGTACTTAGTATACATTAAAAAATATTTACAAAAGAAAATAAGTACTATTAGTACAGAAATACCTACCAAACCACTTAATAATGTCGATAAAGAATGTTAGGGTGTGGCGCATACTATACTTTTAGGTAGATATGTACCTTCCTTTTATAAAAACCTGCAAAAATATTATTATGTTATCATATTGCACTTATAGAAATATTATTTACAAACACACACAGGATGATCGCATGACTTAAAAGTGGTTTTTTTTTATTAAATAATTTGCAACAAATATAAAGTTTTTTTTTTCAAAATTGCAGTTTATGTTAAATATATTGATTATAACCCGTCAAAATTTGTAGGTGTAAGTTTATACCAACTATGTTACTTAAATGATAATTATTAGTACCATGTATAATATTATTATACTTTTTTATTATTTTAGATCAGTATTGGAGATTAATCTACTGAAAAATGTTGACTAGTCGAAACCCAGTGTTTACGCAGTTGTGAAAATGGTTGTTATTTAGAATCATGGACCTCCCATTCCTGATGCCTATAAGTTATGATTTAAAATTTGTATGCGTTTTTAATTCTATTAAAAATGATGGAAAGGTCCAAGGGGCAGAGGTATGATTTGCGATCATGGACAGCTACAGTAGAAGTTGGCCTTAACATAATTATCGTTGGCAATTAACCATTTTTAAACTTATTAATTACGTTTTAGCAGTAAGCACTATTGGCGTTTACAAAAATGTACCTATTGTATTTATATTGTCTTCATAATATCTGAAATAAGGTTATGTGAGGTCATTTTACCTTATTAAATAAGGCATGTATAAATGTAATTTTTCTAAAAAAATGCTTTTACAAAATGTCTATTTACCCATTTTGTTTGAATGAAAAAAATACAAATAGGTAATAAAAAAATGGAAAAAAACGTATGATTCAACATTTGTAGAGTTGGAGAAATTTGAATGTTTTAATATTTTCCGTTAATGTTTCAATTTAGTTAGTACTTAAGATATTAAGTAAAAGTTAACATACATTGAATAATCTACATTTCTAGTGTTGTCTTGTTAACACATTTAAATAAATAAAGACAAGAGGTAAATTAGTGTAAAATTTATAAATGATAAATTAATAGAAAATATTAAAACGGATAAAGCAATATCATTATTACAAATGATTGGAAGTTTTCTTATTTTTAGTAATATAAGCTATCAGTATGGTTTCAACATCTGTTTCCGCAACATGAACATTTCAAAAGCACATCGCGCTTACGTTATACTTTTTTTTTTATTGTTTATACGTTGTACTTATATTAGTAGGTTTGATTTGTTTGGTTGTATATATATTTAACGTATAAAAACATAACACATTCAAAATACAACATAAATAAATTGATTCTAGAAATATATTGGCATGCAACACCGTAAATGGTAAATTTTATTCAATTTTCAAAAATAGTTAGGTTTCTTGATCTAACCTTATCTAGTTTATAGATATATAGAATTAACGAGGAACAACTTTTGTAATATGGTAGGAGATTCCCTTAATGTTTTTCCGAAAAGTGCCACTTGTTACCTCGTCTTTCATAATTATTTCCTATCTCGCCTATACTACATAGGACAATGGTAGATTTGTTGTATGTAAAGGAGGATTATTATCATAGTAAGTTATATTAACGAATCATGTCACCGGTTCAACCAACAATCAACGGTCTTGGACTTTTTGCATTTTTTTACTTCCTGTGCAGTTAGGGAATAGGAGTGGAGTACCATTAAAGCATATAGTTGAGTCCTTTGTGAATTATATAGGGACTAACGACTTAAATCATTAGGTATCTTGTATCGAATTTTTAGATAAAAACTAGAATAGGTAGTTCAATGTTCCCAACTATTTTGATCCACTTCGACACTTTATGATTTGTATCATAAAATCTATACATCATTTTATATTTTTATTTTTCTCCCCTAACTCCTTTTATTATATTTTTCTGTTTTCCTTTTGTTGCTTTTTCCCCATGGTTCGTTTCAATTTAACCTTCTTGACATAGGACCTGATAGGGTCTACCGATTTGGTGTGAACTCGTTCTGTTGAAATTAAAAAAAACAAACATAAATTAAATAATTCGTTTATGACGTGGGTATTTAACAATTTCAAATTCTTATTTATAACCACGCTACCTAATATATTATTCAATTACTACTATGTTTATTATGCCTATGTTAAAGAATGATGAGTAGGTAGTTAGGTACTGACCTATATATTGAATGAAAATAATTTATTTATTTGTATATAATGATGGTCTACATTAAAAGTACCTAATTAAACGCTAAACTAGGTAGGTATAATATTCTGCTTAAGTATAGCTAATATATAGATATAGCGTAAGTCGTAACCCATACATGGCATATAATATGATATACCTATAAAATATACTTTATGTAGGCATTGCATTAAAGATATATTTGCAAAATTAAATATAAATTGTAACTATATAGGCCATGCGTCATTCGTGTAAAAACTAAAAATCATACTTCGTTACAAACGAATGTTATGGTAATGATAATCATTAGAGCTAACACCTACTTACTAATGGAAGAAATAAATTACACATGACTATTGACTAATGAAACGTCAGATGGGCAGTAAATATTACTATTAAAATAATTTTGTTAAAGGTCAACACTACTACTGTACCACGGATTATATGAAAAATGATTTCCAAAAAATGACTGTACCATGACCAGAAGCGACTACTCTACTGACTGCTATGATTTAAAAAATCAAGTCTATTATTTAGTTATCAACAGTATTATATACTCTTTATTTTTACATTTTTCTACAAAACTAAAATGAGTGAATAAGGACTGCACAAAAGTATTGCGCATCACTCGGAATTTACAATAATAGTATGTTCACTGTAAACATTCAACGCTACAAAAAAGCATATATTATGTAAACAAACAACAAAAAAAATTGATGAATTGACAAAACAAGTGTCATCTGTAATACATACACGATTAGTGATTACTCAGTATTCGTATACGCTTGCCACGAAATGATGCATATTATAATGTTTACAACGATAGGAATACAAATTTCTGGTATTTCAAAAGAAAATATTTTACAGATGACACGCTATTGCATTATTGCTACCGGTTTTATTATGTTATTTATTTTATTGGTTTAGGCTACTGCTCGATTTGCAGTTTACTTAACAACAACTTGATAACTAGGACAGTCTTTAGAAATTTGCTAGCGATTGATATATTAATAAGGAGTATTTATTTTTGCCTCGTAGGGTACAGGCGTAGAAATAAATTTGTCAAAATAATACTCGAGAAAACTACATTTTTTTTGGCAAGTTTTCTATTAGCACAATGTACTTAGAGGAATTTAAATCAGGTCCCTAATCTACATAATATATTACTCTTTATAGAATTATTTAAAAAAAAAATCAACTTTGTAGTTTAACAATGACTTACTTTACCTCTTAAGTCCAAACAAGTGACGGCTGGACAAACCAAATTCCTTCAAAGTCCACAATGTCCTATTATTCATTATAAACTATTTTAATTTCTTTTGAATGAAGTTCTTGTAACAAAAAAAAAAACAAATATTTTTAAACCCACTTGAAAAATTGTATTTTGGTTGACACAACTATCGCCAAACGTACTAATATATATTTTTTATAATAATCGTAGAACACATTGTGTGAGCTAATACTTTACACGGACAAGAAAGTTTATTGAGATGTCGTATTATACTAGAGCATTGAAAAAAAAAATCCAACATGTTTTTTTTCATTTTAATTATATTTAAAAAAATTGAAAATGATAAGTTTAAAACTAAACAATCAAAAAAATATATATATTGCCATAATAATAATTATAATAGAAAAAAAAAATAATAATGATAAATATTATATATTTTTTTTTTAAATTAAATAGTAGTAGTAAAATTATGTTTTACCTAAAAATTAGCTAAAAATGTACATATCACGAACATAACAATATTTTTCACAAAAATTTTTAAAAAAATTATTTTTTTTAATATAATATATTACATAAGTATTTTGTACATCAAAAGCGATTATTGTTTTTAAAAATTGTTTTTCATAGGATATTCAAATGCGTACAACTAATCAATGTAAAACTTGTTTGACAAACAAAATTGTTGTTTTAGTCAATTGCATATAATACAATAGTTGAAATTCTATATGTATAAAAAAAATATTATTTATCTAATTATTTTCTTCTTCTGCTTTCAGTTAACACAAAATGACATGCATATGCAACAATTCACGTTTAGAAATCCACCAAATTAAAAACGTGGGCTTGTGCATTGTACATAAGAAAACACAAATTTATGAAAATCCACCAATTAAGATAAAAAAAATTATGTTCACAAATAATCGCCAAATTGATAAAAATTAAATTAAAAACAAATCATACTTAAGTATATAATATACAGAATTTCTTTAAAATTGAGTATTATTTAGTAGCAACAGTCCAAAACAAGTTATTGACGACTATTACTCGAACAAATTAATATTTTAAAGAAAATTATCCAAAAACACAAGCGTTATAGTAGTATTAGATTGTATGGGAAGTTAACGGTATTTCTCACTCTTTACATATATGTATGTATATGTATTCCATACATAAGAGAACCAGAGAACGTAACTGTAAAAATAACTGTCAATTTCATATTAAAACCAAAACACGAAACATGATATTTCAATATCTAATAAAACTGAGTAAAAAAAACCTAACTAAACACACTGATCAAGTGCTAGAAACTTAAATATATATTTTTATTAAAAGCTGGGAAATCATACAAAATCTCGATGACGAGCAGTTGTAGGAAAAATATTTAAGTGAGGTACAAATTAAACGTGTGAATAATTTTAAAAAATTTGTATATATATATTTCTATTTGATATTTATACATATAAAAGATAATCAAAACGGCGTTTTTAAAAATGTATTTACAGGAACTAATGGTTTAAAGTATTTATTTATATAATAATAATAATATAAAAATTACTACTTAGGTAACTCAAGTATTATTATTTTCAACATAAATATTTGAATTTGTTTTGTTTTTTTTTTTTTTTAAGTAAAATGATAAAATACAATTACAATTTAAAAAATTTTTTTAACAAGAGAACATGAAGACTATTTTTTATTTTTAACATTCACCATTTTTTTATTTTTTTTATTTTTTTACTAAAAATGCAAAAAGTATAAATTATATTTTGTCTTACTGTCTAGAGTCAAGACTAGGGTCAACAACTAATGAACCATCGATAATTTTTAACGTTGACGGAATGCAGAATTGACCGAAATTATAAGTCTATTATTTGTTATTATTTTGTTTCTATTAATTTAAGACATATATATATTTATATATAAGTATATTGTAGCCTATAATTTTAATTACAAAAAAAAAGTAAAGAAAATGTTTTAACTAAATATTCAATACCTCTTATAAAAAAAAAGTTAGGTGATTTGTAATTTCACGTAATGGTCGGAATCGGAGCGTTTAAAGCACTATCACGCGAGTTGGAGTGTGAAGTGGCGCGTAACAAAGTAACGGCTTCGCGCTCAGAGCTACATTTTACGATAGTTAGTCACTTGGGGCGAGGAGTTTTTTTCTTTTTACGTTTAAAAAAACAGCAACATCTAGAAAATGCAAAATATAAATTTATAAACCTAAAACAACAATGTTAAATTTAAATTTAATTTACTTAGTGTCGTCAACGATTTCTGTTTCAGCTTGCGCTGTAATAGGAGTATTAGAATGACCAGCGGTCGGATCGTCGTTGGCCAATTCACCATTTGTTGAACTAACCACCTAAAAATTTAAAAGCCGTAATTATTACATAGAAAATAATGTTTTTGTAAAATATATTTGTGTGACCAACAATAGTGCAAATCGATTTAATATATTTTTAATTAAATCTTGTTAAACATTTACCTGAACACTTCCGTGTCGATCGGCCGGCGTCAAATTTCCAAGAGTGTGTCCTGGTAACTTTGAACCGTCTTGCCAACCTTTTGTTCCAGACTGAAAAATTATTTATTTAATTGATATACATTAGTATATTTACAACATGTTATAATATAAAACGTTGAAATACAGCTAAAGTGGCACATGTCATTGGGTGAGAACAACTTTAGGGACTGCTCAGCGGGAGGAATCAAACTGTTAGCTGACCAAACATAGAAAATTTTAGAAACGTAATTCTTGTTTATAACCATTATTATTTTTTGCCACATACCTGACGATGATAAATATATCAATATATATATCATTCGTTAATCATTAAGTACTGAGCGGTTAAGAATAGTTAAGGCTCATTTAGACTGTTGAATTTAATGCAAGTACTTGCATGTGCACTTATGTTTTACATTTTAGTTATTCAGCTATTTTATTACAAAATTTTTTTTTTTATAACTAAAATAGATAAAATAATAGAACTGAGTGTTTTAATGTGTATTAATATTATTTATTAAAATATAAAAATAGGCATATATATCATGTAACTACTGAAATTCTACATTTTTACATATAATGGAGTAGGTGGTTTCCAATATTTTATTTTTTATACAAAATTAAGTATACTTAATAATACTATATTAGAAAGTTGCTCAAATTTGCTGCTTTCTTAATTACGAATTAAATTATAGCCATTATTTGTTATTTTCATATAGATAAAACTAACATAAAAAGAAAATTAAAAATCTTTGTTTATTCTTATTTATTTATTTAGTTCTAATAAATGGTGATTTTGGTGTCATAAAATTCGACAATGCATTTTAAGCATTTTTCAATAATTTGTTTAAACATGATATTACTAGACTTTAAAAAACTAACATTTCTGGTATTTTTTCCTGTATCCTATATCATTGACCAGCTAAAAGATGGGCTGGCGATGTTTATTTTTTTTTTTTTAATTTAATAACTACAATTTATTTATAATGGTGTAAAGTAAAACAATTTGTAACAAAATTGAAAGTTAAAACAAAAAATAACATGATAATAGAAGTATAAACGGTAATAATATGAATTTTTTTTTTAATATTAAATTATCTATACCCGACCATCCTATAAGTGAGAATCCCTATTTCTGTGTGCAAACCTGAGGGTTATTTAAATAACTTTTTATACTTAAATAAAATCTAAAAAATATTTGTTATTTGAATAAAATAAAATAACAATTATACAATTAAGGGATATAGTAGCCGAAGCTTGGGAAGAAATAAAATAAAATAACAAAATATTTAAGGGGATTAATCTTGTCTCTATATACCGTATATTTTGTCTATTATACCGATAGTTCTACCAATACAATAAGGAGTCAAAAAGGAGAAAACGGATTTGAATTTGTAATACAATTTACTTGAAATCTATTTATTTTAACTTTTTTCAATTTAAAATTTTAGTGCTCTCCTTAAAATCAATATTTTTATAGTTTAAAAGTCCTAATGATTTCTAAATGCATTACTGGTAAAAGATGAAAAATTATAAAATAAAAATAAATGGGTGTTTTTTTTGTTTTTACAAGACGGAAAACGAACTAATATTTTTTTGTAAAGGAGTAAATAAATAAGGAATATTAAATAAGTAGTTGGTTACTAAGTAAATGGTTATTCGAGATATGATTACACAGTATGATCTATATTGTTACTGATAGATACCTTACTAACTAACAACATACTGTCATCGTTATTGTCATCACTGTACACAGACAGTAATTCGTCATCACCCTTGTTAGTTAATTAGAACAATAAAAAAATTATGTCAAAATATATCTTTGTAAATTTAAGAACCAAGTAATAAATTAAAAAATATATAATATATAGGAACGTGTTGTTTATTACCTTATTGCCTGCAATTTGACGTTCTCTGTTTGGAGACAAAATTACTTCTTGACTGGACTGTATAGAGCCAACCAAAGTACACTAAATAAAATTATTATACATAAATAAAATTATTAAGTTTTTCCCTAACTGTATGTGCCGTAGAAATATTTACTGTCACACTAAACTGCAATATCACTATGTTAAATTATAACATATATTGTATGAAAACATGCATTGCTAAACTAAATACATTGAAAAAATACTTTGCGCTAAATGCCTCAAGTTCATCAACTTACCAAATCACTTTCAGACGTCCAAGGACTTTCATCAGTTACATTGTGTATAATACGAAGTATGTTAAACAAACCTTTTTTCTGTTAATTTAGCAATATTAAAGGCGCAAAAAGTATCATGCAGCATGCACAAAAATACAAAAAAAAAAGTGGTGGATAATAATATTAATAACATAGATATATTGTGTACATTAATCAGTAAAGTGTATTTAGATGAATAATAACAATAAAAACCTAAAATATTAGTACTGAAATTTAAATATTAGCTATTTGAAAAACCAATTTAGAAGACCATGTCGTACAGTAGAAAGCTTCATTAAAAACCCAGACATTAACAAAAAAATTGTTATGATTTTATTTTTTTAATGTTAATTGTAAGAATTTTTTATTAAAAGATACACAACTTTAAAATCGGAGTTCTTTGCGTGAAAAAGATTTAACAATTTTTTTAGGAAACATCTTATTACATACATAAGATAATAATATCAAATTTTAATAAATGAATCTATAAACGATACTAAATAGTAATAATTTCTCATAAGACAGTCAGAAAGATTTCAAATTAATAGATTTCACTATTGAAAAAATAAAACAAATTTTCATGCCTGGATTTTTAATAAAATGTTTTAAGGTTTCCTGTAGTTTTATCATCAATATAGGTAACTAAAGTAAAAAAATATCTATTATTATTAAAATATCTCCCGAAACAATAATGTTAGTTTGGCGTTTTAACTGGATTTCTTCAATTTACAATAATAAAAATTTAAAAAAAACAGTTAACTCTCAGTTGAACTTTTAAAACAGTTATTAAATTTAAAACTATAAACTAATTTTCTTTGTGGCAGCATAATCATTTATAGCTTGAGTAAAAATGATTATATTCTTTGTAAATGTAAAAAAATAGCTATTAAATATTTTACTAAATAGCTAACATCATAAAAATATAAGAAGACTCTTACTTAATATTCCAAGACCTTTTAAATACAGTTATTTTAGTAAAAATAAATATAATCAGCTAGTTGGATATAAAAATATTTAAGTAACTAATTAAATATCAAAAAAAAGTTTTAAACATCTAGATTCATGCAAGACAAAATTGAGAAGTTGTCTTTATTTAAAACTATAATACTAATAAATATATGCAGAAATTATATTTCATACCATTGTTTTTCCCGTCCAATCAAATTCTGAATCGTTCACGTAACCTTTCTTTTCAAACAAATTTTTGAACAATGTACGCAAATATTCATAATCGGGTGTCTCAAAGAAGTCTAATCGCCTGACATAACGTAAATACTGCGCCATTTCCTCTATAAATTTGAATAAAAACTTTAAAATATAAGCACTATTTTTTTTGTCTTAAATTTAAACATAATATACAAACCAGGATATCCATCACAAAGAACTTCAATCGGAGTTGCTCGTTTTGTATCACCGATTTTCTGGTATCTCTCCTTAAGAGTATCAGCCTTTAAGCCTTGCCATGGTAGTGATCCTCGTAAAAAATACATAAACATATGTCCGAGCGCTTCTAAATCATCACGCCGACTTTGTTCTAAAAAAAAAAAAAGACTAGTTATAACACAAATATATTTTTAATCGTGTTTCATAAGGTAATATCGAGCATTAACACGATCAATTATATTTTTAATAATTTATTATATAATTACCTTTTCCTAAATGTGTATTTATGCTCATATATCTTGCGGTACCAGTCAAGCTCTTGTGTTCCCGGTATGGTATATGTTTGTTTGTTTCTAAATCTATATATTCTTTTGCTAAACCAAAATCTACAACAAAAAAACGTTTAATATAATTACACTAAATTAATTAGCAAAATAATAAACTGTAAAACGAGATTTTAATTATAAATTGAAATTTTAGTTCTTTTCTCCCAATTGTTTTTTTCAACTAGCCAATTTAATTTTCTACCAATCATAATCTCTTGAATAATTCATAGATAATGCAAAATAACATTGATAAATTTAACATGTAAACTAATAAATCTAAAAAGATCAAATAGTGACCTAACTTTATGTTGATTCCATAAAAAAAAACAGCAATGAAAAACTTCAGAAACTGTCAAAAGTTAAAATGGAGATATGCTATACCGCATGTTATTAACTACGTTTTAAAAATACGCCACAAGGCTAAATGCTACCAAAAAAAACATACCCGAAAGTATAACCTACCCAAAGGCCAAAGGATATAATTTTATTCTACTCATTATAACAAGTTAAAACGAAACAAATTTAAAGCACAGAATTTATCAATTTAGAAGTTAAAACATAAATTGATATGACTATTTTCCAAAACTAAGTTGGAATAACTCACATCCTTTAGTAAATGGTGGTCATATAATTTTACGTTTTTTTAAGTAGATCTTACCTATAATATGAATAGTTTTATCTTTTTTCGTTGAAGTGCGACCAATGAGAAAGTTTTCTGGTTTTACATCTCTATATATTAGATGACGACCATGAACATATTCTATCCTATGTAACTATAACAAACAATCATCAAAATAATGTTAATTTAGTTAAAATAATACCATACACATAACGCATTGTTTAAAAACAAACATCCAATATATTTACCAATTGTGTTGCTATCATGAGGACTGTTTTAAGTGAAAACTCACGTCCACACATGTCAAATAAGTCCTCTAGACTGGGGCCCAGTAGTTCCATGACGAGAGCGTTATATTTGCCACATGGGCCAAAGAAGAATACTTCAGGTATGCCATCTGAGAAGAAGGCAGGCGCTATAAAAATTAAAAATATGTAAATATTAGTTGACACATAAAAAATCATAGTGCAAAAACTATTAAGCAAATCATACTCATTTAATTAAAATAAATGAATATATAATATCAAAAAAAAATCAAAATGCATTGTTTTCAAGTTCAACCAATTTATAAACATAGAAAAAAAATCAAATACAGATTAGCGCCCATCAGAAAATTATCCTTACCATGAGATCCAAGTAGTTTATAAAAACGATATTCCAAATGTAGCTGAGGTGCCTTAGATTTCATTGGCTCCTAAAAAGTTAAGAAACAATTAAGTTATGTTTCCCGTGTACTATTTTTACATATTAAGTTGTAGCATATAATATTATAGTAAGTCACAATAAAATATTAGCTGTATTTAACAAGAAAGTTGCATCAAAAAAATTATTTTTTTATAGACAAAAAAAGGTCCCTGCAAACCGCATAAAAAACATGTGTTTTGAGCGTGTAAGAATTGTTTTTAAATCTGAAAGAAAAACACTATTTTATCACACCAATCAAAGCTTTTCACTATTTACTTTAACACAAATACTTTAAAAATTCAGACCTCAGCCAAAAACTTTTTGACAGTTTGCACAAAACTTATTACTATACCGTCTATATCAATAAAAAAATATTTATATTATATGCATCATCTCTATGTAACAAGATAAATATTAAGTCGAATGCATCTTACCATTTTAATAGCAACATGTTCATTAGTGTACAAGTTCTTTCCTGAAATTAAAAAAAAATTGTAATTAAGTTATATTATAATAAATTGCTTAAAAAAATAAGACATACCCTAATAATATCAAAAGAAAGGCTTAAAAAAAAAATAAAACCCCTATTGTAATTCATAATAAAAACTATATCTGAAATTAGTTATAGCGCTAAAGTTGGTATCAACGTTATAATATGAAGGGCACAGGGGAAAAACGGTAGTAGTCTATTATGAAAATTTTAGAGTATAGCAAAAATAAAGTTCGTGAATTTCTCTCCCTCTTACATAAGAACAAAAAAAAACACAATAAATGCTATTCTAATAAAAAATGTATTTATTTAAACAATCTATTGACATAAATAAAAAAAATTAATGGCATAAAATATAAAAAACTATTTGAAAAAAAAAAATTCATAATGTGACTACTACCGTTTTTTCCCTGTGCCCTTCACATAATAAACTAAAAAGCTATAAAATAACATATTCAATTTTTGATACACTTTTTTTTTATTATAAAATTAATGTCGTGTTTTTCTCAATGTACGTAATACTTGACTTTTTTCAACATTTTTGTACATTTACCATAACCATATGACATTTTCGTAGACTAATCCTATCGTAAACTAACAATTTTAGATTATCCTCCATCCAATTTTTTAAAATCATTTTGTATTTATTGATTTTTAAAAAAAATTTGTTTAGTTTATATATAAAAACCAAGCTAAAAATGAAACAAGAACATTTAATTGTTGGCTTCACTAAATAATAGTATATTTTACTAAACGCCTAGTTAACTAAATTATCAGACCTCGTCAGTCAAATCTATAGTTGAAAGTATAAACATCGAAGTTATTCAAATACCTACCCGAAATTTAATAATTCTGATCTTAATTTTCAAATATTTATTACAAAATATTTAGAACTAGAATTTTCGAATAATTCTCATCACAGTTAAAAATTCCATGTATTTAAGTAACGCCAGTTGTAAAGTGGGTTGTCCCTTACAACTTGATAACTCGTCAATGTAACCTTATTGTTTTTTCAGTTGTATATAATATAATTTATTTAATACCTCATTCATAAGCTATTTTAATATTATAAAATTATTTTTAGAAAACAAAATGAGAATTATCAGGTTTAAATGTTTCCTTTAAACAGTCGGCATCGGCCTTCAATTTTATTATAGTTGCGAAATATTACAAAAAATAAACGATAAGAACCTGCAACATTTAGAAATTAAATTTTTGAAAATCTGAACTGCTTGTAGTTAATGCAGTCTGTAGGAAGTCTTCCATATAAGTTTGGTTAATGACAGTTTGTAATATTATATAACCTTACAAAATGGCAATTATATTATTAAATGTCCAGCATGATTTTTAAATTTAAATTTATTATAAATAAAACATAGTCCGTTGTTTTGTTTTTATGGCATTAAGGATATTTCGAAGATTGGTTCAGATTTGAATGTGTATTGAATAATTCCTCCTCCCCCTACCCGTTTTAGAACTAGTTGCACCACCAATGGGGGCAAAGCCTCCTCGGGCTTCTTAATTCTTTAACTTTATGGGCCCCCCCTTATGTGAAACCCTAATTCGGCTTATGATTGCAGTGTAAACAAGAAGCATGAAACTAAGACGGGATAAACTAATAGTCATTATGTCATTTAATTCGAGGTTTGTTGATGTGACAAATATAAAAACTCCAGTGTGACCAACATAATTTTAATATTTAATAATAGTTTTTCGTCCAAACTATTTTATGGCGTGATAATTTCCATTCCTCGTTAAAAACCTTCGTTCTACAAGTGCTAACAGATGGCATAAATTGTCCCCGAGAAAGTAATTAGAATATATTCTAATTCCTGTTCCTGAAGATATAATACAACAACGAGAATATGACATGTTATTTAAATACAGCTATAAAAAAAATATATATATATACTCAAACACACACACACACATCCTTATTTCATGTGAAATAATGTGCATACATATAACGCTACAAAGAAAATCTGAAACGAACAATCTGTTGCGTACGTAACGTACATTTCTAACACATTAGATAGGCACAACACAATGCACCGACATTGTAGTTGAGGTAGACTGTTTTGTAATGAATAGTCTACTAACCCAATGGAATACGCACCGGGTGGAACAATTGTTAATGAATAACGATTCTAATGTCTTCGGGATTCGGCTTTACCAAACAAAATATTACGTGTCCCATGTCGTTCAGTCATATCTATTATATAATGTTATTTTATTGTTATAGATTGTACCTATGTATATACACGACCGTCGAGCGACACTTAGATACCAACTAGAAAATTCTAAGAACACCACCAATGTCATTTGAAGAAAAAAAATGTCCGAACAATTAACTCATCGTCCAGTATACGTTAATTTACCAGAGATAGAGTAGTCTGTTTTACACAATTATTACGGTAATGAAATTATTAGGCGACTGTTTGTTCGGAAGAGGTACGAGCCATAGGGGAGAGAGAGCCAATACTCGAATTTTGTGAGCAATATACCTTTATCGAGCTATATTACTGTCAAAAGCCGTAAAAAGGGCGTTAACTCTACATTATTAACCCGAATGAAATATCGTAACGGCTAGCAACTGCAAAGGGTTCGACGGTTAAGTTAACCTCTTACTGATGGGTGGAAAAATGTATCTCACACAAAATACTCTGTTTTAAGATTCCATATCAAATAAAACATTTTAAAGTTTTGTTTAAATAGTGTATTTAGACGATTTTCGCAATACATTTTCCTCAATTTTAATATAAAACACGGGCCATAGTGGGGAAAGTGTCTCTACTGAAATTTAACGATGCCAGTAGTACTCTCACGTCTATAATTTGTGAAATTGCTCTTTTTCTATTTTATATTACACGTCCCATTGGGTAAAATGTCTGGCGCCGCCATTGACAACCTTGAAATAATTTCGTACAAAATTGTATAATACTATAATAATGCATTTATAAAAAAAAATCAATTTATATTATTGTAATACATTTTCTTGTAGTAAAAATTACAACAAATTTAACTGGCCATTCCGACGAATAACTTTTTTACACAATGTACTATAAATTATCATCACAACTCGTGATTACAATTTACGAATATGCTTTATATAATAAGGACAAAACGAGAATATTTAATAATTAAACGTGTACTTAAATGTATAATTATAGAAAATACACATTATAGGAAACGTTCAGAAATAATTATGTATTAAATATGGTTTTGCGTTTGAGTGAATGTAAGTATAGCGAATATTATGAAATCAGCAAATCGTTCCAGACAATTACTACTTATTACAATGTGTACGAGCAGCTGTTTTCCATAAAATCTTATCAACTCTTCGACACTACAATAACATTGGTTGTTGTTCAATTTCATAGAAGTGTTTGTATATTTTATAAAAAATGAAATGTTGCGTTAATTTCGTTGCATTAAAACGTAATAAAATACTAAACGTGTTTCTTCGTATTATTACCAAACATTTTATTAAAATAAAACTATGGAAAATTAATTGTAAATCTTACCATTAACGCTGAAATTTTTAAACCTAATATATCATGATCTATATTTATAAATAGTATAGATAAAAGTGTGTATGTCTACTTTTAACCGACGAGTGTCGTGTCGAAAAGCTAATAGATATTAATTAATTAATGGAAATAAAATATTATGATTTTATATTTTTCCAATATAGAATAATAAACTATTAGACGCGGTTCATTTGTTACATAGTTGTACAGTTGAACATTTGTTATTAAAAAAATTTAATTATTACACTATATTTTTAAATAAATTTCTGACGACCCTTAAAACAATTTTTTAATTTTTTACCCACAACAAGTAGAAAACTAACAAATAAACATAAATAACTATGAAATAATGCTAATTTTGTTTTTGATAAAACTCTACGCGAAATACCTAATGTTACCCTTACCACTACAGTTCTACTAAACTATATTTGAATAGCTAATTCAATCGAATCTTCATGGTAAATGTGCACGAGCGTTAAATGCTCTAGATTCTAAAAGATAGTCTCTGTACTCAAATTAGGGGTTTTTCCAAGTTTATCCCCACTCTAACTGCTATTACAGTATCCTATCACAAAAATTATTTTAAGGTCACACATAAGCTGATAAATTAGTCTACTACTCGAAATAAAGTTTGTTGAACATGTCGCAGGAGATGCACTTGTTCGAGAAATCAACTGTTTAAGTGTCTGAAGTGCTTCAATGATATAAAACTTTTAAAGTAAAAATCCAACCTTTACAATATATTTATTTACTTAATTTCCACATAAATAGACTCACTATAATCCGCATAAACGACAACCCCAAAACCCAATTCACACAGTAAGTTCCAAAAATAACGGATTCCTAGAACAAGCATTTATGCAACTGCTTCCTTTTTTATCCTATTGTTCATAATAATATCATAATATACATAAACACACACGCACAAATATACATATTGTTTTCTTATAATAAATAGTTATACCTAGATTATTATTTTTATTTTCATAGAAATAATTTATGAATGTATTAAAACTTCGGTTTGAAACTTTGTCGGTTAACAAACATTAACACGGATAATATATCCGAAAATCATTCACGTGAGAAATCATTTAGTTGAGACATTTTATTTAAGACACAATAAAACTAATATTAACACGATTGTTCGTTATATTTTCAATTTAGTGATAATAACTAATAGAACTCAGTTATAAATCACTAACCACGAATAAATACATTTCAAATAAATAAACTTCAAAAATTCCGAAGGCATTAGTATTTTACGTAAATGATGTTTAAAAAACATAATTAATATTATTATAATAGACAGTATCTTATAAAATCATTTACTTCTAGTAATAAAAAACAATAAGTCATTACACTTGAGCGATATTCAAATTGAGGACATCTCATTGGCGTGTTAACAGTTAACATTGAGGTACACCGAAGAGAAGCATTAAGGCTAAATATAAAATTATAATGTTACAGTAAAATTAATTATTGAATACGGGCTATTAAACATTTTTATAAATAATAAATGGGACAATTATGAATTTAATATACATGGTATATATATATATATATATAAATTACGCACGTCATTCTTTATTATACGCGGTCGAATTAAGATAATGTTTTGGAAACGATAGTCGTTTTACAAGACTGTTACTACTATTATATATGCACATGTATATTTATTTGTAACCAATTTGTTGACACGATTAAGTAATACATATATCACATGTTATTTGCATTCAAGGTGATGTCGATACGGGTACACGATAGATATACTTTTTTTCACTAGGGTTAATATGCCCAAGTCATAAATAATTAAAGTGATAACAGTTATTGACAATACAATTTATAATATAATATGACCGTTTATCTTTCGTTTGCATAGAATTTGTTTTTATTTTCGATAAATAAAACCGTAAGCGAAAACACGAAAAAGAGTAATTAAATCATTACACGCGCCAATTAACATTATCTGATTTCGTCAGTGACAAGCAACACCGCAAAAGATGTTTTTTACAGGCTTAATAATCAAATTTTTTAGAATAAATCATCAACAAAATTCGACTTGAAAATCGAAAACGTTAAATACATATGAACGATATTTCAAAAATACCTGGCAAATTGTTTATGAAAAAAATAATTATTGAAATTAATATTGGGCTTATAAAAAGTGAAAATACAACAGCTATATCTGAACAATTTTTTCCATTCAAGCAGTAAAATTAATTAAGTTAAGTCCCGTTATTAAAGAAAAAGAATAATTAAATTAAGAAGTATTCTACTGTAAAAATCAGAATAAATACGATATGTCAATAAAGTCATTTTTTTGAGAAAAACTCTTTTCTTATTTTTAATAAATAGGTAATGAGGCTAATAGGTGCATTTGGGTAGGGGGAATTGAGTGTGCTTAACCACTCTACTTTTGAAATTAGCACACCCAAAATCGTTTAAGTTATATACTCGGGAGAGGATCCTTTATAATTTTTTAATGTTTAAACCCTCCCCCCCACTATTTTAAGCGATTTTATACTATGGTGGCTCAAATGACATGTCATTTTTGTATCTGGGGATAAAACATATTATTTATCACCTGAAATCTATATTAGATCACTAATTTACAAATAATCAAACTTTAAAGATAAATAATTTTTAGTGTTTTGCAAAGTGCTTTTGAAGAGTTGAAATAGTTTACAACAATTTGTAGTACTAATATGTTTTATAATTTACTGTCCTAAATTTAATGTAAAGTAATAAAATAGTATTTTAAATTAAGAATGTAAATTTTTAAAATATCACTTATCTAAAGATTATATGGACAATTTAAATTAATTGTTGCTTGATGTAATACACTAGTGTTACATATTTATAGCATCTCTTAGAAACCGAAACTAATAAGAAGAGCGTAACAAATTGAACAATTCAGACTTTGTGATGTAACAAATATCTTGAAAGGTTTCACCTCAAGGCTAGGTAAAGTATTAGATAATATCCAATAACAAATGGTAAATATAAATGTCAGTAATTTATTAATAAAAGAGGGGGAAAAATATACTAAACTTAATTACGTATAATAGTAAACAGACTGTGTAAATGTTTACTTGCAGCCAGTTCCATACCCTCAGTATCAACAAAGTACCTAAAATATCTATACCTAGAGTAAACAAACTTAATCTATCATAAACCTTTACATTACCATATATATAAACACTGATTATAAAAATACCTAACGACTATAAAAATAAACTTGGATTTTATTTTTCCTAAAACATATTTTGCCTGCATTTTAATAAGATTAACAAAATAAATGTAAAGCTGTTAAGGTTTGAACTCAAAAACACCAAAACTTGTTTTGAATACCGTCATATAACTTAACAGGCCTTAGAGGACCAACGCTGCCATCATAAGGTTTCTTGAAAAATTCGCTATCTGGGACACCGTTGCTGTTGAGAGTCCGTTGCCAAAGAGGTGGATTCTTTTCATTGAATAATTTCTCACCCGGCAAATGCCATCCTGACTGAGTGTTGAACCGCCAACAAGCAGAGCCAACACACTGACATCTTACCCACTCAGGCTCACATATTAATATTTAAATATAATAAATATTTTTTTAGTGGAGCAAGGTAGTGACAACTGCACTTGGGTTTTTTGTTTTTTTTTCATGAAAATAGTATTATAATTTCTGCTAAAGGAAAACAAGGAAATTCTTCTCCCCTGGATTTTTGTATAAATACACTAGAGTGATCCTTAAATGTGACATGACATTGGATGTTAGTCCTTCGGCTCTAAATATTGAAAACAATTTCAGGCAAACAGGCAGACTAAGGGAATAATAAAAATCTGAAAAGATTAGAGACATTTTATTTCAATATTTGAATTTGGTGGTTAGCTATTGTGGAATTTAAAAAAAACCAATATAAGGACCACCATAATACATGATCTTGTAAATTAAGAAATTCTTTGAACTATTAAACTATTTAAAACTTAAACTATTTGGGAAATCTTAAAAATTAAACAGGGCCTTTAAAGTAAAGAATTTTCCTAGCATCGCTCTAGTTGCAATTATGTCCCTCCACCCACAAAAACTATTAAAGAAGCATACAATTGTTTTTGTATATAATAACCAATAACTATAATAATAATAATAAAAATAAGTAATAACAATACACACATGTATATGATTATGGCCCGCGATTAACAAATTGTACATCATTATCGTTATCAATAGTTACACAGTACCACGAAAAAAAAGTAAGTGTTCTGATGAACCAGAGTAGTAAATTCTTACATATTTTGAGTCACTGAATCCGAAGTCGGAATTCCAAAGTTAACTCTTTTAACATTTATATACAAATAAAAATTATTATAATTTTACTAACAGAGCCGAGCATAAGGTCGAATCCTAAGGAGTAGAAAGATTATTTTTCATTAAAGGCATCTGGTTTCAGGAAGAAGCCAAACATATTTACCCAAATCGCTTAGTTGGTTAACAACGCTTGTCCTACCAGCAAACATATCTGACCTTCTAACACGTAAGAGACCAACCAGATAACATGATAGAATATGATATGGTTAAGCAAATATAAAAACTATAACTTTTTTAGTCATTTTCAAATAAATGTTTACGTATTATAACACATTTAAAAACTTCTCAAATATTAATATAAATTTTTATAAAATGTATTTTTACTGTTTCTCTGAAAAGGTTTAAAAGTAGCCCTATCACATTTTTCCTTGAGACTCTTTATGACATATATCTAGTAACTACCAATATATAATTAAAAGTCTATCAATTTCTATTGCAATCATTCTATTTTATTGGGGGAAGCATTAAACTATCAAGAAAATTATTTTATTTTTAAAACAAATTGCCTTAAAAATAATATTTACCATTTTTTATTAATAACACTATGCTTCATCTTAGGTATATAAAACCTAGTTTTATATACTTAAATATACATGCATTTATTTGTTAAGAATTGTATACGCTATCTTTAGACAAATTAACTTATATAGATTAAAGATTGCAATATAGTAATAGATACATATAAAAGGTTAAACTATATTATTATTTTTATCACTCAAGAACAAAGAAAAGAAAATATGTTAGTCATTTACAAGTTATATAGTGTTTTCATAATAACGTCATCCTAAATTAATAAACCCAAGTAATGAAATTTTAATTTCTTTTTTTTTTCAACCAGATATTGTTATAAATACTTTACTTTAGTCTTTAAAATGTATTAGTTGACATTAATTAGATATAGATCATCAGTTAATGATAAGGGGTATAATGTGTTGCCGTTAGTGATCAATATCAACAAATAGTTGATACAAAAGGAAAGTAACAAATTAAATTTTTCGAATACTGTTGAAAATAAACACCTATGTAAAAAAGCAATAGTAGAAGTAGCATTTACTCTAAACGCAGTTTAAATTATAAACTGTGATAAAAATAAAAACGTTAGCCACTCAGTAGAGCTAAATAGGATAAATAAGAAATATTAGTAGAAACTGTAACCCCTAAATAAAACTTTTCATAGTGTGTTGTAAATTAAATTATAGATTTTCAAGAAAATGGTCCATATTATTAAAATTGTAATTTTCCCACTTCATTTCTTCCAGACAATAACAGTTACCTGCAAGATTAATATTCAATCACCATAAAAGCTCTTAACCCTCTGTTAGTGTGTTGGGGTTCATTAAACCCCAGTAGTGCAAATAAGTTTATTGAAAACCCCGTGACAAAAGATTTCTAAATATTTCTAGGCAACACACAGTGACGAAGGGTTAAATATTTTATGACTACCGTTCTCTAACTTTAGAAGACACTAACACAGTTTATTTATTTTTTTTTTTGTTAACAAAAAAAGTCCGATTTCATTTGATAACATAACATAGTAGCTGCCTAGCGTATAAAAATAACCTGTCAATCTCATTAAGTTTGCGACATCTGTGTGACAATACCCAACAATAGTTTACACTTGTACTTTACACACGTTTACATATTAAAGAGTGAACCGATTACGTTGGCTTATGATACATGAAATCAAGATAATGATGCCCTGCCCCGAGTATATAACGTAAAAGCGAAGATTACTCACCAAGTCTCAGTTCGCCAAAATTACCACAGCCAATTTTCTTGCCAACACGGAAGTTTGGACCAACCATGAGTACACTGGAATTGGCTGAAGATGACAAACCATGTCTTCCACCTACAGCCGAATGCATTGCTCTTGTTCCAGCTGACTTTCCGCCACGCTTATCATCTTTGCCGTTCTGCTCCTTTTCTCGGTCTCTCTTTTGCATGGCGCCTACAGCTGGTTAACGTTCCTCCGAGCGACTTGATCAATTTTAGCTCATTGTACACTAAAATTTGTTAAATTTCCTAGAAGTTCACACGTTGTGACCCGAAACAAACACTGTTATCATTGCACTAATTTCCCTGTGAAATTATAAATTGTTAAAACTAAAAGGAACGCCGGTTACACTACTGCATTATTCTCAACGACTTGATTTAGCAATTATAATAAGAATATTCCTTAAAAAACGTTCAAATCAACAAAGTTGAAATTGATTTAAATTGAATCCTAGAGTATTGCAGCTGAAACTCTCCATTTTTTTTGTGACTGATTAAAAAAAAAAATAATATAATATATGCATTCACAAAACATGTGTTTCAATATCAATTGCACTAGAGCGCGCTAGTATTGAGAAATACAAAGAGGATAAATATTCACTGGCAAAATGCCAATATAGTATGTACCGGTAGCGCCGTAGCGGGTAGGACAAAATATAACCATTGTATTTAATATTTATAATCAATAGTAAAGTCTCAACTGTAAAGCATAAACTTTTACAGTTTATGAACAAATATGATGTTTACAAATATGAATTTTACATTCATATTTGTATTCTATAATTACTAATTATTATATTAGAAGAAAACAGCAAAATAAATTTCTTTGTAAAAGTTTCATATTTGAATGATTTTAAAGTACTATTCGTAAAAAGAATTGTATTGAGTTCTCGAACAATTGTTTACAATTGAAATCTGTTCTGGCATTCGATTGTTTTGTAAACGATTATGAATGATTTTAGATAAGCAACTTCACACTAAACACCTTAACTCCCAGTACAATATACACTGTATGTAACTCAGTTCCCTGTGTAAATTAAAAAAATATATGTGAATTTTCTTCCCCAGAATGGCAACTCCTGCCTCTTGTAGATCAAGAGTTGTCCAAACCGACTTAAACAGGTCGTAAACTACAGAGAAGAGCATTTTATGTTGGTTTTTTTTATAATAATAAATACCAATATATCTACCGATTTTCAGCCTTATGCCCTTATCGCAATATTTGCATATTTGTAATTACAGTCACAGTAGAAACATTTTTCTTTAGATTCTTATTTTTGTTGTCTAATATGCACTATGCAGACAGCATATGTCAGAACACGATCCGTATGACTTGGGACCTTTGGGCAGTCATAGCAAAAACATCCTGATGCACATTTGGGTGAATAAGCAAACAATTTTTGGGAGTTTTTTAATTTGAAAACTGTATGTCTGTAGGTGCTAAGGGGCTGTCGAATTAGGTAGGTGTATCACTCTAGACTAATAATTAATCTAAACTAATTACCTACATGGAAATTTGGAGGTGAATATTATAGTATGGGAAATCTCATCGGAATTCTCGATCATGCCAATATGTAAATATAAGTAAAATTTGGCAAAGCCAGTATTTAAATACAGGTGTTACTGAAACCCCTGTAAATATTTCAGATATCCTATACAAACTTTAACCAATTTATAACTTCAAAGAAATTGCATAAACAAATTATATTAAGCTTGTAAAGGTTACTATTGTTGATGTCTCTAATTTAAATAGCAGAACTTTTGCAAGCTGGAAGCTGAAATTTACATAAAGGTAGTTTAGGTGTCGACTTTTTAAATGTATTAAATAATATGTAAAAACTGATGTAGGTTCATTAAATTGAGTAACATAATATGCTTTATTCAGAATAAATACAAGTATTTTTTTTAACTAGTTTTGACCACCAACAGTGAAATTAAAGTTAATGTCACTGATATTAAAACATACATCTACAACCATTCTGTTTTCCATATCTAATTTTTACGACTCCTACTCGTATATAATTACACTTTATGGTTACATTTTTTACTTGGGTTAAAATATTATTTATGGATATGAGTTCTCCATACTCTTATGGAATAGTTTTATTCTTTACACAAAAATAAATACACACAGTTCAGCAATCAACATTATAATTTTTATACAGTATTTTCATTTATTTGATTTAATGGCACTATGAAATTCTGAAAATTAATAATAAATCTGTATCATAAACCCGATATGCTTTAAATATAAAGTTAAAGACATTATTTATGTGTACAGCAAGAGCTTTTTTAAGCAAAGAATAATTCTATTTTATACCATCCCGCTTGTTTTCTAATCAATAGATTACAACATTTTTTTTAAATAATAATAATTTATTGAATATATTTAAGACTAAAAGTTTACATCAAACACTGTTTTTAATTTGGAGCAACATAAAAGCAAACATATTACTACACTATAAAGTTCTAGGTATTTAAAATAATAATAAAATAGAGTATCAGGGTGATCAAAATAATAATAATAATAAAACAGTTACTTTCTACAAACCTTATAATACCATGCGTAACAAATCAAATTGTATAAATTTAGTCAAACATACACTAGAGTAAAGAGTATTTAGAAAGCTAAATAAATGAACCGTTTAATTATTTAGAAAAAAAACAAACAATTATTTTGTATTTAAGATTTTGTCTACAAACCTGGCACTATGGAACCAAAATAGAATAGAAATGCATAAATTCATAGGATTAAATTTAAAAAAAACATTTTATAGTATGCTTTTAAATACATAAAAACTGAAATATGTGTTGTTTTATATATATAATTTATTGGGAATGTTATGTAGATAATTGTCCGCTGTTGAGGAGTCGTTCCACAGCCGCATTTATATCTCCAAATGTTGCGATTAATGCTTGTAAGTTTGCTTCTCGGTTGACGAATCCCATTGCTGAAAGTTGCTCCAACTGTGAACTGTACCTTTCTTCTGGCGGCTGAGCATTAGCTACTGGATTGCTGTTGTTTGGAATTTGGGACAACTGCATAAAAAATAAATATTAAAAACTACAAAGATCTGCATAATACACATATTTTAATCCTTTTCCTTAAGTTATTTATTTTAAAAAAACCAAAATATTTATTAAACCAAATTTTGTAAAATTAACTCTTTTAGGTTAAGAAGAAAGCTGATTATAAATGTAACCTAATTAAAAAATGTAAATTTTGTATATATTTATTTTATTTAATAACACTAAAAACTGCTTAATACACAATATTCTTTGAGTCCTGTGCGATTCCATCTTATGACAGAATTCACTTTCATAACATTCACATTAAAAAATAGAGTACATACAAAGAAACGCACCCAATTTATTTAAGCTTATACATGTACCTACAACTGTAATTATTAATGTAAACTCCACTACATTTTTATAAACATTGGATAGTTGAATTTAAAAGTTTGTTTAAATAAATAATGTTCATTTAAGTAACAAACTCCGTATATTATATTAAAAACTTACCATTCTTCTCATGAGTTCAGCAAAATTATTTTCTTGGCCATCAGCGGCAGCATCATTAGGTATGGTTGAATCAGCATTAGGTGTTGAATTTGTGTTAGTTGTTGGAAAAAAGGACTGGCCGCCTAATGGTCCACCAACATTAGGCATATTTGTACGTAATGCCGCAAGACCACGTTGTATTTGATCAAGAGCTGATAAAACATTTGGATTGGTGGCCATTTCTTGAACAGCAGGGTTGCCCATCTGCTGTAAGAATGCAGGCATCATACTACGAAATTGTGACTAAAGAAATTTGTAAAACTTCATTAACTAACAAAGAACAAAAAGCCAGTGGGACATAACACATTGGGGTCAGGTAGGCAAAAAAAAAATAATAATAATAAAAACAAAAAAACAAAATTTTTTATGTTTGATACGTAGCAAAGCTAAGACAATTAAATAAATTTCTTACCTGAAGTTCTGGGTTATTTGCAAGTAATGGATTGTTACTAAGCATATCATTTGCGATGCTGGGGTTACTTGACATAGCCTGTAATGTAGATTGGAAATATGGAGTATTCATAATATTCTGCATTACTTGAGGATTTTGAATCATTTGCTGCATCATCGAATTCATTGCGTCGTTGCCAAATAAACTACCAGCAGATCCCGGAGTTGGAATATTCCCAGTTGCTGGCGAAGACCTTACATTTGGCGAGGAGTCTGACTGATTAGTTCCAGTTGATCCACTCCAAGGATTTGGTAAAGGATCTCTGTTTTCTTGTCCCTGTTGAGGATTTTGATCTAAAAAAAAAAAAAATAAACTATTTAATGATTTAATAATAATTAAGGCTTTAAACCAAAATATTTTTTTCAGAGTTGTAGGGTTTTTCAGTTTAATGGGAGACATAAAGTGGCCTACACATTCTTTGCAATTTTTTCTTAGTACCTTCTAAAAGCAAGATATACAAAAATGGGCCAAGGATCTTTATACTTCTTCCCACCTTCCTATATAATAAGCTCGCTGTTTTTCTTACATGTGATTGTTACAATCAATCCATGCGGCTAGTCAGAGTCCAATGAAAGGAAAACTTTTAAATGTCAAGAAATTACAACAATAACACAAAAAATTAATTGATGAGCAATGAAAAACGTCAATCAATTTATATAGTTAATAGGGCAGTTATCTAGACGATGTAATAGATAAACAAATTGTATTTTTCATAAGGATTATAAAATAATGACTAGCATGCATCATTAGAAGTTTATAATTTATTTAGAGGTAATCTTGGGTTGAAAAATTGACATTTAAAACAATTTTTTTAAACTGTTGAATAATGTTTTTTTCTGAACGTATATGTGACGGCGGCAATTTGGCCGCCCGTTGATTTTTTATCAATTCTATTAGTTTTTTTTATTTAATATGCATATTTCGAAATAATTAGAAACAAATTAACTCTTAACACAACATTGCAAAACAAATTTGACCAAATATATTTATTTATTTGCGTGGACCGCAAATTGGCTGTCCTTTTAAATTTTTGCGAACATTTTTCTTCTAAGCGACGAGGGAGTGGTGGGAGGGAAAATTTAAAAGGGTGGCCAATTTGACGCCCGCGCGAGCGGATGAATGTTAAGTATAATAAATACAATTTTTAACTATAACAAATCACAAGAAAATTAAAAAAAAATTTTTTTTAGAAAAATTTGTTTACTCCTAACCTTAACAACAAAAATGTAGGAGGTTGTTTTATCGCACACTGTAGATCAATATTAAAACACTCAATTATAGTTTAAAAAATTTAATTTACCTCCACCACTTTCATTTGAGGCAGCAAATGTGTTACGGCTAAATTCTTCAGTTGCCGCATTCATAAATGGTTCCTGAACATCTCTGTACATCCGTTGAAGTGCGCTGAAACCGCCTGGTATCGATTCTAAATTTGACAAAGCTCTGTCTTGTGTACGCATTAATTCTTGCAGCATAGACGGGTTTCTGGCCATTTCCATTGTTTGGCGCAAAATTTCAGGATTATTTAGCATATGGTTTATTTCAGGGTGTCTCTAAATAAATACAATATATATTATTACAAAAATCTAAAACTACAAAGTTAATAACTGCTGAATTACCTCTACAAGCTGTTGCATTTGAGGGTTCGCCATAATTAACTGTCTCATATGAGCCGGATCACTCATCATTTGTTGTACCATTGGACTGTCAACCAAGTTTCTAAGCATGTCTGGATTATCAAGTAGCTCACGCTGCATACGTTGCTGCAATTCCATAAAGTTAGCAGAGCTGAATCCCAAAGATTCCATGCCGGGCAAACCACCTAGCATGCCCAAATTAAATGGTGACGCATTTATATCAGCTGAAAATATTTATACATTGTAGACAAAAATTAACAAAATTAATAATCAACAATTTGTATAGTACCAGGAGGTCTTTGAGTTTGGGCAGATCCCGCGTTTGTAGATGATGTGTTAGATGTCGCATTGTTTTGTGGTGCATTAGTTTTGATAACTAAATGCACTGTCAAACCATCTTTGATGTTATGTGAAGCCAGTGTGTCTTGATCCTTCATGATTTTTCCAGCAAATATTAGGCATAATTGTGCTGTTTGTGCATTAAACTGTTTAGCAACTATTTCTTTAAACTGTAATTAGATAAAATAATAAATTAACAAATTGAATTAACAGCTAGTTATATATAAATCAAAATAATTAAACGAGTATGTAATTATATTTGAAAAAAAATAACATTAGTGCTGATGAGCATAACATAACAAATAAATATAAGGTTTAAGTATAGTGTAAATGTATTCTAGATGTAAATTTTTTTTAAATAAAAACTGTTGAGCTGCTATAAAAGAATTTATGAAGCGGGATGATTGTCATAAAGAGTAGCTGTTGGTTTGATTACCGCAGCCTTGCAAAAAATGATGGGAAAGAACGATTGCTCAGAACCTACTTCACTAAGAGGGACGCCAACACAACCTAACCAGAGAAGGGCAAAAAGTACCAAAGGAGCAACAAATTATAACAATTAATATCAATTTTGGTTAGTTAACATTTTCAATCCCATTTAAATGCGATGTAGGACTCAGTTAACATTTGTTACACAAAGTACAAAAATTAACCCTGATATCCTAAGAACCATGTTTGACGCACCTTTTTTTGTCATATCATAGTGTTTTTTTAAGCTATTACAAATCTAAAGTTGAAAATTGGCGGCACTTCTAGTTCTAAAGTTACAGCTAGTTGAAATTTTAATATTTTTACGTGTATAACAATAGGCGGCAGCTATGGCAGCTACCAACTGCCGCCGCATCATACATTTGTCATCGACAGGAGTGCGCGCTGCTACAGTATTATTAGTTAATTATTTATTTTTATAATTATTATTGATTATTATATTGCTACAGCCTTCGTCGACCACCGCCACTCTATACATTTGTCAGCAACCCGATGATTGGTTAGGTTTCGGACTCGTTAGGCCACTGACGCTTCTAGAGCGGTAGGTAGGTTAGTCTTTTAGGCAAGCTATTTTTTCTTCTGGGGGTTTGGAGGTGTGAGTCCTCTCACGTGAGTTCTCTCGAGGCCCGAGTTATTTTATAGAGTTAATGATTTACTAACTTAAAGCTTTAAAACTTAAACAAACAACATTGTTGTTCAATAAAATTATTGATAATAATATAATAATCAGCAGCGGGCACTCGCATTGCCAACATATGGTACGGCGGCTTCAGCCGTTTCTGACCGCCGCAGCAGTCACCGCCCGCTGCCGCCTAATATACATGCAGAAATATGCAAATTTCAAGTAGCTATAACTTTTGAACTAAATGAGTCCGCCTAATTTTGACTTCTGATTCGGAATAAACGTAAAAATCTCTGTGATATGGCAAAAAAAAAAAAGCAAATAAAAGAATGTCTGGAAAAGTGAATTTGTTCCATTACTTTTAATAGCTTATACAAATTACACCTCCCATACTTCTGTCGTCTATATATATTTAAATGCAGTTCGTGTTTAGTAAAACTGAAGCTGTAAACTTGCATTTGGTTTACATTGGAAAGACAAAATATAGAACACCCATTAGGTTTATAATTTTATTATAAGTGATAGCAAAAGTCAATGTCACTGTTGCAACATACACTGGCCATACCGGTTTTAATACATATTTCAACATTAATTATGATGGATATTATAGTCGATGATGATAAAATGAGTCAGCTAAAATATTTACATAACCTTAAAATCAACAGTAAAACGATGATATAAATCGGCATTTGTCGAGCAAGTATCAATAATCGTTCGAGTGTGAATACATAGCTACGAGCCTATCCAAAGGAATAATATCTACATTATAATTCATGCCACAATCGTGTATGTTTACAAAAAACTTACTTCGCTAATAGTAGCGTTCTCCTGAACTTCGACGGTTTGCTTCTCTTTGGGCGTTTTTACTGTTACCGTGATTTTTTTCACAACGACCTCTTCGCCGTCAGACATTTCGCTGGTCTGAATTAATAACCAAAAGATTTGAACGGCGCGCAAACAACTCGCGGGTCACGGTATGTGTTTAATTATGCACGGGGACACGATCGGCAAAAAAGTTACGCGTTTTTTAGCCGTACGTAGGGAGGACTGACGAATATCAAATATTATATTATTTTATACAATATAAATAGGTGTATAATGTACATAGTACATTCGAGCAATGATAATGATAATGAACATGTAAAGATACTGATCCATGGAAGAAAAAATATGAAAACATATGCCGGTCATGGATTAAACTATTATCTGGATAATTTTGAAAAGGACACGTTTATAATTTTCGATGACGGACGATTTTAAAAATAATATAATATATTTTTATATTATTTACATAATATAATTAATGTACTATACACTGCTATATAGTAACTAGGTATAGTATGGGTGGCGGGACATATTCGATTTCGATACGTCATTTAATTTGTTTCCCCCATACACCTTATACTAGTATAAGCCATAAGGTCTATAGTTGCCCCAGAGTCCAAACCAATAGGGTGAAGGTTCAAATGTTCAACAGTGTAAAACAATAGTCGACAGAAATAATAGCAATATGTAGCTTATATCGCGATTTGTAAAGCATAAAAAATGTTTTTTATAGAAGTAGATTATATCGCGATTTTATAGTACAATAAATGTTTTTTTTATAGAAAAGCATAGATTAAATATATACAGCAGAGGCAGAGGAGGGGAAAATATAAAATAAATGTATAAAACCGCTACATATTAAATAAATTATTTGAATGGCATCGTTCAAAATACAAAAAGCATATGAACTAAAAATAAAAATAAAGTTATTGATGAGATTAAAAAAATCAAATCCAATACAATCACAGCTTTCATTATAACTAAAACATTAAAAAATATATTTATAATTAGTATATACCATGATTGTTAAAAAAAATGCCTGTAAATTTGATCACAAGATAAGACCAGAAAAAGCTATTTATGTATTTAAATTAAATTTAATTACAGGGTCATCTAACCCCATGAACAATAGTACATCTAAATGATATCTATTTAAATATAAGGAAAGTTAATACAATAAAGAACTTATTATCGTATTTTAAAATCAATCCTAAGACAAATAATATTTATAATCTGTACAAAATGTTGCATAAAAATATTAATATATTTAACAAAGTTCAAATTATACAAGTTATGGATGTACATACATAAGTAAATATTTAAAGACTTCAAAACATAAATATAAGACTAATTTTTAAGAATAGAAAAATATTTAGTTAGTTATTTGTCATGTCATACAATTTATTAAAGTTTTAATTTATAATTCTCAAGTTACTTAATACTAATTTAATATAATTTAGTTAGTATTTTACTATGATAAGAATAAATAATACATAGAATTCAAAATCTCATTTCCTTCATCTTTATTAAACTTTTTTGTAGAACAAACTTGTAAACTATTTATATTATTTTTTTTCTTAAAAATGACCATTTAAATAGATTGGCAGTGTTTATGAAGCGCAAATAACCATAATGATAATTATTATAGTTAACTGGGATGTTCATACATTTATACCGAATTAGTTTTTAATTCAGTTACTATCCGGACAAACTATCTTGGAAGTTTTTCTTTCAGTGCCGTATTTTGGGAGAACTTGCTCTGTAGCCAATCAAAAAATACATATACATACAATACAAAAATAAATTGTTACTAAAAATTAAGAATTTAAAAACAGTAACTGGAATTATAATTCATCATAGTTCTTCTAAGAACTATTGTAATGTTTTCAACTATTTTTTAGAGATGTTACAAGTGTGGTTTCCAATACCACTTTAACTCGCACGAGGCAAAAATTGACCACAATATGACAAACCTGTTAAATTACATTTTTTTAAATAGTGATAGTACAAAATATAATTTTACTATATACTTTAACATACAATTTAGACTTATTAAAAAACCTTTTAAGTGCAGGTAAATTTGATGAGAATAAAATTTTACTCTACTTGTGGTATTGGTTAATAAGTATATAAATGTTGGTATCTATAAATGAACAATATTTCATACAAATGGTATAGAGCTTTGAATTTAAAAGGCTATTGATGAAAAAAAATTTATTTATTTTAAGATTTATAGTTTATTATAAGTAATACATTTTTAATAGCTACATTTTAATTTAATTAACAAATTTTTTTATAAAACACTTAATAATATAAAATTGATAACCTACACATACACAACGTAAATTTAAAAATTAAAAAAATAATGTTAACATTAAACATACAATTTATAGGTATTTAACTTTTTAATATAAACAAAACTATAACAACCTTATAATTTTATTACACAAGAATTTATTTAAGGAAATCATTTAAAAAAAAACGGAATATTTTTTTTAATAACTATTGGTACCCTACCTAAATTTTAAAAAAACGTATAAAACAAAAAAGACGGCTATAGTAAATAATACGAGGTAAAACATATTGTAACCGCCACTATTTCTACTAAGCCTAGTAACCCGCCCAAGGGTGTTACTTAGAAAACCTCCAGTTGTTTCGAAATCATGATCCATATCTCTAAGTAACCGATCTTGATACTTCACTTCAGCCCCAATATCAATAGATAAAGACTTTAGTGTATTCACTTTATTTTTTAATTGTTCTGTCAAGTCGTCATTTTCATGCTCTATGAATTCACTACCAAACGAACTTGTGGATGGTAATGGATCGTATTGATTTCCTCCGTGCGTTCTTCTCATTCTGTTATCTGAAATTTTCAGATTGCTTAAAATCTTTTTAATAATAAAAAAATTAAATTTTACCTTTAAAATCCATTAACCGCTTAACACAAGATCCCTGAATTCATATCAAATTTTATTGTAAAGAAATTCGTAAATAAAAAAATTTAGTATTATGAAATATATTACAATTTACAAATAATAATTATTCATTTATCTCTTATCTCTTATCAGTTATAAATGCCACATGCCTTGTCACAGAATTCGGTGACGTCTTGATGTACATAACAAAATAGCAAGGTTTGTCGGTATCTAATGATATTTGAAAAATGGCTGATGGGTTTTAACGTCGGCCATATGCAGTAGCCACACACAGGCTCTGTGGTAGCCATATTGTAAAAATTGATAACATAAGTTGCTAACATACCTATTCATTTCACAGCTGTGTTGTTGGCGCTGCAACACTGGTATAACGTGAAAATGGGAATTTTGATTTTTTCTAGACGTTATACCTATATATTGTTATCACTACATGTAAGTACACCATATAGATAAACAACTGTGAAATCAAGAAATAATAATTAATAGCAGTTAGTCCTTATTCAGTACTACTCTATGCTCAGAATTTGCAAATGATCAGCTCCCGACACGGCGCTTCGACTTTTTGGAAGCTGAGACATAATTTGTGAGTTCGTTATTATTGTGTCGTTATTTACCATCGTAAAATAAATTACATTATCGGGTTTGCAAAAGTAATCATATTACGGCTCGTTTAAGACTTAAAGAGTCACTTTACAACTATTGATTTTAGAAAACAATGTTTCGAAATGGTAAAATTTCTGAAACTACCCAAACTAAACAATCTCGCAGTGAACGATTCCAAGAAATGTCGAAACAGCAACAATTGATAGAACAAAAAAAACGGGAAATTCAAGCTAGATTCGAAGAGAAGAAAAAGAAAATTGCTGAACAATCCGAAGGAAGCAACAAACCATCAAAACCATTAGCTATTACGAAAAATTCTATTAAATTAGATAAAATCAAATCGTTTTATCAAAAATCTAAAGGTTTATTGAAGTAAGTTAATTTGGATTATTTCTTATTCCTAAAACATGTTGTATTTTATATATTGTCAAACAGAAATGAGAATTCAGTAAAAAATGTTCATGAGGACCTTCCTTACGAGTCAACAGGAGTGCACAAAAGTAAACCCTCTTTGGCAGATGTTTTTGAAAAAGATGATGATACTAGTACGTTGTTTTTTTAAATATTTATTTAGAATAATAAATAAAAAGTTGCTATCTGACGGTAGTTGAGATGTTAATTTTAATGCATAGCCACTAGGGATGTCCAACCTTAAGTCCTTATGATAGGTGGTCGACCATGATTATCTTAATTATTTTTAAAATGAGTTTAAACATTTGTAAATTTTTTTTATAAAAAATTAGTTTTAAAATTAATCCTCAATTAATTTTTTACCTTAAAACAATTAGTTGTGTTTAAACAAGCTAAGTTAAGAATCTTGAATAAAATTTCTAAATAGTGGAAATTTAAAGTCCAACATTTTAATTTTTATCTAAATATATAATAATATGGATATAATTTTTCAGTAAGAGCCAGTAAATAAGTTACAGTCATCAATGTTTGCTTATTTTATGACTAAAATTTATAAAAGTTTTAATGTTTTATAACATAAATTAATTGACATTTTTACTATTAGGTATTGTTTTATTTAATGTATTTTTTTTTTTTTTTTTTGTGAATATATTGGGAAACCGAGTCAAACATTGCATAAAATCGCAACAGATTTAGTTAACAGTCATTATATAAACAGACAAATTAATAGGTTTTAAAAAAAATTATGAATAATATGCATAATAAATTATTGTAAATAAATATAGCTAATGACCATGAATTGTCAGGCCTATAATATATTTAAAATAACAAGAGTAATAATTAAATGCATTTGTAAATCATATTATAAATATGTTCATAATCGTATTATTAGGTTGTTTTATTTTTTTAAATAAGTACACACTGAATACTTGCGCAAAATTTTATAACTACCCTTGACAAAATTGTCTACCCCTAGATGATAATATTTATTTTGATTTTGATTGGAGATTGGTAGAGTTATATCTAAAGGCAGATTTACACATACACGGCTTATTGCCAAAATTGCAGCGCAACAAATCTGTTCACGGTTTTGCTTTATATTTGCAGCCATGCGGCATTGTTACAGTTTTCAAGTGTACGTCTAGCTATCCTGGCATGTTAGCATCAGATTATTAGTTAATTTAATTAAGCCCAAGCGGCCAAAATCGTGTATGAGTGTACTTAAGAAATATCTCAAATAAACTTGGAACTGATTAAACTATTTTCTTAAAATTAATTAGCTTATGTTATTTTTAATTTAAAAAATATGTAAATTTTTAGGGGCTTTTTCTTTCTTTTTTTTTTTTTTTACTTTTGGTCTTAATATTTTTGGTAAACAATTTTTGGTCTGTTGCACTTGCTTCAGACAACAACAAAAACACATCATTGACAAACCACAATACCTTTTCTGCTCCAAACTACTGCTAAGAAAGTGCATCATTATTTTTTAATTGAAAATTTTCAACTTAAAACTTTGACTTGCTATAACTTTGACAAAATTGGTATGACTAAAGCTAAGGCCCCACTGAGAGCGATTTGCGTTTTTGCGATAGCGTGTAGCGTGTTGGCGATTTAGCGATTTTATAGAAATAAATATGTAGTGTCCCCACTGACCGCGTGTAGCGTTTTACGATTTTAGCTACACGCACGAGAATCGCTGAAAAAACAAAATTGTTTGATTTTCGGCGATTAATCGCTGTTAAAATGGTATCATCGTCGGTTCTGTCAGAACAAATTGCTACTGCTGTATACCTACAAGAACCCATATGGAATCCGAGACACCCAGACCACAGAAATCGAAACAGTCCTGAGATGTTGTAGGTCTGTTATAGGACAAAACCTTAAAATTGATAAAATGTATGGTAATTTAATTATTTAATGTTATATATTTAGGTTTATTAAATTAGTTATTATAAATTATATGTTTTAATACTAGTAATAAAATAAATAAAAATAGAGCTCGGATGTTAATGACCTAAAATGCATTTGAAAATTAATGTAGAAATGAACACGCGCGACATAAAAAAACGCTAAAGTGTCCCCACCAAAATCGCTGGTGGACATCTGGCGTGTAAAATCGCGGAATCGCTCACACGCAAATCGCTTTCAGTGGGTCCTTAGCTTTAGTCATACCAATTTTGTCAAAGTTATAGCAAGTCAAAGTTTTAAGTTGAAAATTTTCAATTAAAAAATAATGATGCACTTTCTTAGCAGTAGTTTGGAGCAGAAAAGGTATTGTGGTTTGTCAATGATGTGTTTTTGTTGTTGTCTGAAGCTTAAGTCAAAATTTGTTATGAAAAGTTGCACAAATCTCGAAATTTAAATTTAAATGTTTGAACTTTGATTTAGATGAAATCACTTTTATATCAATTTAAAAATGTCTTCACCCAGCTTAGTTTTTTTTTTTTATTTATTAAATTTAGTTTTACAAAATAATTTTTCAGATTCTAAAGAACATGAACATTTTAAAGATGACAAACCTGAGGTTAAACACGGACCTAAATTAGGTATATGTTGAAATTTATTTAATGTTCAAGTAATTTAATTTAGTTGTATTTATTTTTCGTTATAGAGCAAAACTATTGTTCGGAACAGTATGAAGAACCAAAGTCATTCATGTCATTGCCTGAACATCAATTTGTGGGTTATGAAATTAATCAATCTTACCAGCAACCTAGCTATTACAGTTCCCCGTCAATTCAAGTGACTACGATTCAACCACAAACTACTGTTGTTCAAGTTCCTACTGTTTCAATAGTTACAACACATCCAATTTTACAAATTTCCCAGCCTTCAATTTACCCAACACATAATCCAGTGTTCTTATCTCAAAATAATGCAAAAGTAAAATTCAATGTTTCATGTATATTATTTATGACAAATACAATGTATTAGTTAACAATTATATTTTTAGCTCGGTCAGTACCAACAGTATCCTATACAGACTCCTCCATTGACCGCTACAATAGTAACTGATACAACTACAACAGCGACTGTACCAAGGAGTGCTGACGAACAACCATCACTCATAGTAACCGAAACCTCAACAGTGTCTTTAGGACCAACACCGAGTGCCGCACATTTATTGAACGCTCCACCACAGACGATTGAAACTTATACTGCGGTTCCCAGAGGTACTCTTAAAAAAAATTGTAAATTTTGTATAATGTACATGTACACTAGTAACTATGACAAAAGTTGGGTTGTTTGGGGGTGTGGGAGGGATTTGAGTATTAATCACACATTGAGCTGAATCAGAGTTGTCTAGCTTTGAATACAGTGCTGAGATGTGAACCGCAAGCAACACTCGACAATCAAGATGTTGAAAGTTTGGCTGCTACAGTAGCTGAGTATGGTGATGAAATTGAAGATATTATACAACGAGAACGACCACAAGATGTCAATTTATTGTACGAGAATCCATCTTAAGCAATTGTGTGTGTACTATATTATATTGTGTTTTAATTGTTTAGATTCTTGAGGGACAAAAATTCTCCAGCCTATTCAATTTTTCGACAAAGAGTCGGATACTTAAGAGCTAAAATAATAGCAAATAAATTGACTCCCACAGACATAAAACCACAATCATCTTTAAATTATGAAGTAACAAATTCTGAAAATGATGATAGTATCAGTAGAAAACGTAAACGTAAAAGTCGATGGGCAAGTGACAATGTTAAAGTTCCGATTGTTTCACCAATTGGAATTATTCCTTCGATAGATTTAGCAAAAACAATTCCACAGCCAGCCAATGCTAATAAACTTGGTAATTGATGTGTTATAAAATATTAACATTTTAATTATATTACTAAGTACCCATTTCGCATTTTATACAACTATATTTTGTTTTATAGCCGGTGTGCCCGGTTTGTCTGGTCCGATGATCAGCCAAGTTCAACGTACAGATCCAGCTCTTTTACAATATGCCATGCAATCTTTTGGTACATTAAATTTATCTGAAGAAGACTGGAAAAAAGCCGAAGACCATTTTAAAGTAAATAAATGTTTAAATTTTTTTTTTTTTTTAGTGCGGCATTTTTTAAAAAATGAATTCAAATAACTGTTAGTTTGTAATGGTCAAATAAAAATTTATTTTAAAAAATTTATTGTTTTTAAACAATTTTGTGTTATTCAATTTAAAAAATGCCCAGGTTTGCCCTCATCATATAAATGCCAACATTTTGGCAACGTTTATAAATAGTATTTTATATCAAATACATCTAATACATTTTTTAAAAGAAATTATAATTTATTCACTAACAATGTATGTCTTAAGGTATTGTGTCCGAGAGTCACTAAAAATGTTCATAATCTATGACCACTTGAGATGAAAGTAGCCTTACTCCTAATTTAATTTACTTACCCAGTAATTTATTAATACATTTACACTAAATTAAAAAATGATAGACTATTTATAACATATATATGTGTGTGTGTGTGTGTGTGTATACACCAAGTAATAAATTGCTTTAAATATATAAAATAGATAAAAAAATAATGTTTAGTTTTTTTACAGATTAATTTGTTGTACCAAGATATGCTTAAGAAACGTCAAGAAATAGAACGTCTGAAAAAGGCTGGGAAGTTTAAGTATGAGTATGATAGTGATGAAGACACTGAAGGAGGTACCTGGGAACACAAATTAAGAAAGGAGGAAATGATAGCAACTGAAAGGTGGGCAGAAGAGTTGACTGAGAAATCCAAAGAAAAACATCATATTGGAGACTTTTTACCACCTGATGAACTTTCAAGATTCATGGAAAAGGTTTGTGATTGTATGATTTTATAATTAAAATATGATGTACTTAAAAATTATGTTATTTTGTTTTATTTTTAGTATTCTGCCCTAAAAGAAGATCGTGAACCTGATCTCTCCGATTATAAAGAGTTTAAACTGAAAGAAAATAATATAGGCTTCCAAATGTTACAAAAACTTGGTTGGTCTGAAGGACAAGGTTTAGGATCCAGCGGTACTGGAATAGTTGAACCTGTCAACAAGTAATAATTTTTTTTTTAAAAAATTAGTTGAGCATATATATATTAGATAAAAGTTTAATACTATAAAATAAAAATTAAACATAAATCATTATTTTGATATATTTTTTGATATTTTACTTTAATTTGTAAACTTGATTAAATTAATGATAGTAATATGTTTTCTTTCATAATGAATAAATAATTATTTATTACTTCCCTAAAATAATATTATTTGATTCAAATTTGGCCCAACACTGCTCACTATTAACCATTTAGTGTCAAAATTATTTTTAAATTAAAATATTCAACAATGTTAAGATTACTTTATGATTAGTTCATAATTATACTCAGTATGGAATAAGATAAGACTGAGCTATCTCTGAAAAAAAAAAAATTGGGCAATAATTTTATCCAAAAGTATTTATAGTTGATAGAATTTTTTTCCTCTGTATATTTTATACTGATACAATTTTTAAAAAAAATTTCAGAGGCGGATCTCATAATGAAAACCAAGGATTGGGTATTGAAAGACCATCAGAACTAAGACAAAATGACGATGAATTTGATGCGTATAGAAAACGGATGATGCTAGCTTATCGTTTCCGGCCTAATCCATTGGTAAGTATTGTATTTTGTTGTTGTTATTATTATTAAATAATAAATAAACAAGTTGTGCGTAAGTTACCTATTTTTCTTAAGAAGAGTACTCTACTTAGTTGGTAGAAGGGTGCAATTAGTTTGGAAAGTGACTGACGAAAATATTTAAATCTTTAAAATAATTGCAGTATAAATTATTATTATTATTTTTAAGAATATCGACCATGGTTAACTAATCTTGAGTATTAAGAAATTGAAAAAATAAGTATATCTAAATAAAACTCAAAGAAAGTTGAATAGTGTTAAGTATGAGTGTATGAGGTAGCTTTACAACATACAAATGTCTAATATAATATTAAAATAATATTTTTATGAAATATTTGTTTCAGAATAACCCACGAAGACCATATTATTAAAATAAAGACAGCGACCATTCAACTACCTATTCAAAATGTTGAGTGACCTCTTTTATAGATGTCAATTTTAATACTGTTTAAGTTTTTATTGTTAATTAGAAATAGTGTTTTTGCTGCTATAATCTCTTAAAAATACACTTCATGTCTGTGTGACCATATCAATATAATATATTGATATTATGTAAATATTTGATGTTTATAACTATCTATTCTATGTACTATAATTTTATAATATAATATCTGAATAAAAATAATTTTTTTTTTCTTTAAGAAACCCCTTGCGAAAATATAATGTAAGATAGTAGATGAATACAATTTTCATATTAGGATAACAAATTATTGTTATGAAAAGTATCTAGAAAAAAAAAATTACTTTGTATGTAATGTATTGCATATAAGAATTTCACATAATTAAAAAAAGGTATTTCAAATAAATTATGTTATTCAAATAATTTTTATTTAAATACAACTAACGATTTATTTGATAAATTTAACTATGAGTTTTTTATTTTATAATTATGCCTAATACTGATTAAAAACGTACATATTATTTTTATTTATGATTAATTGTTCGCACGTTTTTAGCGACATTCATAGGTGAAAAATTAATTTTAAATTCCGAGGCAGTTAAACAGTTATTTATTTCATGGTTTACCTTGCCTACTTAAAACACATTAATTTTTATATTAATTCTATACTGTAGGATGATTTTTCCCAACAAGGTAAGTAAAAAAGATTTGTTCTAACCTCCACACATTTTTTGTTCTCTGTTCATTATTTAACATTATATCATAAACATTCAACATAATCGAAGGAAAATCAGGTACAGAAAATATGAACCTCAGTAACTTACGAATGAATGATCATAAGTAAATAAGTTATGTTTTTATCGATTGGTTCGAAAAGTATCAAATTGAATTACATTCTAAATAATTTTAATTCTAAATTTGATTTTGTACATTTCAGATTTCTATTTTTACCAATATTTTTTAAAAATGTTTTTATTTATTTAAAGCATATTTTGTGTAGATACACATAATATACTTTTAAATAAAAGTATTAATAAAATAATGGCAATATAAAAGAAAACAATTTTATTTATCTAAAATGTATTATAACAAATTAATATTACTTGATGTAAAGAAAAAAATTAATGGTTGACGATTATTTTGTTTATTAAGTCGTTTTATTTGTGGTTTTAAAAAAAATGTTAGTTTTATATATTTTATTTAAGTATACAATACTTTATACTTAAATATATATATATATATATATATTTATTTATTATTTATATATATATTAATTAAACAACTAAAAAATGTATTTAAAAAGCAAATAAAAATTTGTTAACGCATATTTGGTTTGTTTTTATTGCATATTTAGGTATTTTTAACGCATAAATACATGGCTTTAAAACCATTTTTGTTTACTTAATACTTTACATCAGGTTACCTTCCCATTATACTTATAAATGATAGCAAGTTAAAATAATGCGCCGTTCTAATAATGGGCTTTGTGATTTTAAGTGTTTAAAATCATAATTATTTTGTTCACTAAATAAAGGCAAATGGTGGCCTTCTTTATTTTGGCAACTTGGATACACGCGCCAGATTTTATGCGCATAATAATTATTAGCTTGAAATGCGATTTGCATTACTTTGTTGTTACACGGGAAAATGCGTTTTAAGTGTTTAAACAATATAAACCCTCAAAACAAAAGTATTGTGAACGGGATTTTTGGATACTGCCGTAGATATTTTACGAAGGTCTATGTCATTTGATCAATACTACCGCAATAAACCAAGTGTAACTATTATAGAAAATGGGAAATTGAGAATAATAATCAACTTGTGAGTTGCGCGTATGGCGCATGACGATATGACGTCAACGGCCTCAAGGCTCAAGCAGGACACGAGTCGTTTGAATAACACACAGCACACTGCCCACAGTCCACACTCCACAGATTATGTAAAACCGAAAACGTCAATTGTTTGGACTTTCGATCGGGCAAATCCATTGACTTCCCGCCGCCCGAGGTATAGTACCCTTGGTATACCGAACTGGCAGACGACTAAACGCGCTTGGTTCAATCCGTAGAACAAGGGCGTAATGCGATTCGTGAGCGCTGATTGGCCGGTTTGCAACTGCATACCTAATCGTTTCTACTCAGAATGGATTTGCCCGATCCAGCTATATCAGTGTTGACTTCACGCACTACAGCTATAATACGCCATTGTCTATTGTACCTACATATTCGTCTGACGAGTTGTGAGGCTTATTCTTTTTGTGATCTGTGTTCGTTTAAGCAAGTTTTTTTCCTATTGACTACTAGATTGTATTCACAATACATTCACACCAAGCTTATTACACGGTAAGTAGTATAATATTTTATCGATTGTCTAATGTAAACTTGTCTCTTTTAAACTCCCGTCACTTCTTGGATCTTTCTTGTGTTTTGCAATGCGTACAAATAATATACTAACGGTTAAACTTTAATCTTTATTTGGTAACCTTTTGTATTAAAACTGCGATTTTACATCTCTTTCGACATGAAGCTAAATTATCAATGATTAATAATCGTGAGTTGGTGAAAATGTAACGAAGTTTGTTGTTCAACGAGTTTTAATTTTTAGTGTTCGTCCTTGTAATGGTTGCAGATTGTTGCACCTGTTTACCATGACTCGCATAAAATTCCCAAGTATTTTTACGACGTACCCGATGAGTCATATGTAATATTAGATTTTTTGTTGTAATTATAAAATTACTTGCGTTTTACCACGTCATCGCCGAGTGTACTGTAAGCAACATTTATAAATTAAAAATTTTTTTTAAAATTTCTAATTAACATTTGCCTAATGATGCATATTATTAGAGTAACGATTTTAAAATTTAGTATTTTCTTTATTGATAAATAATGATGTTAACAAATTTTTAACATTTTTCATTTTGTTTGAGAAAGATCAATTAAAGATCAATCCTCATCCTCAATGCAATCCTTCAAAAAAAAAAAAATGTTATTATAAACTAATTTTTAAGCCTTTTATAAAATATATAGCATATAAAAATCTATTATTTAGGTTCCTATGGTGGTGTTAATTTAACAACTGGATTTCATTCTACTTGAGTCTTCTAAAATGACATCAGCATCTAGTACAAGTGCACGTTCGCTCTTTGGAGATTCTAAAAATTTACTAAGTGAACGCGTTAAACTAAACATTAATAACATGTCTTCGGTTATAAAGCAGATGCAAAAGAGTTCAAAAAGTCATGAAATCATTAATCATAATATTAGAGGTCTTGCGACACAAGAAAGTAGTATTGAGCGGACTGAACAAAGTTTAAATCAATTAAAAAGCATATGTACAAATTTTAATCTACAATTTGAAGATTTAATACAATCAGTTAACATGATTGAAGAAGTCAAAGAACACGTGCAAACAATGCAAAGATAGATTTTTTTCATTGAATTCCAAAATAAATTGATTGATTGTAAACAATAATATTTAATTGAAATATAAATTTTTTTATATTTAAGTAATTCAACAATATTTAATATTTGTAATCATCATTTAAAAAGTAGTATGTTTAAAATACACGCACTGTACAAATTACCTTCTTTTATATCACATCAATAACAATATGTATGTTAGATTAGTCGAGAGCCCTCAAAGAAATTTGATTTTAAATAAAATTTCACTGTATCTTTAAAATAATCTTAATTTCATTATTTATTTTTAATTATCTAATTATGATATTATTAAATACTCGTCAACTAAAAATTTATAAATAAATAACTATTGTAATTGTAACAATTAAATAGTTATAACAATATCAAATGTAGCCATGTGTGTAATATATATATATATATATATATATATTGTCGACGTCATGCGAAAACTGACAAAGTGTATTTTAATAGTTTTTGTAATATTTTTACTATTTATTATAGTTAAAATAACGCATTTACATTTGTTATTTCACTTGGCCACAGTTTTTGCATGACAACAATATATAAATATAAATATTTCATTGATAGTCTTTCCTTCCTCATTTACCATAAATATTTTTTATCAACATTAAATAGTATTTCTTTTTTCCTTATATTTTTCCAAAAATAAAGTATAATAATTACACAAAAATAAATATTTATGTTTTTTTTCCAGAATAAACATTAAAAATGCAAATATTTGTGAAAACATTGACTGGCAAGACCATCACATTGGAAGTTGAATCTTCTGATTCAATTGAAAATGTAAAGGCTAAAATCCAAGACAAGGAAGGCATTCCCCCAGACCAACAACGATTGATCTTTGCCGGCAAACAACTCGAGGACGGCCGTACTCTTTCGGACTACAATATTCAAAAAGAATCTACCCTTCACTTGGTCCTTCGTCTCCGAGGAGGTATGCAAATCTTTGTGAAAACATTGACTGGCAAGACCATCACATTGGAAGTAGAATCATCTGATTCAATCGAAAATGTAAAGGCCAAAATTCAAGACAAGGAAGGCATTCCCCCAGACCAACAACGATTAATCTTTGCCGGCAAACAACTCGAGGACGGCCGTACTCTTTCGGACTACAATATTCAAAAAGAATCTACCCTTCACTTGGTCCTTCGTCTCCGAGGAGGTATGCAAATCTTCGTGAAAACATTGACTGGCAAGACCATCACATTGGAAGTAGAATCATCTGATTCAATTGAAAATGTAAAGGCCAAAATTCAAGACAAGGAAGGCATTCCCCCAGACCAACAACGATTGATCTTTGCCGGCAAACAACTCGAGGACGGCCGTACTCTTTCGGACTACAATATTCAAAAAGAATCTACCCTTCACTTGGTCCTTCGTCTCCGAGGAGGTATGCAAATCTTCGTGAAAACATTGACTGGCAAGACCATTACATTGGAAGTTGAATCATCTGATTCAATCGAAAATGTAAAGGCCAAAATTCAAGACAAGGAAGGCATTCCCCCAGACCAACAACGATTAATCTTTGCCGGCAAACAACTCGAGGACGGCCGTACTCTTTCGGACTACAATATTCAAAAAGAATCTACCCTTCACTTGGTCCTTCGTCTCCGAGGAGGTATGCAAATCTTTGTGAAAACATTGACTGGCAAGACCATCACATTGGAAGTAGAATCATCTGATTCAATTGAAAATGTAAAGGCCAAAATTCAAGACAAGGAAGGCATTCCCCCAGACCAACAACGATTGATCTTTGCCGGCAAACAACTCGAGGACGGCCGTACTCTTTCGGACTACAATATTCAAAAAGAATCTACCCTTCACTTGGTCCTTCGTCTCCGAGGAGGTATGCAAATCTTCGTGAAAACATTGACTGGCAAGACCATTACATTGGAAGTTGAATCATCTGATTCAATCGAAAATGTAAAGGCCAAAATTCAAGACAAGGAAGGCATTCCCCCAGACCAACAACGATTAATCTTTGCCGGCAAACAACTCGAGGACGGCCGTACTCTTTCGGACTACAATATTCAAAAAGAATCTACCCTTCACTTGGTCCTTCGTCTCCGAGGAGGTATGCAAATCTTCGTGAAAACATTGACTGGCAAGACCATTACATTGGAAGTAGAATCATCTGATTCAATCGAAAATGTAAAGGCCAAAATTCAAGACAAGGAAGGCATTCCCCCAGACCAACAACGATTGATCTTTGCTGGCAAACAACTCGAGGACGGCCGTACTCTTTCGGACTACAATATTCAAAAAGAATCTACCCTTCACTTGGTCCTTCGTCTCCGAGGAGGTATGCAAATCTTTGTGAAAACATTGACTGGCAAGACCATTACATTGGAAGTAGAATCATCTGATTCAATCGAAAATGTAAAGGCCAAAATTCAAGACAAGGAAGGCATTCCCCCAGACCAACAACGATTGATCTTTGCCGGCAAACAACTCGAGGACGGCCGTACTCTTTCGGACTATAATATTCAAAAAGAATCTACCCTTCACTTGGTTCTCCGTCTCCGAGGTGGAAAATTATGAATCTTATGACAACAGTTTTAAATTTTAAAAATAAAGAAAATATTATACTTAACATAATACTTAATTTTGAAATGAACAAAATTTAATGAAATTAAATAGTATTAGACATTTTTTAAATGTTAAAGAATCAAATAAAAAATCAGTATTTAAATTGATAGTGGTGGAAGTATATTTATTAAACCTTTTCTATCTTGGTGTTCTTCTAAGAAAGTTTCATTAATTTTATGTCATTATTAGTGGCTAGTGGATTAGTGTGATAATAAAATGGATTAATCAATATAATTTAATTAACTAAACATAGCCTTTAGCAGTAGAAAATGTAATCTTTGGCATCCTATATAAGAAAATGATGTCTCATTGTTATATAATTAAATTGATAGGAAAACCATTGATATTTTCTTTATAATACAAAATCACAATATAACATTAAGCTTTTTATACAAAAAATATTTATGTATTTGATGACCATTTTATAAAATATTATTACTTGTCTGTGCGTAACGTAGCCAACGAGTATTTGACTCTATGCTGTCAATTGATGAACATTACTCTGGTACATTCTACATAGATTTAAGATCTGTCAAAAAATCATGTCAATCACTGGTGACTGCAAATTTTCTAATATATATATATACTTATGATTAATATGTGAGTCGGAAAGGGAAAAAGAGACCTCTTGTCGCAAGAATCTAAATCGCAGTAGAGGCTAAAACATCGATCAGGGTCAGAAATATATTTAAGAAAAAAAATTATGTTATTTGCAGGGTACATAAGTTTAATTTTTGGTTGTTTCTTTCCTTAAGTATATAAAATTTCAAAACTAAAGCGTTTTTCTCAAAAAATCCATTTTACAAAAATAAATTCAAACAAATATAACTTCAATTTTCAAAATAGGATAACGATTCTGTTCACAAAAAGTTAAGAATTTAATGCATAATAACTTTTAAATCTAAATTTTTCCATTTTTGCCTATAATTATTAAGTTATCTTCGATGCTGTGGATACAGTTAAAAGATAATGTATGGTTTAATATGTTTTAAATATTATACTATAAATCTTTTAAAAATAATATTTTTTATTTATTTATTAACAAAACAATAAAATAAAAATATAAAAAATGTAATTTCAGTATTTTATACAAAATTTATAAAAAAGTAATAATTGTAATAATTTTCCTCGGCTAGTGGATTCTGCAACTCTTTGTTTTACAAACCGGATTTGGACCTTTAATTACGGTTGTTTATTAACATGTTATGGAACCAATAAAGTTGTAAGTGCATCCCAGCATCAATGTGATAAAATAAACACTAAAAGAAAAATGTTTAGACTTAGTGACGTTATTCCGGCATGTGAATTCTGCAATAAGGAATTGTTTTACAGCCTACCTATGGTGAGCATAATATTATGTAGAACGTTCTAGAAACTTCGTGACGTATAGGCAATTAAAAAAACCACGAAGATTCGGGAACATTTTATAAACATAACAGCCGACAGGGGCATTAGAATAAACAATTCTAGACACACTAACGCACAATGAACTCGAATCCGAATAAGGCGATCAAAATGGATTTTAAAATGGCCGTAGAGACCTAATTTTTTTAGTAATTATTAAATGAGTACCTACTGTAGTGTAAAAAAATACCCAGTTTTAATTTAAAACATTTTTTTTTTTTGCTACTCTAACTGTTGGATTAAAGTTGTGAAGTCAACTGCCTTAAAAAATATATAATATTAAATTCATTAATTTATTATATTTTAAAGGCAAGAAAAAAAAAACTCAGGGAAATTTATGTATGTTCCACTATAGCATATTGTCCGATGTTAAATTAGAATATATTGTTACCCTCCCTCCCTGTTTTATTTTTGTAAAAAAACATTTTAAAACAATCAATATTAATTATGTTTTCTTTTACAAAATTCAACTCTTTAAGCCAGACGTACTCGCCAAACCAACATTAAAATATACAATAAAGTGTACTTAAACAAGAAAACTAAATTATTGGTATAATAATATTAATTTAAAATTAGTTAATTATTAAAATATTAAGTTTTTCTAGTTATAAGACTTTTGAAGTTATTTTTCTCCGAGTTATGGCGAAAGTTTGATAAAACATGATTTTTTACACAGAAGTCATTTTCTGACGTATCTATCGGACGAATTTCAATTTTATTTATGTAAACTAACACTTTTTTCTATTGGGGGTTCAAAGTCCGATTTTTGATTTAGCTGTTAGAAAATTGGTTAGATTTATTAAAAAAAACTGTAAAAAATAAAAATATATACGCTTATAATACAATTTTAAAATCAATAATAAAAAATCGGCCTTTAAGGTCCTATATAATAAATGTTAAACTTTATAACAAAAAAAAAAAAAAATTTGAAATCGGTTTGATAGACACATCAGAGAGTGACTTCGCGTTTTATTCTTAATTTGTATAAAATATAGCGCCTTTCGTTCTCTTTACTAAATTATTTATTTAATATCCCAAAACACTAATTAATATTTTATACTAAAATCCTACTTAATATTTTTGTATAATATTTTTATTTAAATGCTCAAAGCACCTAATAAAATTGTAAATGTACAATTAAAGAAAAACAATAAATAATTTGTACATTAGAAGTATAAAAAAATGATTTTTTATATGGCTTAAAAGAACTGTAATATAACGTCTGCTGATGAATGTTTAATAATTATAATAGTTTAATATCTAATTTTTAACTCTTAATTTTCCAAATTTTGAAAGATTTTTACTAATCACACTTACTGTGTGATTAGCACTTACTTGTTATAAATAACAAGTTGGTCATGAAAAAATTGCGTTTAAAAAGTTTGTATAATAATAAATAATTGTTTTCTAAACAAATACACTGCCAGTCATTGATTAAAAATTCGTTTTTGTGCATTTTTTAATTGCCCGCCAAATTGTCTACCTGATAAAAAAATGTTATGTTGGTCACACTGAGATCGGTGCCTGTTCTGCACAATGTTTTCGCCGCATGTTGTTTCAAATCGTTCTCTTCTGTCGGCTGTCATCCTTTTCGCTCTATAATGTTGCGGACAGTGGTTGTATGGTTATTTGACTTGTGATTGGCTTCGTTTTTGTGGAAGTCACGTTGTTTTCGGTTCTTTTTGGAATTCAAACATCATTACATTCATATTCTTATAAACATTTTTTGTAAAGTTTACATCATACTACCGAAGTAGTTTTTAATAAAGTAACTAATAATCGTCGACGTTTTTTGTATTCAATCGAATAGCAATATGTTTTGGAGTGAGTATTATTAATTATAATATTAATAAAATATATTTTTCAAAACACGTGTTGTGTAATTTTTATTATAACAAAATATTTTTGGTCTCGTGTTAAAACTAATAAATCATATTATGCTTAGAGCTTAGTAAAGGAAAATACAAAATTAATAAATTAGTAAATCACGTGTGTATGTATGTTTTACAGGCATAGTTTTAGAACCTGGGAAAAAGTACAGTACGGTAGTGGATAATACGTTTCATCTGTCAATGGCAACACTTGACTTGAAAACTGTTAAAAATTGTAAGTATCAACCACCTAGTATAAAATTTGAGTAAATTCTCAAATTTGGGTTATTATACTTACCTATTAGGCATATTCGTTTATTTAATTTGGTTGTTAAGACTTGCTGAGCTTATTAAAATTTGTAAGTGAATATATTGAGGTATATTAAAATGTGTTGTACCTAAATCTTTATTTATAAATAGTAGAATGTAACATAGTAATTTTGAATATTTATTTATTGACATTTTGATAAAAAAAACGTTGAACAAATTAATTTTTTCCCAATATTATAGTTGTGTTGAATACAAATTAATATAATGTAGAATATATTAAATTAAATAACTTCTATAACTAATGAGCATTATGATTTTTTAGCCGATGACATTCACACAGTATATGTAGAAACTGATAATAATCCACGTGTCATACTTTGCCATCTATCCAAAGGATCTAAACTGTTCCAATGTCCATTAGACCACGTTTTTTTACAGGGGACAGATTTAAAATTTATAACCACTGCTTCGGCAAATATACATATGACAGGTATTTATTTTTCAATATACTAGTTACCTGTTTCCTTAGCATAATGGCTTGTCTAGTGTTTGTTCTGCCAATCTTGTGTTGTTATTTCTATTCTATCTAAATACTCAATAGCATTTATTTATGTTGTAAACAACCGATTTGTTATATTTACAGGATATCTCGATGTAAGTGATGAATTTGGTTCAGACATGGAAAGTGAAGATGATGAGGCTGAAGACGAAGAAGATGTTGAAGAGTCTCCAGTTACAAATAAAAATCAATTAAAACAGCAAGGTAATAATATAAGTACAAAATATTTCAATTCTAATTGTTATGATTGATACAATGTAGTAATTCATATGGAAATTATTATTATCATTTTGGTATTAAAATAATATTAACAGTGTCCTGTATCACCTATAACTATTAAGTCAAACTATATTATTTATAATAAACTATAAATTATTATGACATATTATTGCTTAGGAAATAAACGGAAATCTGAACAAATATCACCTAAAAAAGCAAAAGCAATTAAATTGGATGACAGTAAAGCGTCTGATGAAGAAGACAGCGATGATGAAGTTATGGACTTTGAAGATGATAGTGACGAAGAAGGATTAAATGGTAAGTTGCTATTACCTGTATAAATTTAGTTTGTTCATTCTTTAAAGTATTATATTTCATTACTTAAATCGGTTCAAATCTACTTAAGTTATACGTCATTCAAATAAAGTACAAAATAGTGCACAAACTATACATTAATGACGGTCAATGCTGATGTTTCGCAGTGCTCTGCCCTTCGACGTTTTTTTTTTTGCATTTAGTTTAAGTTACAAGTGTTTTAAGATCATGCATAGTACTGATAATGGTTTTTTACATTGTGACTCTTCCTGCAGGTATTAGCCTGCCCTTCTACGTCCTTTTTTTTTTAACAAATCTACTTTACCGGGCACTTTTTTATTTATTAGATTTTTTTTTTTTAATTGATAGTACTTTTAATGCTGATCACGATTCTTTTTTGTTGGACGAACTTAGTTTGTGAGTTATAGACATTTGAACATCGCTGATATCGACTTGCGCGGGCGCCCGCTGGTGCACATCTACACTTCATTTTTCGATTTTATATAATCGTTGTCAGACAAAGGTATTGCGGCAAAAAAAAAGAGCCGGGGATAGTAGATCCGATGACAGCACAAGTAAACGTTCCACCGTCAGGGGCTGCTGTATGTTGATTGCGGCGATCTTTAAATACAATTTTATAACTCAAATTGTATTATTCTCAAAGTACATTTGGCAAACTTTTGTCACTAAAAGTAATTTGTTAGTAAACACTAAAAAAAACATAGTCTGTAGTATTTGCCTATTAAATAATCCTTATTTCAGCCAAACATACTAATTTTGGTAGCAACTGAAGAACAATAATTCTTCTAAAAAATAATCAATCAAAACATAAGCAAACAGATACCTAGTTCTTAAAAAAAGCCTGTTCATCTACAGTTTAGTCAGTTTATTGGTAAATTTTATTGGTTGTACTGACAACAATTTAAGTAACATTTTGCTCCATCCTTCCTCTTTAATTGTTTTGTTTGTTCCCTTTGAATTGTCCAAAAACTGAGCTTATTCTAGGGTTTCTTAAAATACTTCAGTCCATTTAACTAATTATTTAAAAAAAAAATTTTAACAGTAAGTGACTTATTTGATGATGAAGCTGATGAATCTGACGATGACGAGGAAGAGGATTTAGAAGATGAAGAAGACGATGATAGTGAAGATGATGATGAGGAAGAAGAAGAGGACGATGACGAACCAGTAATCAATAAAAAATCAAAGGCAGAGCAGCAGAAGACTCCAAAAAAGCAAGTAAATGGCAATGAGCAAAAAACTCCAAAAAAGGAGCAAAAAACTCCGAAAAAGGAGCAAAAAACGCCCAAAGGTCAAAAGACTCCTGTGCCTAAAACACCAGACGCAAATCAATCGCTGTTAAATGTAAGTTTTAATGTTAATCGTCCCAAGTGGATATTTTAATTTTTTTTTAATTTTTATATTATAAGGGTACACCTGAAAGTAGTAAAAAAAAGAAAAACAAAGAACCTAAAACTCCACTTGACAAAACCAAACCAGATACTCCATTACCAAAAGACAAGCAACAGAACCAGCAACAAAAATTGAATGGCGGAGTTATAATTCAAGATTTGAAAGTCGGCGATGGGGCACTTGCCAAACCTGGAAAGAGTGTAAGTTATTAATATATATTATTGCAGAAGTACTAAACTCGGTCATAAATAACATAAAGTTAATATTTTAGCTTCAACTCAAAAGTATTGGGTTTTCTTAGGTACAGTACTATTGCTTTACTTAAACAAAAATCAAAACCTGTTTTCTTTAGAAGAGATGGGATTTGTAATTATTTTTATTTTTTTATTATTTATTTAGCACGTAGTTTTCTTAAATGCTGTAGTCTAATTTTGATTAAGAAAAAGACAAAAAAAAATAACTTTAAATACCATAACAGTTACAATAATCTTTATACAATTAAATATTGTTACCTGTTGATATAATTTTGATTTTTTTATAAATATTTTTGTTAGTTTTTTTTTCAATATGATATATTTTACACTCAACATTTTCAGTGTTAGACTATACAATATACACCAGTTACCATATTTTTAATGAATTTAAAAATATCAAATGATGGCTTTAAACACATTTACTGTCAATGAACAATTTGTACTTGACCTTTTTTTTTTGTCACTGTCAGTTCTCTTCAAAACATTTGAAGTGCTTTTTTATCGCTTGTAGTTATAATAATCCCTTGTGTTACTGCTCCATCAATACTGTACTCTATTTTTATTCGAATCTCGTTATGAAAAAAAAAAATATTCTTAACTAAAAAACTAATATGTATAATAATTGTCTTACTATATGAAATCTGGTATTTTAGGTGAAAGTTTATTACATCGGTCGTCTCAAGTCTACCGGCAAAGTTTTTGACTCAATGCAGAAAGGAGCTGGTTTCCAATTTGGACTACAACGTGGTGAAGTTATCAAAGGCTGGGATATCGGTATTGCTGGTATGAAAGTTGGAGGCAAAAGGAAAGTCATATGCCCACCTCATATGGCGTAAGTTTATATTTTTTTTACTGTCTAGGTAAAATTGGTTTGTCATTATTTTTTATAAAAATTTTTTTTTTTAATATAGATATGGCGCTAAAGGAAGTCCACCAGAAATACCCCCTAACAGCACATTAGTTTTTGAAGTCGAACTTAAACACGTTAATTAAATTGATTCATTTATTCCAACTGGTATTCCTAATTATGATTTGTCAATTCCTTTTTTTTTTATCATCATTTAAAATCTTTGAATATTATTTCCATACCTTAAATTAACTTGCATTGTAAAACTGACTTGCAGTATTTTTTTTTTTATTGTGTTTTACTTATTTAACAGTATAAAATACATCAATATTAATTTATTATGCTGGTTACAGAATGTATTGGATGCCAATATGTATACATAAAGCTTTCACAAAACATTTTGTTTTTATTTATGGTCAATTTGGTTTTGAAGTACAATTCATTTTAATATTATCAAGTTTCAAATAATTTGGTAATTAAATTGCCATTTTGTGTAAAGTTTTTATTAGTATACTGTTGTAAGATAATTCTTATCTTTTATTGTTCTTTTTTTATGAAAAACATGCTATTCTAGTTGTTAATGACAAAATATATTATAAATGACAATTTTTTTGAAGTTTTTACATAATAAATGTTGTATAAATGATTATATTTTTTTTCGTTTTTACTAATAACTTAATGTTCATGATAATATTATTTATAAAACAATTTTCAAGGTGTTACAATTTGAACAATTGTTGATAATAAGGTAATAATGAATAATTCGCTTCAATGAAGACAATTCAGTGTTTTGGCAATTGATATAAAAATTGTAATCAAGCCTTTTTTTTAGATATGTATGTATGCATCATTTTTTTAATCCATACTGAAATTATATTCTATTTGTTTTATCATAGTCCTATCACAGTTTTGTATAATAAACATTATTTATCTTTAAAAAACCAGATACATGACTAGAAAAAAAAATTATCAATGACGTGGGCAGTAAAATAATGTACAGAGGTACGTAATACTTGGTTAGTCTCATAAATTAATTGTTAAAAATTCAATTTTATTCATTCATTATTCAAATTCAACAAAAATTATATCTAGTAATAACGAAAGTGACAATGCGTTTTTTCAGCTTTGTGTTGATTCCAAGAGACGTGGACTCCTGTGTAAAGTTATATCGTCAACATTCAGAAACGTTATGTCAAAGGTGTGGCATTGAAACATCATTTGAAGTCGAGAGAACATTACATTTAACAATGGCCGCCTTGGATATAGATTATGGAGCATTTATAAGACGAGAATTAAGTTCAATAAATTTTGGTTCGCAAAAGCCACTTTTTGTAATTAACAACAGACAGAAATTCACACTAAAAATAAAACGTTATAAGGGCGATAATGGCGTAATTATTTGTCACCTACACGAAGCAAACAGATATCAGACGCCGTTAGACTTGTATCTGACGTCAGGATCAACCGTAGTATTTACTTGTCAGCAGACTTGCAGCATACACCTGACAGGTTATTACTTGAATACTGATACAGAATGAAGATAAATAATAATAATATTTAAAGGAAAAAATAATAATTATAATTTTGACAATTCTTTTTAAAATTATTTATATGTTATTTTATCTCAAGAACTTCAATTAAAAAATACCATTTACAAATCAATATAATTACACTGTGTTGTTATTAATAAAAATATATTATTTAAGTTTAAATATATAACTAGAATACGCTACCCAGTGACTCTTCCATGAATTTGGAATAAAGAAGCATGAATTTGGCGACAAAAGCTTCTAGATGGAACATTGTCTTGTTGCCTTTTAATAAGCTGTGTTCATAAAACGATGCTATATCGACGATTTCTCTTTTCAAAGCCATATCACAGTTTTTGACTAATTCTTTTAGTAGAAACTAAAAAAAAAAATTAATATAATAAAAATAGCTACACAATAGGAAAGGCTCAGGAAAAGGAGTGGTCGAGTGGGTAAGGTGGCAGTGTTTTAGCGCTCACTGTCGCTGGCTAGAACTTGGTTACAAGCGCTCTGTTTGCTGGGCGAGCAATCGTCCGGTGAAAAGGAGCTGCCATCCCCCTCTCTGAAGACAGACTGACGACTTGTCCCAGTTAGAATTTGTCAAGAAACCATCTTATGATGGCATCGTTGGGTTTTCATGGCCTGTTAAGCTACATGATGTTGAATGGGAGTTATTTTTGATAAGAAGGTAAAAACTATTAAATTTTAATTATTTATAGACAACAAATTTGTATATAATTTTTTAATTTTAATCGATTACACAAAAGTGTAAAAGTTATTTTTGTAGTGGATAATAATTTACAGAACATTTTTCACTGATCTATTGGAAAATTTATAATATTGTAAAAATGTTAACAAAACAATTTTCCAAAAATAATGTGCCTAACGTTAAGTTGATCACTCTGTATACATGAAAATATATCCAATTTCAACAAAAATTGCATAAATAAATAAGGACTATATTACATTTTACAAAAACGATTGTGTTAATAACTGTGTTTTAGCTTCTTTGTTTGTTAAAAAAGAAATTGTACATGTTAAGTCTAAATACGACTGGAAAAACCAAATAAAAACGTTTCCAGCTCTTCTGGAGGATAGGTTACCAATAATTTCTTATTTTTTTATTATATTTAAGAATATCTCATACGAGTTTGATTCAAATATTTTCAAAAAGTTATATAGCGACTATAATTTGAAGTTGAAAAACTGTGCACATTCTTTAAGTGTTTTAATTTTTGGCCTTGAGTACCTTTGAGGTGCAAATGTTAATGTATAGACTTACTATGCGATTGAAATTGATAGGTTAAAAAGACACATCATTGTAAAATATATGTTATATACCTTCTCAATTTCGCATCAAAGCTTTTAAATAATTTTAATACCACTGAATAATGGTTGATTAAAATTCATTAATGGAATATGTCATACCTTAAAAATTACGTTAGTTGGAATTCCGTGTACAATTAATTCATACAACATAGAACGAACTTCCAATAATTTTCCCGGAGTCTGCTGGCTTAATATTTGTTTTGCAGTGTCTTCAATGTACAATTGCCAATCCGGTATGACTACACTTTGATTTTCATCAAATGGATACCTAAGTAACAGGTATACAATAAAACACTAATGTTTATTATGTACATTATTATCTTCAAATGGTATATGACTGATATATTGTAGACACTAACTGTTTGACTTTACTGGCTTCCAACATTAAAATAGCTCGTCGTAAGTTTCGCTCACAATTCTGTGATAATAGTACGGCTAATCCATCTGGCATAATCAAGCCTTCTTTTTTGCAAATAGTCTGAATAGAAAATAAAGTTTTTTAGATGACATACTTTTGTTAGATGATTTTTTAATTAATATAAGCTTATTTTACTATTATAAAAATCACCTTATGATTGACTACAAAAAAATAAAATATGGTAGAAAAATTAATGTAAATTTACTAACTTTTAAAATATTACAAATGGTGTCCTGTGTTGGAGCTGGTATGCGTACCGCCAAACATCTACTCCTTATAGCAGGTATGACTTGAGCAATAGAATTAGCACATAAAATTATACGACAAGTAGCCATATACTTTTCCATTGTCCGTCTTAAAGCTTGTTGTGCTTCTTTTGTCAATCGATCTACTTCAGTCAAAAGAATCACTGAAAAACAAACAAAAAGATGTAAAAAAATAAAAGATATTATATGTCTATGACTTGACAGCATAATTGAAATGAATCTATTTCAAGGTTAAATGGTTTTTTTTAGTAAGTATATTTTATGCCCTGAAGCTGAAAACAGTTTAAGTTTTAGAGTTACAGCCAAAAATTAAATGTAGATGTATCATATATGAAAAGTAAATCTAACGTAAAATAGAATAGTTATAAATTAGTGAAGATAATTGAATTCATAAAATTTAAGATATTCTTGAACATAATATTAAGTAAAGTTTAAACCAGGAATTTAGACAAAAATTTATACTTCAGTTACACTTTACTAAATTCCTAAAAGCCTTATGTGGTTAAGAAAGTAACAATAATTACATAGGCACCTAAATCGAAAAGAATTTTTTTTCTAAAAAAGATTGACTTGTATAGTTACCTTTAAAATGTCGTTGTTTAGTCGAGTCCAGTTGATGAGTTTGTGCTACGGTTTTGATCAGTTCCATTACAACAATACGATCATACATACCTGCATCACTGGCATTTACCTCAATGTGATAATTACTCGCAACGGTCATAATTTCAAATTTCTTGTTTGATGGCGTCTAAAAAATAAAATATTGAATTCTCTAATTTAATCGGAAATAATATATTTTAAAAATACCATAAAGTTCATGTGCTCAGTACGTAGTCGTTCAACTCCAGGACCGTATAACTGTCGTAGTAAAGCGAGAATGCGAGTCTTTTTACCGGCACCATTGGGTCCATAAAACAGTAAATGAGGAAAATCACCTTGGTTGACCTATAAGAAATTAAAATTGTATTTTATTCGTATTCTATATAATCGTAAAAAAGTTAGAACCCACAAGATTAATCAAGTATTGAGCTTGAGCTAAGTGGTAGTCGACTTTTTGTAAAGAGTGAGGCCTGTATTTGTCTGCCCACAAACTCATTGTGAATGTATTACGATTTTATAAATGTACGCTAATTAATTTGTAATATTTATAATTATTCTAAAGGAAAAGGTTCAAAGAAAAAGAAAAAAAGTTGATATTTCGATTTATGAAAATTAGGATTACAAGTACGGATGATTGTTTTTACTTTTTAGGCGGGAATATTATCAAATTAATGTGTCCAGTGTCAGTTACCTGCTGGAATCAGATTTATTTCGTATACATACTAATGGACAGCCTGTATAGTATGTTGGAAATAATTTCAAAAAATACAAGCGGGCATGCAGCTTTTGCGGTCATGTGGAAATTAAGAGGGCGTCGCACCGGTCATTTTCAGTGGTAAAAACATGTTTACGCCAACTGAAAATAACTCGCTTAATTTTGGTTTTAGAGTAAAAGAACCCATTATAATATTAAAAGAGAACAATATTCTGGAGGGCATGACGGTGCGTTTTAAAAAAAAATGTATTTTTTGTAAAGTTACAGTCATTTAAATATGTTAAAATAGTCCTTATTTCTAAACTATGTATTGAGCGTTATACTTGGAATAATGAAAAAAACGCACCGTCTTGCCCTACGGAATTTTATGATTATATGTTTATATTGAATAGGTATGGCTGTTAAAATCTGTATATCCCCTCCCCACGAGGAAAAATCCTATATACGTTAATGTTTTCTATGACTGCAAATTTTACCTTATAATTATTATTATATGTCTTCGGTATTCCAAATCCAGAAGCCTACAAATCATATAATACCCGATAGACGAGACCACTAATAGATAATAACCAGACACAATGAAATGTTTTAAGATAATGATCTACCTATTCAAACACAGTGAATATTAGGGTTATCGATGGGGTCAATATTATTACCTATATAACATTAATTATTTTTTTAACATTTAATATGGTAAATACACCGATTATATGAAATAATCATATAATCTGTGGTAAATTCAAGTTCGATAATTTCGTTCCGGCTGACATGGTCGCACTGGTCTCGGCGCAGTGCTTATCAGCTCATTTTTTGTTTACCTCGAGAGTGAATAATCTGTTTTCATATATTCTGTGGTAGAAGTGACAGCGTTCCGACTCCCGCCGTAATAAAAACAATACTGATATCTGATAACACTGATAACATAACAGAATGCTGTGCGCCTGTGTATTTAGTACCATAGACTTAAAAATATTTATGACAAGTAACAACAACAATAAATATAAATCTAATTATACAACAAAATTAAATATTAGTATTCAATTTCAAAATGTTTATTTTTTAAGGAGTGTCATATATTTCTATAGTTAATAAGTGATATTTTTAAGCAAAATGAAGTTCCTAATAGATGAACTTGAAGTTCTTTTCCCATATGAATACATTTATCCAGAACAGTATGCGTACATGGTGGAGCTCAAAAAAGGTATTGATGCTAAAGGACATTGTCTAATAGAAATGCCTTCGGGAACTGGTAAAACCGTCACAATTCTTTCACTAATTGTAGCATACATGTTAAAATATCCTGCAAAACTTACCAAGCTGTTGTACAGCACGAGAACGTTGTCAGAAATCCAAAAAGCAGCTGAAGAATTGCGCGTATTATGTGATTACTACAAAACAAATAAGCAAGATGCTAACATTCTCGGAATAATACTTTCAGCTCGTCGAAACCTATGTATCAATCCTTCCTTGGTCGATGAACATAATGGCCGTGTTGTAGATGCACGGTGTCATGCTCTGACCGCACCATTTGTTCGTGCACGTTTCGCTGAGGGCGAAGACGTTAACGTGTGTAGCTTTTATGAAAAACTTGATTCACTCGGAAGGGACACACTTTTACCACCTAATATTTACAATTTAGATGACTTAAAAGACTTGGGCAACAAACAAGGTGTATGCCCTTATTTTTTATCAAGGCAGACGCTCATTCATGCCAATGTTGTTATTTACAGTTATCATTATCTTTTGGATCCTAAAATTGCTGGCATTGTGTCTAAGGATTTTAATAAAAACACTATTGTAGTCTTTGATGAAGCTCACAATATAGATAATGTCTGTATAGACTCTTTGAGTTCTCATATTACGAGCCACAACTTAGACAAAGCTATTGATGGATTAAACAAACTCGACAGTGAAATCGCTGCTATGAAAGAGAGAGATGCGCAAAAGTTAAAAGAAGAGTATAGAAAAATGGTTGATGGCCTGAGAGAAATCTATAAAAATCGTGAAGCCAATGCTGCATTAGCAAATCCAATTGTGCCCGACCAGGTATTGAAAATTACAGAACTTCCAGGTAGCATTAGAAGTGCTGAACATTATATTGGGTTCATGAAGAGATTTATCATGTACTTAAAAGTTAGAATGAACTCTACCACCGTTGTGCAAGAGACTCCTATTATGTTTATTAAAGATGTCTATCAAAGAGTTTGTATAGACAGAAAACCTCTAAGATTTTGTACTGAGCGTCTGTCATCATTACTAAAAACTTTAGAAATTTCTGATATTGTCGATTTCTCATCACTTATCACAGTAGCTCAATTCGCTACCTTAGTTTCAACCTATATGAAAGGATTTATGATTATTATAGAACCTTTCGATGAAAAATCTTCAACTGACTGTTGTGTTATGCATTTCAGTTGTTTAGATGCTTCAATAGCAATTAAACCAGTGTTAGATTATTTTAACACAGTGGTTATAACTTCTGGGACATTGTCACCATTAGATATGTATCCAAAAATTCTCAACATCAACCCGGTGATAATGACATCGTTAACCATGACTTTGTCCAGACAATGTTTTTTGCCGATGGTCGTTGGTAGAGGAAATGACCAAGTCGCTTTGACATCCAAATGGGAATCGAGAGAAGATTCTTCTGTTGCACGTAATTATGGACATTTATTGTTAGAAATGGTTAAAGTAGTTCCAGACGGCGTAGTGTGTTTCTTTCCGTCATACCTTTATATGAAGTCTGTGGTGGCTGCCTGGTACGATCAAGGAATCATTGAGAAAATATTAGATTATAAATTGATATTTATTGAAACTCAAAATATTGTCGTAACCAACCATGCTATAAAATGTTATGCTGAGGCAGTTGAACGAGGAAAAGGTGCATTACTACTGTCTGTGGCAAGAGGTATGTTTTTAATACATACATATGTATATATCTATTTCAGTACAATATTGAACTGGACAATGACATGTAATCTTTTCACTATTTTTAGGAAAGGTTTCTGAAGGAATGGATTTTGACCATCACTATGGTCGAGCAGTGATTGTCATGGGTATGCCGTATGTATACACTCAGTGTCGTATATTAAAAGCTCGTATGGAATATTTGTGCACCCAGTATCAAATATCTGAAGGAGACTTTCTAACATTTGATGCAATGCGTCATACTGCTCAATGCGTGGGACGAGCTATTCGTGGTAAAATGGATTATGGAATAATGGTTTTTGCTGATAAACGATTTGCTAGACACGACAAAAGATCAAAATTACCAAAATGGATTCAAGCTTACCTCACTGACAGTGTATGTAATTTAACTGTAGATGAAGCTGCTCAAATGTCTAAAAGATGGTTAAGATACATAGCGCAACCAGATCCTGTTGAAAATCAAATGGGTGTTTCCTTATTAGATGTCAATGGGCTTAATAAAACTGATTTCTTATCCAAAGTACTTCAAAAAGTATAACTAAATCATGTTTAAATTTTGTACCTGTTTGTAATTTATATTTTCAAAGTTTTGTGGAAACTTATACAATAAAAGTTCATTTTTAAAAAATAATACAGAATATATTTTTTTATAAAGCATTTGTTGTTCAGATTCAGACTGTTAACTTTAACAGTTTAATACTTAGAGTTTGTATATATAAAACTTTTTTTTTATTGAGTTTGGAGTTTAAATTCTTAATGAGTTTAATAAAATTTAATATTAGGTTAACACTGTTGATTTTCAATTTTTAATTGGTATATAATAAATTGTTTAAATCTTCAGAAATATCCTTTTTTTTTTTTATAGCCTTTATTTAAATTAATATTTGGCTCAACAAATAAATTTTGAAAATAAACAGTTCAAATAAACTATAAATACAATGTGTAATTAGAAAAAGGAAATACTATTAAGTCTTTAAATTTGTTTTTGGTGTGTGTGTAATGCAAATATTATGTAGAAAAATTAACTACCAATTAACACAACATTGTCAAAACAAAATCTATATTATTGCAATGGAGCTATATTATAGTTAAGTTAATTTATACATTAAATTACATGTATTTTAAAGTAGTAGATATCTAGATGAATTTTGATAAACATATCACTTAGAGAAATGTAGTTAAATTATTTTGTGAGGAATCAAAATGAGCTTTAGTTTAGTTCAGTAGTTTAAAAAAATTTATGTTGATAGAATAAAAAATGTCTAGAGCTTAGAATGTATTATAAACTATGATATACCATGACTGAAAAATTAAAAATTACATTTGTTAGTTACATCATAATATTATGCAGAGTTGGGCATTATTCAAATAAAATAATAATCGATTAAAAAAATTAAAAATAGATTACATATTTCAATAAACTGTATTCAACGGTGTATACACAACATCGCCGACTGCCGGACACATCGCCGCACCATCTGCCGCGGCCCTGCAAACACGACACCACCGCCGCGTGGCCCGGAACCAAGCCATGACCTACAGCCGCACTACGATTTTCACACCGGGCCGCGCACTTGTCCCGTTCATAAATTTATTAAAAATATAACCCCAGGCGAGTGACCTTTTTCCCTATACCCGTCCTATGAGAAATTTTCTTAGCTTTTTAAATATGTAAGTTTAATTAGCGGACTCCTCAACCCGGAAAATATACCCGAGCCGCAACACGATTTTCGGTCAAACGCGCACAAATACTATAGGTACCTTCCCCATATTTCATAAAAATTCTATATTTTATTATAAAAGTTCTAAATTTCATAAAACCTATACTTTATTATAAAATTTCTATATTTCATAAAAATTCTATATCTTATTATAAAATTACTATATTTCATAAAAATTCTATATTTTATTAAAAAATGTCTACAAAATTTATTTATATATACATATATATATTTCATAAAAATTTTATGAAATTTAGAAATTTTTTAATAAAATATAGAATTTTTACTTATATGTGGCCGGCAGTCGGCGATGTCGTGTTTGCCGGCGGCAGCTGGTGCGGCGATGTGCCCGTCGCCACCTTAGTTCGCCCGAGTCGTAGTGGCTCGGTCCTGGGCGCGGCGGTAGTGGCGTGTTTGCCGGGCCACGGCGGATCGGTCGTCGCTGTCGCATACACGGAATATGCGGCGGCCTCTAGCCGTAGATATCATGATATTTCTTAGGTAACTACTGCGGTCCATAAGGAAAATCGTTATCACAAATTGCTAGAATGAAATTTCTAGTTTTACACTCGTTAGGATATTGGATAGAGCATACAGTAATATTTTACTTTATATAAATATTATGTTTTATCATTTTTATTATAAAAATCTAAAGTTACTTTTTCAAGATACAATGCTTATCGAGGTTAAGTACCGCAATACTAAAACTGCTAACCGGCTTATTATTTAAAAACGTATACTTTCTAGTTAATATATGTATTTCATAAATGCAATTCCATACAATTGTCAGTACGATACATTACACTACAAATGAGTAAGTTATTTTGAATTAATGTTTTTTGACAAATTATTATATGGATTTTCTTTTATTTAAAATATTATTATATGGTCAAGACTATGGCCTTGTATTTAAAATATTTTATTCTATAGGTTTTTTGGCAACGCGCAATGTACTTCAAACAGTATTTAAACCGAAGTTCACAGTCGCTATGCATGTCAAAGTTACAATTCCTTTAAGGTTATTAAAATGTCATTGCATCAAAACGGTTCATTGCAATTTCTCTCAATTGGTAAAGTCTGTTCTATTTTTGGAAAGAAATCATATTGTTGTTTACTTCACCTTGAAACGACATCTGAATACTAGTCAATTTAATTTTGCAAGAAAAAATTATTATGAAGTGCTCGGTGTTCCCAAAACTGCTAACCAAAAGGAAATAAAAAATGCTTACTACGGCTTAGCTATGAAACACCATCCAGATAAAAATGGAGGGACCACAACTCAAAAGTTTAGGGACATTAAAGAGGCCTATGATATTCTTAGTAATGAATCTAGTCGAATGACTTATGATAACGGTACGTATAAATATAAAGTAAAACTGTGTCTCGCTGCACGCAAAAAAGTTAAACTTCATTAAATACGTAATAATGTGTTATTGACAACTGGTATTATATTATTATTGATAAACAAAAATAATATTATTTGTAGTATATGAAATCTAGTTTAATTGAAATGTATATTGTACTATAATATTTATATTTTTTTTTTTAGATTTCAGCAATAATAACTCAAGTACCTCAAGCCACTGGACATCAAACTCATCAAAAGGACGTTATCAGTCATCATATCATGACTTTACCAAAAGAAAGTCAAACTTTTATAGTAACCCTTATACTAATTCTAACTATGAACAGCTGAGGCCCCATAATATTTACATAAATATTGTTACAGTGCCTAAGAATGTTGTCAAAGCTCAAGTAGACTTAATGCTGTTTACTTTTATCAAAAACCGTGTGCTCAAAATTATTATGTATCACGCGTTTCAGTTATTGTGGACAACAGTATTGAAAAACATAACCTTTAACATGTTAATCAAAAGTCAAATTGACGACAATATATTATTTAGTTTCCTAGGAAATGTATTAGGCCATGAGAGGATGTGCGTTTCTCTAACTGAACTAGAAGCAATTCGTGGTAAAACTATTAGAGTTCAGGTACATAAAGACGAACAAGTTTTAATTGTAGAAGTTCCAGGAGGAGTAGAAAAAAATCAGTCATTCATCTTATTTTACCTACATGAAAAAAACTGATGGTTTTAATTTTTTTAAATGTTAATTATTTATAATATTATTATGATATAATAAAACCAACTGTTATTGTTATAAATAATTGGTATTACATTTAAGAAATATCAAGTCTGTGTATAAAATATAAATTATACTTTTTTTTTTTTTATTAGTTTTACACAAATTGCAGGTTTTCAATCATGACAAATTCATTCCAATGTAATTTAAAAAAAACAAAGTACAATAATATTTGCCTAATAATGGAAATTTTGTAAATACAATATAAAAAAAGACATGCAAAATTATGATAATATTTACATATGTTCTGTACATTGTTTTGCACATCTAAGACATCAAACTGAAAATTCAAAGTTATTTATATGAATATAGGAATAATTTTAGCTCAAGTAAGCTGTAAGAACACCATATAAAGAAAAATGATTCAATTGATGTATAATAGTTTTTAAATTTAAGCTGCAATTTGTTTATTTTAGTGAAAATGTATTTTGTTAGTTTGCATGTAATGCATTTATAGTTTATATAGACACAAGTTTGTATTTTTCCAAACATTCCGGTTCTATTTGAATGGGAGTTTTTGAATCGTCAACATAATGAAGAATCAATGCATCCCCGTTACATATTAATCCATCATTAATCATTCGTCCAATTACATAATCCATTGGATTTGATAAATGTTGACCATCATCTAATTTAAAAAGACGAAGTTTCGGCGTATTAACTTTATCGTTTCTATTTTCAATTTTTAGACGAACTGCAAATAAATCGATAGTTCGACCAACTGTCCAATTTTTACTGGTGAATAAAGGTAATGCAGGAATAATTTGATTCTCTTTCATAGGAGGATAAATAGAGAAATAAACTCTATCACTAGTTGGTATTTTGTTGTCTCCTAAAGCTTTGCCCTTAAGTTTCATTAATCGTATCTGTTGAGCCATCCGTCGTTTTTCAGGCTGTAGTTCTGCTAGTCTCAAACCAGCTTCGATCTAAAGGTGAATATAATTTTGAGAATAAAAAAAAATTGTTAGAAAAAATATTACTTTTTTATCAGCTTCTTCTTTAGCAATTGCAAACTGGTCTTTAGATTTTTTGGCCGCTTCTCTTAAAACTTTCCTACGCTCCGATCCTGGGAGATCATCAAGACACCCATGGTGCCTATGAGCAAGGCAATAGTGTTTGTCACACTTTGGACACAACATTTCACATGGATTTTTTGTTTCGCAAGTGTTAAATGTACACTGATACCAATTTGTCTCCTAAAAGATAATAAGTAGAATTTTTTTCAAATTTAAATTTACTTAATTTTTAAACTATTCTAGATTAATTTTTCTAAGACAAATTTAGTCAATTTGTCTGATTAAAATGTACGGTCAAGCATTATTTACAATCGCTACTGTTAGATTAGCACACATAAATATATAATATATTCTCTTACTAGTTTTATTTTGGGATCCTCTAATTTTGAAGGTGGCGCAGCACATTGATGACTATCTGGTCTTGAATGGTCTTTACAGAACTTCATTTGACATACTCCACATTCAACTGGCAAGAAATCTAACTGTTTACAATCTGTGTGAGCACATTGTTTTCCAAAATTAGGAAACTCCATTGTTTCGAGCACTAAATCCTAGGCGGCGGAGGTAATGGATTGTCGCTTAGTATGTTCGACAAAGCTAAATCAGACCACTTAGTATCCTGTTGAGTTAGTGTTAAATGTGCATCAGTGGCGTCTGCTTCAGGATCAGGTAATTCTTTAATCGGCACTATGATTTCATCAAATGGCAATTTATCTTGACGCCATGTATCGTCGATTAATTTTTCTAGACGAGGATTAACCGACGGAATACTATCCATAACATCTATGTAAACAAAAGTTACCTGTAAACATTAGCAAAATGAATATGATGTGGTCCTCATTTATTTAAATGTAAACCAAAAAAAAAAGTTGCCAGCTTTTTAGATATATTTTTGAGTTATGGTAAATAAATGCCCTATGTCGTTTAAATAGAAAAACATAATATGTATGAGAATGATTTATAAGAATTTGAAAAGGCACACATTTTTGCTAATATAAAAACAATAAACATAGCCAAACAAACCTTATTTTTAGTCAAACACCTATTTTATAATCTTTTTGTAGCATTAAATCAAGTAACGTAAAAACTGCCACTTCTTAGCGCTAAGAATAATTTCGCACTAGAATGATTTAAATTACTAATGACTATTGAGTAATGACTAATGACTACTGAAATCTTAGTACTGATTAGTCTTATATTGTTATCAATTAAAAATGGAATATCCACAGATATATATAATAAACTAGATTGCTAACTGGCGATAAGAATTGAAGCCGACTGTCCGCCATTCTGGTGGGATTTATGTGTGTTATCAATGCATATAATATACATCTGTATATATTATTATATCAATAGTAAATATGGGATTGTTATAATCATGAATTATTCTCGCGTGATAAGGTTCTAATTCCCACCAAGATGGCGGAAAGTGGCTGCTTCAATCTTCTCTATTGGTGGCATGTACAGTTAGCAATCTAGTTTATTATATATATATCTATGGGAATATCACATTTCGTTATCATTAATCACACAATACGTATATCGGTATGAGTTTTATACCATACAACCGTTAATTTTCCCGCGTTTTTTTAAATTATTGACAACTTATGACCAGACTGACAACTATTACTAATCAAAATCTAAATACATATAATATTCACACCGATACATTACAAGAAACGAAGTCCTCATTAAAACCACAAATGCGCTTTTAAAAATGTGTTTACAAGTACAGAGTACAAATTACAAAGGACTGGTGCATTTTGGGGGATAAGGAATATTTTGGCGTACCAATTTTTATTTTTGTTATTAATTATAATAGTGAAAGTGGAAGTACGTACTGAGAACAAAATAACTATAAATAAAGAAAAAAGGCAATATTACTTTTAAAAGAAAAAAAAGTGACAGACATTCATTGAAGATAAATAATTCATATTTTTATTAGATAAAACGGTACGGGACAAGGAATTTGTATAAATACTTACCTATATAAATATAGCAATAAAATAATGAAAAATTGAAATTTTTTTTTTTTATCCTGCATTATAAAAAAAATAATCTGGAACCGAAATAATGTACCTATTGCACAAATCATCAATTTTTATTTTATAGTGTCAAAAATTTGCTACCAACATTATTTAATAACAGAGTGCTTTTCATTTTCTAACATCCGCCTTTCCACTTCGGCTTCCAATGCTTTTTGCTTTTTGCGACCCAGCGGCGTCCTAGAATACCACTGGACGAATGCTTCCTCCTCTTCTTTATACACAGGATCGTGTCGAGCGAGTGCGTTTAAGATTTCGACGTGCATCAGAGGGCGAATGGTCAATTGCAACACTCTCTTACAAGTCATCACCTGCAAGGGACGGTAACTAATTTAACAATAATAATGTAGCGAATTTGGTTCGCAGTCAGGTAAATAGATAGATCCACCTCAATTTGTTTCACAACTAGTTACTTTACCTACCTACCTCATGCAAAACTTTGATTATGGTTCCGATGCTGTAGCCGTCGGATAACTTGGCCAACATACTGACGTCGAATTTTCTACTGAGTCCGCTGTACTGGAACAACAGGTCGTTCCAAATGTGGTACAGACTGGCGTAGTCCGGACGCGGGATGACAATCATTTTGCCGTATGTAGCCGCTAAGGATTTCTGGTCGCAGTCCCAAGGGCAACAGGACGTTCCCAAAAGTAATATCTAAGAAATTTAACAAATACCTATCGATTAAAAATTAAATAATACCGACAATGAATACTGTAACAGAACGTCTAACGGTAAAAATGTCTTCAAACTCATGTTAAAATACCCTGTCCGTAGGACCGATAGCTTTGATGAGCTTGGGCAGGTCTTTTTTCAATCTTTTTGGGTCAGTCTTGTCGGTTTTTGGCACTTTTTTCATAAACGTTTTTTCCGCATCATCTATGTAAATGACAGCCGGCTCTAACAACCTAGGTACCATATTATTTATTATTTTTTGTACACGTGCCTCTGTCAGGTATTGGCCACATAAATTGTTATTTTCTGGATTTTAGCATTACAGGTTAGAGTTAAACTTAATAGAGAAATCGGACTGTATTATTTAAGTTATTTACAACATTTTTTAACTATAATATGTCTAATAGTTATCTAGAGGTGATCTTTTTCTACATATTTATATTTTTGAAAAGTCACCTGGCTACTTTATTGATGAGATGCAACAGCATGGTCAGTCCGGATTTTCCAGGATACTTGCCCACAATGTTTGCCGACGTCAAATCGAACAGTGTGGCGCCGAGCTCGGTGCACACGGCGTTCACTAGCGTGTGCTTACCGGATCCGCGTACGCCGGCGATAAGCACGGACCGCACTACGGGGCTGGCCTGGTGTATCTCTTTGCTCAGCATCGGCAGTATGCAGTAGTCTCGGACAGCCTGTCGGACATCGCCAAGCGTGGGATTGGGATCGTTGTCCCAACGCATAACGTCGCACGCGGCCAACGAAGTGTCACATTTAAACGACGACAAGCTCACGTTCGGGTATTTGTGAATGATGCCGTTCATCACTAGTTCTTCAAAAAGTGATTCCAGCTGATGGAATAAAGTTGGTAGCATAAACCATACAACAATGTACGGTAGTAATAATTATTAGACGGTATTGTTTTATTTACCGTTCTGTCGGGAGTTAAGTCCTTGTCACGTTTTTTCTTCGTTTTTTTACTGCTTCTTTTTACTTTTTTCTGTTTTTTCGATCTCTTCACTCGTATCGCATTGTCTTTGTCCAACGCATTTTGTAATATCTCTAATTCGGCTCTTAATTGCACGTCGACAAGCTGTATAAGCAATTCAAACATAATCGAGAATCGTTTGCCCGTCAAGTGTTCAGTAGGTGCACAGTCATTTAGTAAATAATTTATAGCCCATTAAATATGCTACTTTATTACGTTACCTTCCGAAGTTCGCGTTCCACCTCGGCGACTTTTTGGGCTCTCACGATACTCTCTATATGCCTCTGGCCGATATTGTTTGTCTCGTCCATTCCCTTCCATACTTCGTCGTACTCCGAACTGACCAGCATAAGTTCCTGTAAGAAATTAGACGGGGTCATTTTAAACCCAGCTTCTTCGTCGTCCGACTTTTTCTTTTTCTCTTCTTTGATCTCCTTGCCCGCGCTCGTTATCGACTTGCTCTTGTGACCTAAACATGCAACCAAAAACCGCACATAAACAAAATATATAAGCGAACCTACTTAGTATTTGTTATATACTTTTGGTGCCTTTGGACGACGACTGGCTGGTGGATTTGCTGACAGAACTGGCCGTCTTGTACCTGGTGTAGATGACCGCCGACCCTCCGCTCTCTTCAGATGGCAAATCTGGGAACTTACCTGTTTGCGACTTGACGCCCATGTACCAAGCCCTCACCTCGTCCCTGATATCTTCCTTCATTTTCTCTTTAACGTGCGGCTTAATCTTGAAAACAACGTTAAGGTTATATTTAGGTAATTATCAAACCGTTGTTGTCATCAAAATCATTAACATCAATGTGTTCACTTTTTCTTTTTCCTCTAACAACGCTCGTTCGTACTCCCCCCGCCTGATTGTCTGCACGGCTCGCCTGGCCCGCTTAACTTCATCCGCCCTTTGCCGTTCCTCCGTGTCGATCGTGTTGGGCGGCAGCATGCCGATCAGTAGCATCTCTTCGACCACTCGGCTTCTGATTTTCCGTCTGGTAATAAACCCCCTCCAAACTCGCTGGATTTTCATGGCCGCCTTCCTCGCCGCGTCCGTGAGCTCTACTTCGCCCGCGTCCGGTTTGTTCATGGCCCTCACCTCCTTCATGAATTGGGCCCGCATCCGACCTTGCCGGGCCCGCTCGTGTCGCTGGATCAACAGTATGGCCTGCCTGACCGGCATGACCGCCTCAACCGGCCGCTCTTCGTAGAACCCGGTTTTCTTAAGCGTGTCGTCGATGAACTTGTCCTGCCACAGGATCGCGTCGGCCCGTTCGTTTCGGTAGTGCGTCGGAATCGTCAGTTCCACGTCCCGGGGGAGCAGCCTTCGTTGGGCCACAGCCGCGTCCAAGTACGTGAACTCGTTATAGTTCAAATTCACCATGTCGTTTTTGAGTTCCAAATAACGGCCCACGGATAATTCGAGAACGCTTCTGATGACAAGACGTTTTTGTGGTTGCACTACCTGATCGTAGCACTCGTCCAGCTTGTTGATGGCCGATATATAACCGACCATGACGCCGGTCAGTTCGGCGAACACTACCTCTCTGTCTTTGTTGATTTTACAAGTCAGCAGGTTCGAATCCGCCTTGGTCGTTTCGTCCAGAATAGACTGGGCCAGTGCCCACAATTCGTTGTATGTTCTGTATGACATAATATGTGAACCGTTGGCCGTTGTTACATAATATGTGACTGCCCGCAAATCAGATAGGTACCGTTGGCCTACCTTATGTATAATCGATATATCGCGTAACCATGCGGCAGCTTATTATCGATCGGAAAGTAAAAAAAAAAAAACTCAACTTACCTTTAAACATTCTCTATGAACGGATAAACTTAGTAAAATAGGTTCAAAAACCTTAACCGTAAACTGTTTATTGTTAGAAGTTTATCTTTTCACAAAAGAGGACTGTTTTAATATTATACTATTTTGGGCTTTAAGCGAATGATAAGCAAAAATTCGATTTTTAGTAGATAGAATTTTTAATAAGTAACATTTAATTTATTACCTGTAGTCTTACAAGAAAATCATAAATAAACATATATTATTGTGGAAAAATATTATTGAGGAATCTGTTTAACATCATGTTTTTATATTAGGTACCTAGCAGCAGTGGAGAATTCAAAAATAATTTTTTAGGAGTTACAAAAACAAAAAATACTTGTGTATTATTAATTTAATATTACAAGAAGTAGCTTTAAATGAATATTCATTTGGTTGATTTGTTTGCGAAGATTCAAAATAGCAATTTATATTGTATTTCATATTGTTTAGTTTAAATAAAAATATGAAATTTTGTGTCTAGGATAAAACAAATAACCATTTTAGTTTTTCTAGAGAGTTTAGAAATTATAGCTCACGGTATTATTCCACGGTCCTCGAACATATTTTTTAATTTATGTATAATTACAACAAAATGTAAATTTTCTCATTATTTATTATTCTATGTAACATTTGTTTTGAAATTAAAAGTTAATATAAAATAGCTAGAAATGATTTTAACATATTTTTATTTAGGATCATAAAAGTATATCAAGTCCTAATCAATTTTTAGTGGACAGAATATTCAATTATACGTGGTCCTTGTAGGGTGTAATATACTAAAGCCATCACTCACGCTGATATATTAATTGAACAATCAGCTTACACAATTTTCAAGGAGCATATATACAAAAGTAAACGCATTTGAATGTTACATTTACCAAAAAAAAAATAAACCACATATTTAAACTATAATTTTAATTTTATTTTGTCGATCATATAGGAAAAAAATTAAAATCAAAGCATAACAGTATTGTAAGGGACATACACAATAAAAAGACTTTACATTACATATATATATATTTTTTTTAATATACATCTAATTACTATTTTTATCAAGTCCAAGGTCGTTGATAAAGGCTTTTGGGTTAGGGTCACGTCCTTTGAAACGTCTAAAAATTTCTCCTGCTGGACAGCTCCCACCAAACGAGAAAAATGTATCTCTAAAACTTAATAAAACATAAAATGTTATCAATGTGAAACTTAAGTAGTAACTAATACTCGTCTATAGATTATTTACCTAAGTCCTGTGTTTTTAATAGACTCGTCGGGTACTTTAAATGATTGAAAAACATCTGCGGCAATCATTCTAGACCATATATTGGAGTAGTAACTAGCGGCACCATTTTCGGAGGACATGACTTCAGAAAACCTACACGGGAAACTGTTCCATTTACTTAATGGAAATGCATAATAATCATTCCACATGTCTTTCACCAAGTCATTCCAATGTGTTGTCCTAAAAGTATATTACCATTACAAAACAATTACACATATAATAAATATAGTTTACTAACGTTGTATGCATTTTTATGTCTAGTATAGCTTTGTATAACTCTTCGCACAAAAGAAATCCAGCCATATGTTGTTTTATTTCAGTTAGCTGATCACTTGGCAATCCCTTTCCAGTTTTGTAATGACTATTAATACTTTCAAAAGTATCTTTGTCATACAACCTAATGCATAAATTATTAATGTCAATCTTTTATAATTGAGCATTTTAAATTTACTATTTTATATAATAGATTATTACCAGTGAGTCATAAAATTGCTAGTAATTCCTATCGCGTCCCATTCTACATTGCTCAATCCAGATACTTCAGCATAATGGACTTGACAAAGAATATTTTGTAAAAGATGACCAAACTGAAAAATAATTATTTATATAAATAATCTAAACACAACTTATGACCGTCAAGCGTGATGTTTAAAAGTTACTTTGCCAAACAGTGTATGAACTTGATTAAAACTCAACAAGCTTGGGGTTTTGTTCTGGGTCGCAGGCATGTTTAAAATAAGCGCTGAAAGGGGCAGTACTTTTTTTGGATTCGATGATGCAGTCCTGTGTGTAATAAGCCAACCGGGTTCACCAACACTCCTCATTTTGGTCGGCCTAATATTAAATATCATACTAATAAGTATACAACTCAATTTATAAATAAAATTGAAAATATCATGTTGCATTCTCACCTTGCACATAGATCTAAATAAAAACCAGCCATAATAGTGGGTTCATCTTCACGTAAAATTTCATAATATTTCACATCAGGATGCCAAACGTCTGCTTTATTTGGCATTTCAAGAATACGAATACCAAAAACACGACGACATAATTCAAATAGGCCATCTAGCACACGGTCCAGGGGAAAATATTCTGCCCACAATACTTCATCATACCTATAATATATTGTGTAACATAAACAGACAAATTACAGTATTTTTAAAATTGGCATAACCGCTTATTTCTCGTATAATGTTTTTTTAAAACATACCCAAAAAGTTCTTTCTTCTGTAACCTTGACCAATACGGAACGTCCCATAATTGTATTGGGTATTCATTTCCTTTCTTATTCGAAAACTCCTGAAGTGATTCAATTTCTTTATCTTGCAAAGGCCTTGCTACAAAAAAAAAAAAAAATAATCATGTAGAAACAAAAATATTAAATATACATCATTGTACTACAAAATCATTTGTTATAATAAATAAAGTCACTGTTTAACTTAAAATAAAATAACTTGATATAAACAATAGTCAAATTTTGACTATATCTAATAATATTTTTTATCATTTATTCGTTATAAATTATTATTCATAAATATATCCATAGATCAGTATGGTACAAATATGGTGTTAGTCAAAACAGTCTCGTTTAATTATCTCGTTATAAAAATCAAAGATAAATCCTCCATACCTTTTTCTAATACTGATAATAAAGTTTCTTCAACCACTGCAGTCGAAGGGGCCATTTTTGTACTCATCGATAATTCACCATAGTTCTTAAAACCCAATTTCTGAGCTGCTTCAAGTCTATAATGAAATTTAAAAATATGTATGTTTAACAAATTTAAAACAATAATAATTATTTAATACAAATGTATGTAAAAATTATGGTGAAGACAGTTTTACATGTAGCAATTTGAAATCTGGATGGTGAATTTAAAAACTTGTATGGTACTTAATTAAAACATTTATCAATACTTAAAATACAATTGAAAAAACCAAAATTTCAGTGTCATTAATTAGTACTAAGCTCTCGACTCTTAACCAGTGCAGAAACTAAAACGCATTAATTTCTGCTACAACGGCACAGTCGGGAGTAACGTGTTTTGGTTTTTGCACTGGTTACTCTCTTACGGAACAGAGTATACTACCGTTGATTATAAATACACGAGGTGTATTATAATTATTTCTGAAATGGTTTAGTTTGAAAGTTCATTATAGTCTTATTGATACACCAATTGATTTATATTAAGATCAAGGCAAAATCATAAGTTCTTCATTTTACCTGACTACTGTTCTTCTTTTATGATGTTGTATTATAAACAAACGACCTCTAACTTTATTTCAAACAAAAATTCTGATTTTATTTCTAATTAAATTTTCTGTACTGTAGTTCTTAATTTGCTTTACCTTAGTTTTCTTATTTCTTCAACTTCTAAACCATTATTAAGTTCTCTAAGAGAATCGGCAGGTGAACCAGCTTTTTCATAGGCTTGCCATACATTCCAACGTATATCTCTGTCCGGACAATACTCTAAAAATCTTTCTGCTGTACCCCAGGTTAAAGATACTTTCCAAGGTCTCTTTTTTGGATTATCCCTAAAGTAACGAAATATATATTAAATTAAATGATTACTTATTTCTTTGGTTAAATTTACTTATTTAGTGCCATTAAAGATAGTAGATCATCGGGGAAATCTTTCACTAATTGTGGATTGTCAATAACATGCTGAAATTGACCCCACGCCATCTAAACATAGATATTAGGTAGGAATAAAACAAATAAATAAATCAGTATATATTTTCTTTGATATTACTTCTAATCGAATTTTGAAGTACTTCTGTTTAGTACTGCACTCTTGTTTATTGGCTTTAAATGAATAAACTAATTTTTCCTCAAGATCAAGACCATTAAGTTTCCCTTCTTTGAGAAATTTATTTATAACATTTACTTGTTCTTCAGTTAATTGTGATAAATCTGCTTTCTGAAAATATTCGAGTAAGTAGAAACATTATAAAATATTTAAGGGACATAGTTCATAAAAACAAAAAATTGACGCACTTTGCATGCTTCATAAATGGCTTTGCTATTATATTTTGTTGCGCGAGACATACATGCTTTATTATGGATTGGATAATAAATTCTAGGTGGCATAATCGACATATCTGTCAAGTATAACGTTTTTAAAACCGCCCACATATTATCAAATTTATGACTAAGATTTTCAATGGGTTCCAAAACATCTTTAAATAAATCATATTTCCCATCTTCGACTGAAATAAATAATATAAATAAATATCATATCATTCAATCATAATGCATAGCTAAAAATAGTGTTTACCAGAATTTAAATAATCTTCCAAGTCTCGTATTCCACATTCAAAATCTATTAATTGATTGTTTATTGTGTTTTCACATTTTTTAATGTCCAGACCACTGAAAACTGGATGGTCGGTATTAACTTGTACAAGACGTTCAGTTACGTCTTTACTTACTTCTGGTAATCTGAAAGTTCATTACATATTAATCACAGAGTAAAAATTGTAAATTATTAGAAACTTCAAGAAGCATAAGTATAAATACTTGACTGTAAATACGCTTATGAACATCCATAAGTATTAAATTTACTTACAAGACAATGTAACCGTTTCGATTAGGGATTTTAGTTAATATGGAATTGTTGTGCTTATTTATTATATTCTGACACAATCTGGTGCAACGAGACGCACACAACATTATGGAAATAGCGATCAAAACAAATTACACAAAATCAAATTGTTTATACTATGTTTTATGTCGAAACATTTGGATTTAACTGTACAAATTTTTGATCAAGTTTCGTTTTTACTTTTTAAAAAAAGTTTTATCAATTAGAAATTGAATTATTGAAATGATCTATTCTATACTGTTTTAGGTTAGCACACGGTCGAAGTAATCTTTTATCAGTAAAAATATAAAATTTTCCATAGATAATAAATCAGTGATAGTATTTTATCAAGATGCCGTTTAAAATGTATTGATAATAGATAATTTATTTTGAAAAACTGCAAGTGTATATTATAACTCTATTGTTTGTAAATAGTAATTAATCTCAATTATCAAATGAATTCTGTAAAAAGATAATTTCTTGTATAATATTAAGTATTTCTTTAAAATTATTTTACGCCGTTATTCAGTAATAGTGTACTAAAAAAAAATGTGCGATACAAAAATGTTAAATGCGTTTCTTCAAATATCTCATACAAATCTTGTAAACATATTAAAAACGTTTGCAGGTCCAAAAGATTTAGTCATTGAGTATTCATTATTTAAACCACTCGAAATGTTTATAGATATGAAAAGCTTAAGGTAGTATATTTAAGTTATTTATTGGATAAAATCTGTACATCATGTTTTTTTAATTGTAGGCTGTACGGTGTTGATAAGGTATATAAACTTCAAGAATCCATGAACCCAATAACGGATCGACAGTGTATTTTTCTAGTGTCGTCGAATTTGCCGAGTACAAAAATTATCTGTGATCTCATTAATGCTCGTCTAAGTACGTCAACTGTAGCTGAAGATATTTTAAAAATCATTTTAGTTCCTAGGTCATTGATTACAATAGAAAAGCAGTTTGAAGAAGAAGGTGTGTTTGGATATGTAGAAATAGTTGAATTCCATTGGGATTTTATCCACCTTGGCGATTCACTACTGTCGTTAGAAATAACAGATTTCTTCAAAAATGTGTTTGTGGAAGAAAATCAATCGTTATTTTTGCCAGTTGCCAAGTCTCTATGGACAGCCTTTATGGTTCTTGGATTTCCTCAAACTGTATGCCTAAATGGGAAATCTTCATCAGCTATTTATAAATTATTAAACAGATGTTTTAAAGATAAAGGAAAACCAAAAATGAAAAGTGGTTCATGTTTTTTAATTTTGGACAGAGACTTTGATTATGCAAGTGTTTTACTGACTCCTTACACGTATTGTAGTATATTAGATCAAGTAATTGGCATTAATAATGGTATTGTTGAAATAAAAAAAAGTGATGGGATGACATCATTAAAAAATTTATGTAATCCTGACGAAATTTACGAGCATGTTAAATACAAACAATTTGGGGACGTATTAAATTTTTGGAAAATAAAGTCTAAGGAACTGCAAGAAAAGTTAGAAAAAAGTAAAAAGTTACAGTTAGACGAAATGAAACAGTATGTTACACAAGAGTTACAAAATGTCTTGATGGCAAAACAAAACCTCGCGTTTCATATTGATGCATCTGAAATGGTTTCACAAGCAGTTGGGGATACATTTATCGATTATACAACATTGGAAAAAAACATGTTAGAAAATAGAAGCCGGAAAGAAAATTTAAACTGTATAGAAGACCTGATGGCATTTGGAAAAGGTTCTGCAAATAATATTCTTCGACTAATATGTTTGTTTTCATTAACCCAAGATGGGTTTACAACATCAGAACTGGTTAATTTAAGAACACAATTTTTACATCAATTTGGGTACAAATATTTTAAAGCTTTTTATTTATTAGAAAAATTAAACCTAATATCAATTCAAGATACTGGTTCAGTATTACAGAACAATTTTAATAAAATTATTTCCATAAATAAAAAAAAACAAATGTTACAAAACATGATACAAAAATTAAGGCTGATTAATAACAATGAACACATAATGAGTGCTGCTTTTGGTGGTTCTTATGTATCAGCAATTGGAAAATTAATTGAAATAATGTGCAAAGAAGAAATGCCAGAAGAAGAAATAATCAAATTATTATCTAATTTTTCATTTCAAGTTTTTGATTTTAGGACTGGTATAAAATCAGTGTATGTTATGGTAGTTGGTGGTATAACATATGCTGAACAAGCAGCATTTCATTTTTTAGAAAAATCTATGAATATAAAAATTATTGTATTTAGTACAAATATACTAAATGGAAATAGTTTAATGAATTCTTGTATGTAGTAAAAATGTAATTTTTTTTTTAACTATTAAATTTTTATGTGTAGTTGGAAAAAATAAAATATATATTATCATTGTTTAAAGTTTTTGGATTCTGTCAGAAAATATTGATTATGTTTAACATTTTAAATAATTTTTAAAAATTATATTTTACAACTTTGATAAATTAATATATTTTATTTATTCTAGTACAAAAAATAACAAAATAATTTATTACCTATTTATTTATTTATTTATATACTTGTTGAGTAATTTTAGCAGTAGTTATGAGTTATTTGTAATTGTAATGTAACAATTTATTTAGTTTCGTTATAAAGTTTAGTAATATACATTTTTATTTTTTAATCATTTATTATTTTTGTCGCAAAATTATGTAAATTGTTTTCTAAACGATAATTAAGTATAAAGAACTTTTTATGAATTTAAATATTCTTAAAAGACGATATCCAAAATCTGATTTTATAATCACTAGTGGTTATAAAAGGCCATGGACTTTTATTTAAACACATATTGCCTGATTATTTTATGTGATTTCAAAAAAATGCCTACTAGTGTAGATTATGAAGGATTATCATCTCCTGATGGATTAGTAATTTTACCAAATTTATATTTGAATGTAGAATACCGTACAGAATTATGTCCGGCAACATCACCCCAACGTGTAGTGGTAATAGCAAAATTATATCGTTATAGCCAACTAAAAAAAAGAAATACCTAGGTACAGGATGGCGAATGCGACAAATTATCAGATATATATCTAAATTGTTTGATTCCACTAAACATGTCCTAAATTCTCCAACTGACGTCATTGAAAAACCAATAAAATCAATACCATAATTTATATATTTCTCCACGAATTTTCCAAAAATATCGCCAGTGAAGGATAAAAATAATACATTACTTAAAAACTCTTATTTTCCAAAACATTGATGGTAGACGATAACAGCAGGAACGTTTTAAATTAATAATGTAATTTGTATACGCTATATAATATTTAAAATTTAGTTTTTAGGGTCTAGTGTATGAAGTATGTCTGCATTTTCCAAGGTCCACATTTTTTACTTTATTATGTTTTCCAGGTATTACATTTGATTTCAAGAAAATTCCTTTAAAAAACGTGGTACACGTTGGTATCAGCCAATTGCTGTATAATCTGAGGATTGTTGTTTTTGAAATTTGTCTACTACTTCATCTATGGGGTCCAAAAGACCGATTTTTAATTTATCGATTAGAAAAATAGTTAGTTACTAGAAAACCATAAAAATATAATGGCTTACATTTTTTTGAATACGAAATAAAAAATCGACCTTTAAGCCCCCATAGAAAACATGTTAGGTTATTAATTTTCATTACGTAGAGCGTCGATTCATTTAGGGTGATACGGATTCGGGATTACGGGTAGAATTTTCTAGAACGTTCTTCCTACTATGTATTCTCCGTGGCCTAAAATACTTTACTGAGTATTTTAAACCTTATATGTACATTATCATAGTCCATTAATAATTAATAATTACAGCATATTTTACTCGAGTTTATTGAGTAGAGGCTCAAGGCTGAGAAGATAATATATTAATGTGACAAAAAACTATGGTGTAAATAATTGTGTATTGTGTAAACTGTAAACGACTTGCGTGCTGGGACTCGCCCTGGCCCCAGCTGTTTCATTGTTCATGTTAGCATTATTATGCATTTAGTGGTTGGCATCACTGGGCATTATCCATGGTGAAATGTCCAACGCATGCGCAGAGGTGACATACGCGACCAATGGCGTCGTCAAGTCATCAATTACCATCGATGTCAGCATACCGCTCTCTTACCACCATCGGCCACTACTCGCGTCCACCGTCTCGCTCTTTCTTTCGTCTACAGGCGTCGACGCAACACTACATTTGCCGTCGAACGAAACTAGACATTGTATTCTCCAATCTCAATCTTAAAATACCACACCACTCGTCACTTTAGTTTATGTAAGTACCACATGCCACTCAACTTGTACACATGATTACTTGTTTCAATTAAATTTTGTGATCATTTTCTTAAATTGTTTAATTAGTAATTTATTATGTTTGCTCAAGGCCTACGTTGTATTAGATCCGCCATATTGAACCCGATTCATCGTTCTTCTATCTCGTGCAGATCGAACACATTGCTGTCCGAAAACTTATTCAAAATGTAAGTAATATTATTTTTATCTGTTATACATATGATCCAGTCATAATTGAATTATTTGTTTGCATTTTAACAAATGTACGGGCTTAACATTTTCCCGACACGCGTTTTCCGTGTGTTCATATGGTGTGACGTGTGTTAGGTTATGTCAACGTGTGTGGGAGTAGGTATAGTAATATATTTAGACGCTTGTACAATTTTCACTTGTACAAAACTATATCCGATCAATTGTAGTATTTCGTTTTTACCACTCTAGTCTTGATCACTAATATTCGACACCGTTTCATCCTCGCTCTTTGTTTCAAGTGCTAAAGGTTTTATTTTCTAACCTCATTCAATATTATTTGATAAAGTTACAGAAAATGTATGTTTTTATTCTAATTGCGGTTATTTAGTATGGTTAATTTACTCAATACGTAAAGTAAAGAGCTAGTTTAATATCGAGTTAAATCGATCCGTAGCCAACAGTATGACATACTTTCTAAAAAAAAAAAAAAAAATTATAACTGGGATAGTGCAAATCTAGTGCTGCGATCTGGTAGATCTGGTACAGTGACTAAAATATGGAAACCTTGTGTGCTAAATTTTTTCTTTTAAGGTTATGGTTACAAAGATAGATTGCAATATGAAGTTTATTGCTTTGTCTATAACTACAATTATATACTCAAAACGAGTCAATGACCTTCGTATTTATTAACCACCTATATTACTATAACCTTGAAAAAAATGATGAACACAAGGTTATCATATGTCAGTTGATATCTGTAAAAATCGTATAGCTTTTATAAAACTTAGGCGTGTGTGTGTGTATATATATATATATATATATATATATTTGTGTATGTGTTCAATAAAACATTTGTTTAGACAAAAATATTTTTTGATGTAGGTATTTATAAATTAATTGTAGAAACGTATCAACCCCTTACTTTATTTTTATCGATAACTTTTTTTTAAATATCCAAATGAGAATAAAGTTTTCCAACTGATTTTTTGGCATAATATATATATTGGATGTATCTTAAATAAAATATTGCCTACAAATAGTTTTTTTCATAATTATTTACACAAACATTGTTTATTGATTCAAATGTTAGACATAACTTATTATAGATTTTAATTCTGGATTCAATTTATACATATTAATTTGCAAATTATATATTTAATTAATATATTTGACATACATTGAATTATCCTTGATCATTATTTGATGATTTTTAAGAGATCTCTCTAAAATACATAATGTATCAATAATTATATAATAAGTTTTTTGTATAAAACACTTAAATTTTGTTACTCTTTGTAAAAGCCTAACGCAAGTTTAATAAATGTCGAAATATTTAAAATTAAGGATGAAAAAGCCATACAATTTTAATCCACTATGTTTCATGTTGAAATTATCGAATTCTATTTTAATAAACTCAAATAAATTTAAATGCATAGAATTACAAAATTGCCTACAATTTTATGTTAGGTATGATGATTTATTTTTTCATTGATGTAATAAATATGAAATTTAAAATATCAAATCTAATCATACAACTGATAAGTTTATTCTACTGATATCTTTGCTCATCTGTAGAGCTCTGATATTAATGACCATAAATATATTAAAATAAACATTTAAAAATTCCAAAATACATAATTTAAGCGTTTTTTGACGTAGGTTTATGTAGGTTTATTATGTATCAGGATAACATAGAATTACGATTATTTTAGTGATGTTTTTTAATTTAAAGAACAATCACAATTATTTTAGAAATTTTGGACAATATTTTTTATCCAGAATTTTCGTTTAATACTTTTTCTCATTATGTGTATAAGTTTCTTTATCTCATACTTGTGAGCACGATAAAGGATAATAAAAATATACTTATAAATACTCAACTAACTCTCTAGAAATAATCATAGGAAAATATATGCTCAAAAGTGTCATATATATGTGTGTATATATATATATATATATATATATATATATATATACGTGCAATTTGAGTTTGCTGATTTGAAATCTAGTCTTTGTGAATTGAGCTTATATCGTATTTGTTTAAATCAAATTTCACTATAATAATATGCAGTGTAACATCCGAGCTTTATTTATCGGGTTTATTGAAGTAAAAATATGTTAGAGTTAGTAGATGTAGGTATATGTGTATATAATAGTAAATAAATGACAATTTGGCTTATCTAAACTTAACATTTTTTTAAAAAAAATTTTTTATAGGTCTTACGCTAGAAACGGCGGCGGAAGGAGTAATGGTTCTTATGGTGGTGGTGGCGGCGGAGGTGGTCCACGAGGATATGGTGGTGGACGAGGAGGTGGAATGGGAGGAGGTGCCAAGAAAAACCCTGGTGCTAATCTTACTGCTCCCAATTGGGAACGAGTCCAACTTCGACCATTCAAAAAAGAATTTTATGTTCCTCATCCAACTATTGAAAGAAGGTAACAATAATAAATAAAAAAAAACAATGTGTGATAGAACTAATAATTAATAAAATTGTTTACAGGTCTTATGAAGAAGTAGACAAATACCGTGCAAGCAAGGATATTACAGTTATGAGTTCTGATAGGAGTGAAGTCCCATATCCAATCCAACATTTCAAAGAAGCAAACTTCCCAGATTATGTCATGCAAGTCTTAGTAAATGAAGGTTTTACGGAACCAACACCGATCCAAGCTCAAGGTTGGCCAATAGCCATGAGTGGTAAAAATATGGTTGGAGTTGCCCAAACTGGATCTGGAAAAACCTTGGGTGTAAGAATTTATTAAATTTCCATTGAATAAGTACAATGACAATTTTTGCACGTTTTTAATTTATGCACTTGTTTTTCTCAATTAGTATACATTACCTGCTGTTGTCCATATTAATAATCAAGAGCCATTAAAAAAAGGTGACGGACCAATTGCACTTGTGTTAGCTCCAACTAGAGAGTTAGCACAGCAAATTCAAAAAGTTGCTGGGTTGTTCAACCAGTCTACGTACTTGCGCTCTACTTGTGTTTACGGTGGAGCTCCCAAATCTCATCAGGTATTTATCAAGTCATTTAAAGGAAAATCGAGTATATCATTCAATTTTATTGATGTGTTTAATTTATATTTCTTATTATTTTGCTCGATGTACTAATAACCAGGTTTTTGTTTTTGTTCATTGCAGGCCGCCATTTTGAAATTCGGTTTTGCAGAAATGTTTTATTTTTTAAATAAAATAATAACGTAACCTTTAATACGCTCAGTGTGTTTTGGACCATGACTTAATTTTTAATGTTGTGTTCATACCTGCAGCGGAGCTGCAAACCGAATTAAAACAATTAATGTGTCAATTGGCGGCCATTTATATGTTGGTTCAACAAAACCGACACTTTTGATTCCCTATTCCCAATGTCCTCTACTTGTTTCCATTTGCATCGAAAACTAAACCGTCAACATGTCTTCATCGTAGCACTGAACAAACAGTAAGTTAAAACTTATTAGTTTTATTGAACAAGGAGTTCTCAGTGCAAAGCGATGAACAACATTTTAAATTAAAAGTTCCTTAGAAACTGGATTTTTATTCTTTTTTTTCCCCATTACATTACAAGTGTTTTTGATTCTAATAAATACGTATTATTCTTAGGCTAGAGATTTACAGAATGGTGTTGAAATTGTCATTGCGACACCTGGACGTCTTCTGGATTTCTTGGAGTCTCGTGCAACTAATTTACAACGTTGTACTTACCTTGTTTTGGATGAGGCTGATCGTATGCTTGATATGGGTTTCGAACCACAAATAAGAAAAATCATTCAACAGATTCGAGTAATTAAACGCAATTTTAAATTTTATAATCTCATTTTTAATTTTATTCCTACGCTTATTACAGCCTGATAGACAAGTTTTGATGTGGTCAGCAACGTGGCCCAAAGAAGTTCAAAAGTTGGCTAATGACTTTTTGAGCGACTATATCCAACTGAATGTTGGTTCTTTAACGTTATCTGCAAATCATAACATTTTACAAAATGTTGATGTTTGTCAAGAACACGAGAAGGAAGATAAATTAATGGATTTGTTACAAGACATCAGCAACCAGGAAGAAAACAAAACAATTATTTTCGCAGAAACCAAACGGAAAGTTGATACAATTACACGAAAAGTTGTCAATATGGGGTAAGTTCTTACTGGTTATTATTTTTCTTACAAATCTGTATTTGAAGGTTTAGATATGATGATTATTTAAATTTGAAACATACTCTTGTGTTGTTTAATTTGTCCTCTAAGAAGATCTGATCATAAGCCACTTATCTGATATTACTGAATCTATTTTATGATGATTTTATTGTAAAAAACATACTTTGTGATGTTTACTTTGTCCTCTAAGAAGATCTGAATGATTAATATGAACAATAATTTATATATATTCCATTAGAAGTGGTAATAATCTAGGTTTTTAATAATTTTTTATTTGTTAAAATTAGTGCTCGAGCTGTTGGTATTCACGGTGATAAATCTCAATCTGAACGAGATCATGTTCTAAAGCAATTCAGAAATGGTAGAGCAAACATCTTGGTGGCTACTGATGTAGCTGCTAGAGGTTTAGATGTTGACGATGTGAAATTTGTCATCAACTTTGATTACCCCAACAACTCTGAGGATTATATCCACAGAATTGGCAGAACCGGTCGATCATCACAAAAGGGTACTTCTTACGCCTTTTTCACTCATTCCAATAGCAAACAAGCTAAAGATTTAGTAGCTGTCCTTACCGAAGCCAACCAACGCATAGACCCCAAATTAGCTGCAATGGCTGCACGAGCCTATCGTAAGTTTGTTTTAAATAATTCTGTAATGTTGTATATTAAACAACTTGTTTTTATTTTTCTAGCGAGTGGTGGTAACAAATGGTACGGAGGTGGTGGTGGTGGCGGTGGTAACAGATCTTGGGGAGGAGGCCGACCCGCACACAGAAAATTTTAATTGTTACAAAACGGTATTAAATTTCGCACTACTATGAAGATCAATTTTTCATCGCTTACTGATTGAAATATGTAACTTTTTTGTTTAATGTTGTATACTATGATTTTTGTCTCATTCCTCCTTCTATTCCATCCATACAATTCCAACGATTGTATTATAATAGAGACTTTGACACTTGAAGAACTAATATTATATTCTGAGTTTTCTATTCATTTTTTCTTTATTTACACCTACAACCTGTAAACATTCAGTTTTATTTCTTCTTTGGTTTCAGTGTTGTTAATTCTGATTTTTGGTTTAACATGACTTACACAATCCAACTAAAATAATATAAATATAAATTATCTTATATATTATAACGATTTTAGAACTTACTTATATTTATTATATAAAATTCATAACATTTATGACAATTATATTTAAGTGACTAAGTAGTATTGTTCACAAATAAAAGCGAGAAAATGATAAATTTTAAGAATTTTAGTATTATGATGATAATTTTTTCTTTGTAGACGTACTTAGGACTAATTGTCTTTGCTTTACTTATAAGGTTTACGGTTTGTCATTGTAATGAACTTCTTATCAGTTTTATGTAATTTGTATCGTAGAAAACTAATACTTGGTTTGATATGAAATAAATTGCTATGATTATTCTTAGTAAAGCAATGAGCGAGTTCATTTTTTTTATAATACCTCGACTGTGTTGAAACAAACTAGTATAGAAAATTAAGTTGAACTTCTCAACAGTGGCACACCCTGGTACAGATGAACTTGGATAAAATATCAAAGTAATTGGTTCGTAAACACTAATTAAATGACTATACCAGAATCATACTTAATACAGTTTACTTCTATAACGTGGCTATCTAACTTTCTTTATGGTAAATAAGTAATTATTTATTAACCACTGAACCTCTAAATAGCACCTCTATTGAGAATAAATTTAAAGTAGTAAGGTCAAGTAATTTTTGTATGTCGTTTTTAGGATTCTGATTAAAATATACTTATACATATATGTATATTGGAAACATCAAACAATAGTCTGATGTCCAAAAACTCTTCTCTCTCCACAATGGTAGGTTGGACACAATTTTAATAAGTGTCGTTAATCCAAATTGATATTTTTTCGAAATGTTTGTAAAATGTTTAATGTAAATTAACAGCTACTAAATATTGGTATTAAATAAAATTAGGAAGGGGCGAACGCTTCTCTCCCACTCCCTGTTGGACTACATGAATAACTACTTATTTTTATTCCAAGTTATCTAACTATAACTAGTTACATATTTGATTTAACTATTTTAACTGGGTTGATAATTTTCTATTGGAATTTGGACCAACAAATGGATTTATACCTAAATCAGTTTTGAACATAAACAAATTTAAATATTGCAAAATAAGAAGTCTTGAGAATTGACGAGAGACAACTGACCAAAACTATTTTGTTAACTATATTAGGTTCTATAATGTCTTAGATAATATATTTCACAAAAGTTGACTATTCAGATATCCAACAAATGTATAACGTGAACTTGATGAATCAAATAATACCTAGTGGTTAATATGCACCAATGTGGTGAGTTTTGGCAGGGGTCCAAACGTTAAATCGCAGAATAAACAAGATGTGAATGTATTTAATCTATACTGTGGTTAAATAATTGTCTATTTGACTGTCGTCTCGTAGATTTTCATAAGAAAATCGTTTAGAGGTTTTAAGTCAATGTTTTTTTAGATAAACCCTCGAAGTTGTAACTATGGCACGAAATTAATGTTGAAAAGGAACGTTGGGTAACATCTAGACTTAGTCGTGTTTCTTGCAGGTACTATAATGTGTACCAAAGATAAACAATCGTCGTTTGAAGTATCTATACTAATAAATCGACCAAACGCAAAATTTTGCAAACCGTTTATGGGTGGAACTATAATTGAAACGGATTTTAGCTTTATAACAGGATTTACAGAAAAACTAGAGACATTGTATGCTGTGTGACTGAGGATTGAAATAATCCAATTTTAAACGCGTGGAGGCAATATAATATGAAGAAGCCGTTAAATATGCAATTCAAAATGATTTTGATAATTGTGACATTGATAATGTATAAATATTTTATGAAATTTAATCAATTATTTAGTCACGGTACTGATAAAAATTATAACACATATTTTATATATTAGTTTAATAATACCTTTGTACAATTTTATAGATTTTCTTTTTAATAACTTTTTAATTTATATTACTGACCAATAATATCTGAAAATTTGTTTTGATCGATAACCATTTTTGGATAATTACTTTTAGAGTTTAGGAAGGGTTCCAGGGTGGAGTTTAGTTAATTTTATCTGCGTGAGTTGCTCAACCGCACTCGACTTCCCAACATAAATTTTATGTTATACTAAATTTATATTATGTAGATTTTATTGTAACCTTCGCAATGATCTGTCAGCTCATAATAGTATTACAATCAACAATAAATAATATTTAACAAAGTATATAAATTCAACAGTATAATTTTATTCAAACACCAAAAAATGAAACATTTTTCTATACAATTGTAATTTGCAACTCGATAGTTAACTTTCAGCAGCAAATTTAAAAAACAACACTCGTTTATGTGTTAAAATCCCGTGTTAGTCGATATAAATATAATTATATAATATGCGAATAACCGTTGATTTAGTAATCCATTATTTTGTTTTTTACCGAAAATAACACTTGTACAAATGTTATACATTAATATTATTATTATTATTATTATTATAATATAACAAAAAATACGTCAATTCGTTCAATAATATTTGTAATAGGTGTACGGTATATTAATAATAAGTCAAATAAAATGTGTTTGCTATATAGTTTTAATAATTTTACAGAACACATAAAATATGTTTATATTATAATATAATATTATTTACATTTATAAAATACATATAAGGAATGAATGCAATAATACATAATATTATTATTATAACACATTACCTATTCAATAACGTAACAGTAAACATTCTTATAATAATTGTCTACCTGTTTTTATGTGGAGTAAAAAGCGGTAAATTCCGATTTTGTGTAGTGTGGATTGTAAGTTAGCAAAAAACGTTAAAACAAATAAATAATTATTTTAAATTTAGGTAACAATTTATTGAGATTTGACTTAAAAAATGTTTGATTGTTCGTTTTCTACATCCACGCGTACCTATAGACGGTCTACCGTCAGCTCTATGGTCCACCACTATGACTGATTCTACGTTACCATTTACCACAGATACGGTATTTACCATAAACCGAGTTTTGGTTAATGATATTCTGTATAGGTCTACGGTCGTATGCTGATCAGTAAAACATCAAACATGAACCATAATTACCTCTGAATAATTAAAATCGACTTGCCAGGCGAGTTGCGAAATAATAATGTAAAGACCTTATAATTTTATAAATTAAGTGTTATACGAATGTTCACCCAATAATGTAGTTTACATACAAATTCTAAAATTATCTAACATATTATTACGTTAAACAGCAGTTGAGGTTGATTCGTTTATAATGTACATCAAGTCGTTTGTTGTATAAATAAAAAAATAAACTATTGCGAATGCCGAGTGCTCTGGTTGGTTTAGGTTTTAAACAATTGAAACAAACAAAAAATAACTCATGTGACCTAATGTGACACAAGTGAATTGCATTAAATTTCAAAGTGATGAATGGTGTTCTCCATGTACGGTTCGACGCGAAGAGTGAAACAAAAAGAACGACTGAAAAATTGTTAGGCATTATTTTTACTTTCCTTGTGTTTTTGTTGATGGATATATGTATTGCCGGCCATTAGAATGACTCATGTGTTTTAAACTAAATATCAGTTTCCTTAAAAAAACCTGTCAGTTTCCTAAAACTGACACAAACTGAGAAAAACGCCAGAGTGGTGGAATTCTATTACTTTTGATTTCTAGAGCATCCGTTTTTGACGTATAAATTATCAGGAACGTAAATTGTAATGATCAGTTAAGTTTTAAAATTGTGCAATTCGGCAAAACGATTTCTAAGCAATAACCCCGTTGAATATAAATAGAAAAAAAATTTAATTTATTCTATGCACTAACTAGCAGCAGTAAAAAATTATTAAAGAAACAAAAAATAATTTTTGTAAAATTAGAATTTCATTGCAATTTTAATCAAGTTGAATCCTGTTAGATTGATTTTAATATTGATTGAGTTAGATGTATAGAATGTAGTTATAATTAATGGGTGAATAAAGGAATGTAAATATTTTATTGGAATAAAATATATTGTTTAGATTCGCTTATATTAACCTGAAAATATGAATTACCATTTAAATGAATAATGCACGATGGTATATTTATAATAATACAACAGTGGATCTTTTCTTTATACAGCAAAATTTTATATTTTTTCGGATACATTTTTTTTTGTGATATTAAATTGATTAAAAAGTTGTGAAATCGCCGTTTTGTGGTCTACAAACTGTGTTTTGTACATTTGAATAATTTCCTAAAATACATTTCAAAAAAAGTAAACTCTAAAAAAATAGAATGAGGAACTTATCGTTTTATTTTCCCTTGAATTTAGAATTAATGTAGGATTTGGCGGCGATTTCAAAACTAACTAGATAGCCTAGATAAAATTAATATCCAGATTCGGTTCAGCGAAATAAGTCAAAAAGTAGTATACATTTAAATTAAAATATCATTATTCCTTAGAAATATATGTAATTTTCAAAAACGTTTTCTCTTTAAATAGTCTTTTTGCTAGAAATTGTTGAGCTGTTACAATATTTTCTAGACAAAAAACTTTAAATACTTGGAACATTAAATTACTTCTGCGGCCACTAACTGTGTAGTTACCAAATACTTAATAATTAGGGGGAAAAAAAATAATCTAAATATTAAGTTGTAATATTGTATAACTATTATAAAATAAATACAGGTATACCCAGGACTTAAGTTCGATTATTTCCTATTTGCGCACTGCGGTTATAATTAAGTGTTTATGAACTTAGTAATTGAAATTGTCGAAGATTACCAATGTAGCTTTACAGTTAAAACTATATCCAAATTAGTAGTAAAATAATAAGTAAATTAGTAAAATTTAATTAGTGTGTATTTTTTTAGTATTAGAGCTGGTACAACAGATAATGGGCTTTATGTAATCGAAATGTCTTGGTTTAATTTTTCATTTTCTTCAATTTACCCAGAAAATATAGCTCCTTAGAGGTATTTATTTTTGTTTACAATAATATTGTTGTAATATTATATTATATTCTATCGAAAACTAATTTTACAAGTAATGAGTTTCATATAAATATATATATATGCAAGTTAAAATGTGCCGTTGTTGATAAAAATGATTGAGTTTGGTTCTTTGTAGAAGTTTCATAATGCCGCGTATCGCTCGCATAAGACGATAATTCCCGACCGAAAACCTAGTCAAAAGTATATACTTATAAAGTCGTTGCCAAAGGCAAAGCGGTACCGCTTACGCAATGCCATGAACTAAATAATACAACAATGGACGTCCTTATAATACATAAGTCGGTCGGTCATCTGAACCACAACAATAGCGTTTTTCTTAATATTTTTATATTGTACCGTTGCAACAAAGATATAATTTTGGCCATCTGGTAACACATGGCAACAGCGACTGTTTTATTAATCGTACAGTATACAACAGTTGAAACACACAGCACGGCAGCACCTCTGAATCAAATTGTCTTTGATTGAACTCTATAGTACGGTAGTATGACGGCGGGTCAAAACCGTCAGCTGGTTATTATAGTTTGACTTTGGATTCGGTCGGTATGGCCGGCGGCAAGTAAAAACAATATTTCCAAACTATAGTGCTGGCGTTTGCTTAGAACCGATCAAAAACGAATTAACCGTGATTTATACATGGTGGCGAAAAGTTATTGCGTGTGTGCTCGCGACGTGTAACCGACGGTGTCGACCAAGACGTGTGAACAGTAGGACCAAGTGCACGGGATAGGCGCGCAATACTCTCCAATATAGCCGCAATGTAATAATTTAGAACACGCTTGTCGCGTTTTAAAAACAAGTTAGATTTAGAGCGGTGCGGCGGGTCACGTCCAGGGTCGGACTGCAGCTATTATTGGGGCTTTATGCCAAATAACGGTTGACAAATGTATATTATTCGCAATAGTATTGTGTATTATGACGGATGCGTAACGCCATCTTTGCCGTTTTCTAAAACCGCGACTACCTCTAATGTCGCGTCGTCGGAGATGGTCTCTTCGCGCGGTTCTCCGTCTTGGCCGTGACACGTCCAAAGAGCAGCAACAGCATCCGCTATAATTGTTGTCTACGACTATGGAAACAGCACCGCTAAACGTGGTTTCTGGACCGCCGACCGCCGCCGTACCTTGCCGAACGGTTGTTGTGTAAACCGTTGACGTTGTTGGAGTCGCGGCTGTCCATGCAATGGCTACAAGTCAACCGCCAAAATGCCATTCTGAAATCCGGGCTGACAAACGCGTAAATGAACGGATTGATGGCCGAGTTCATCCAACCTGCGCAAAAACACAACCGTTCGGTTTATGATATATTATAATAGTGTATAGTAGTGATAGACGATTATTATGCTAATCCATAATAAGTTCGACGGGTTTGCTAAGCGCCAGCAAAACTATGAGCGTCGCAGACTTTTATGTTTACATTAACGGTACACGTAGATTAGAGGGATGGCACCGAAATACGAATTTCAAAAAATGTCCGAATTAGCGATGAGAATATTCGGGTTTTTTCATTAACTGATTGATCAAATTCGGATTTCACGGTTTATCCGGATTCTTGGATTTACCTGTTTATGAGAATTGGTCTCGAGCTATATTCGTGTAATTTGTCTATTTTTTATATCTATTATCGTCATTTTGTTCGATAAGAACTTATTTAAGGTTTCTACTGTAATATGTACCTTTTGGGCGTTAATTATTTTTAAATAAATAAACGTTATGTAGTATATACTAGTGATGTGACATAAATCTGGATTATCCAAAAAATTTAATTTTGGGTTTTAAAATAAAAATGTTGGTTCGCTTAGATTTTGATAGATGTTGGGAGAATTTGTTCAACTTTATAAAATACTGATAATACTTTTAGCGGGACTATATAGCGAGAAAAATATCATCTGTCCAGCTCTTGGACATTTCTCAAAGGTAGTGACAAAAAAAAACATGTATCCGTTCTACGGCGATGTTAAGATTGACGCTTAATTTGATAAAATGGACGTTGTAAGCTTAAATTTAAATCTACTGTTAAAGTAAAAACAAGTAATGATCAATGTTATTTGTATTATTAGTATAAATATTATAACAACGGGAAATGCGAAGGATTTATAACTATTAATATTAACATCATTTGAGATAATATTAAGATAGCATAAAAAACACCTTTACAATATTGTATATTTCAGTATTTAAATGACGACTAAGAGCCGAGACGAGGGGAGAAATAATATGTAATACTGCATTGACATTTGACGGATACAGGACGAAGTTCATAAAAATAGACGTGACACACGCGTTTGGTTCTTTTAGTATATGAAATAAAATATATTTGAACAAGACAATCCCTTATCACAACCAACACTTTACTGTGCTTTCCGAAAAATACATTAATAAAATAAGTTTTACAAAAAAAGAAAACGGATCAAGACCACTTAGCGTAGTGGTCTATTTTTTCTAATTATTTGCGGTTTTGTGTTGGATTAAGTATAACAGAGACATTTAAGACGTCCCCGTAAGTCAGGCTTATAGAAAAACCAAGCTCGGAACTAACCCTAAAGTGCGTCAAGATAGAATTCACAATGTTTTTCTTGGTTTAATCTTAAAAAAAAAAAACGGGTATGGAATTTCTTTGTGGCCGTTGTTTGACGAAGGTAAACGTCCAGATAGAATTTATTGTAGAATATCCTATTCTCTAGTGAAAATAGAAAACTGTAGCTCCAAATGTATACTGCATAAAACCGGCTTTTTGAGCACACCCCGACCATAGTTGCGTTATTGTAGCGAGAGACAATACACGCGGATATATAATATACAGCATAGAACAAGTCTGACGTAGAGTTGCGTTTTTAAGAAAAATACTTGTACAATAAAAAATAAAATGTTAAGTACTGTAACAATAAGTTGATTTTACAGACAACCTATTTTACTCAGTGTTTTGTTTGATCGGTTCAATAAAACGTCTGACGTACACCTTTAAAATATATATTTTGATTAATATGTTATAACCGAAAACTTATAATAGCGGCGTTACGTTAGATTATAATCACGACAGTGAGGATTAATTTATATTGCACGTGATAAACAAAACACTTATTAGAACAAACCTTGTTTTAATATACTTTAATTTAATACGACTATGCAACAAAGTTTGATCTCGAGATAGTACGCGGCGACTGTTAAAAATAAAAACTTAAGTACCCTTATTGGATTTCAGAGTAGTTTGAATAAAACACTCTGGTATGGTAATAAATAAAAGAAACGCATTTGTCGTTACTATATTTTATAATAAAATAGCAATGTTTTGCATTAAGCAATTGTTTATACCTTAACAGAAACTTGTCAAGGATACCAAACACTTTAGTGTCAGTTTTGTATGGTATTATGTGTTTATAGTTTCGCGGTTACAGTAAGATCAGGTTAAACACTCTCAGGTTATATTCGTGATACATATCTTGTTTTGTTTTCTATTTTCAGTTTCGAAGTGAAGTTGAGAAGGTTGACAAATAAAAAAAAAATAAAAAAAACTGGTATATAGCTGATATACATCTATTTATTAAGGCATTATATTACGCGAGAAGAGCATTTTTAACGACCGAACTCTTGTTATTAAATATTAACTACCCGTTTTTACAAAACAAAAGGAAATTTTACTATCTAATCGATTCTCGGAAGGATTTTAATCTTATCCTAGAGCAGTTAATTCATTATTTTTATATATTAAAACAGTAAAAGATGATTAAAAATATACAGTTATAAAATAATATTTATAACTCATATTTCACATCACTTTCAATAACATTTTGGCTTTAGTTTTTTGGCCATTAAAAATTTAATTACTTTTGTTCATTACAAATAATGAAAACATATTCAATTATTCAAAACGTATAACGACGTTTTTTGAGATATTTTTTTAAAATTTTATGAGAACATTTTTTTTCTGGAGTTAAACTTACATTTATTTTAAACTACTAATAACGGACATCGAACATAAGGATTCTAGTACGATGCATTTAGCTATTGTGTCCTGTGGTGAAACTATATTTATACTGTTACGAGATGAGCTTATTTTCTAAACTTGGACGGTCTTACGACGGGAATACACTGTAAGACCGGATTGGATGGAGAATTCATACGTACCTAGCTACGTTCCTGGCCGGTGCCAGACTTACTTGCTAGAAATGTGGGGCGATTAAGGCAAAAACAAATATTTGGCGACCGTATGTAAATACAGACTACAGGCTACTGCAAATACAGAATTATTGTGCTGCGCGCCTTTAGGGAACATTATTATTATTATTACTATTATCGATAAGTGCATATCGAGCTGCCGTTATATTGTGAACGTATATTTTATTGTTATTTACCGAGCCACGTTAGCCAAGTCATGATCGCCGGCGAAACGGTGCCTTCGGGCAAAAACGGGTTGATCAGGTACACGATGAAGAAGAACAGCCAACAAGCGATGAACCCTCCGACCACTATCGACAGCGTTTGTGCCGTTTTGTTTTCACGCTTCAACGACACCCGACAATCGTCTCCTCTGCGTAAGCTGTTGACACACAAATCCACAGTACACAATATGCGGTATTAAATATCATAGTATTAAACCTTAGCCCCCTCTTGTCGCCACCCCCCCCCCAGAACGTTATCGGTGACGTGACAAGCATTGTGTAAATAATGATGACGTCGAAATCTTACCTGATCCGGACCACCTCGTCCATGTCCACGGCCGCCCTGTCTATTGAATCGTGGCTGTAACGCGATATCTAAAAAATAAAAAATAATGCAGTCATCGAAAATAATTACTATCGATATTGGAAACAATTAAATATTATTGCGATAGGGCTCGCACGATTTCATTGAATAGACATTAAAATATATATGATTATAAAATAATAATATGGCAACTATTTAGTTTGCGCTAAACGAAATTAAAGACGAGACGCGACGAATGATATGTCGTTATCACAACCTGCAGACATTGGAAATGTTTGGGTGAGCACTGAAGAGTAAAGATACGACCGCATGTCAGTTGTTTAAATAAGAACATTTTTATAAAACAAATTGCAAGAAATTTGATATTAAATTTCTATTAAAAAAATTATTATAAAATATTTTCTTAATTTTTGTCTCTACGTCGCGTCGGTTATGTATCGGTTTGTAAACAAACAAATTATGGGCCATACAAAGTGGATAAAATGTACTTGAACTATTTTCCGGGATTGGAAAAATACCGATAAAATGTGTTTCCTTGTAAATAGTCGTAAACAGTACTCTTCGCTAAAAATATTTTACATCTTGTAGTTATGTGGGTAACTAAGTGGAAATAAATCTATATATTTTAAGAGAAAATAAGTGAAGTTTTTTAAACAGTTTTAGTATAATAGACACAAAACATATAGATATAATTGTCTTCTAAATTGTTTTAAATTATTTTTTGTTTCTTTTTTTGAATTTGTGGTATAGTAATAAAATATATACAAACTAATAACATACCGATCAATATATAATAAATAATAATCGTCTTGAGGCCTTTATTAGGGTTTATATAAGCAGTATTTGATAATATTTTTATGGGAGAAGATTTTGCGGTCATGTCATATCACTTATAATTTATTTATAATAGACATTTAAACAATCTACGTTAATTTAAACTCTATTGACTGTTCTAAAGCACACTTTTTAATCTGAATAATTCGATTATATATATACTCAATGATATTATTAATAATTGGGCACCTAAGTCCTAATGATATAGCTCCGGTGCGATAAAAAGGTAGCGGGACGATCATTTTTAATACCTCTTTGATAAAAATAAATATTATTTTTAAAGTACATGGCACTTTATCCTAAATTGACAGCCGGTAACGGTCAAGCTTTTCAATTTGGGTTTCGTACGTAAAAGCCAACATCAATATTTTATGAATCCTTGAACTTTCGATTTATCTTATCGTTTATACATTATGGCCACGTCGCTTTTTATAATCTGATTTATAATAATAATAATATATTACTATCATAATATACAACAATTTTATTTTAACGAATTTACAATTGTGCGATAAGCGTTTTTGCGAACAACTACAAAAAAAAGTGCTCTAACAAAATACAAATACCTAATGTTATACATAACATATAATATTTATGTTATATTTTGTGTACTGTAACGTCGTTAAGTGTTATCAAAAAAACGTTAAAATTACACGGCTCTACAGAATGTTGGATGAGTTTTAAACAACAAATGAAACCGACAATTTAATGAGAAAAAAAATGTTAGTTGGACCAACTCTTAAAAACTCGATATTAAAAAAAAAGCTTTTCATTAAATTTAATCAAGATAAAAAAACCTGAAGTAATTTTAGCCTCTTACAAATCATAGCATAATCCCTTTAATATTATTGGATAATAATTGTAAATAATTGAAAAATGAGAAACACCAGGTTTTATGTTCTTCATAATTTATTTTTTTTAAATGTTCATTGGACAAATGCCCTCAAAAATATTTAATGACAAGAATAAATATTTTATAATAATAAATAATAATAATGGATGATATAATATATATAATAATAGATTCAGGATAATAATAGATATTACTAATACATGCTAATACTAATAATATTATTATCCTGAATCTAATTTAATATTAGGTTTTCACGTTTGATGGTATCGCTAATATACGATACCATTATGCGGATGCGTACAAAATGTTTAAGTACTATAATATGTTTTAGTACACGTCGTGAAATTGGAAGTACAGTGACACTGTCGATTCGCACAACTATGCTTTATGGATGTTTGTGATATATAGCCAGTCAAGTTATCGATGTACCATGTGTTCAAAGGATTTATACTAATATAAATAATTTATACATGTACATATCTAACGTGTACACGTCATATCCACGTTCGAAGTTTAAATAATAATAATATTATTATTATTATTATAGTAGTGTCAATTTAGGAAATGAAATTTCAATCTGATCTACAACCAAATATAACGTTCAATAATATAATTTCGGAAGAACGAACTGTTGTTCTATCAAATGCATATTATAGTAATATAACGACTTTGGGTGGGTTATTCGTACTTAGGTCATCAATTACATACAATTTGTTTTGAATTCAATCAATGCTTAGTCTAATGTTTTTTTTTACATTCGACAGATTTTTAGTGTGTGTTTACTATACTATTTTAATGTACCTAATTGTAAAGCGGTAAAACCCGTATGTTCAGTACGTTCACTTATTGGCGGGTCATTATGGGTTGTCTATTTCCTGCGCGTTTTTAGACTTATAGAGTTAGCAATTTCCATAATGTGATCACCAGTATGTTCATTGTAATTACTTTTGGAAGACTGAATTGCACGTGCCATTACGGCAATGGAAAGCGTTTGCACATAAATTCTTGTTACCACCGGGTATAATATTGACATGATAATATATAAGCGTTACTGGCCTGCAGTTTCAAAAGACCCGACCGATTGTAGGACGAGAAAAGATCTATCTGAAAATATATTTTAGTGAAAAAGAAACGGCTCAGCAGGAATCGAGACAGTTTTTGAATAATAATATTATGCGTGACGCGTTATTCTATATTTTTATTCACACAAAGTCGTATAGAAAAATTGTATAGCGTCGAGGTGCAGTTCTACTATCTACAATAAATGTACTGTCTAACGCACTGCGGTGATCTAGAATACATAAAGAACACCGATAATGGATTTTCCCCCTTATATTCATTACAGAGACCTGTAATACTGAATATTTGATAACGGTGATGTACCTAGAGTAAAATTAAAAAAAAGGTTTTGTAAAATTGATTTTTGGTCTAAAATGAAGGGGTCGATCATTTCTTGTTGCTTATAAGAACTCGCGTGTATTTGAATAATTGTACAACGATGGTAATTTTGGTAAAATACCCATCTAAACAGACGATAATTTGGAACTCGATACCAATTTTTGATTCGGTAACCTTAAAAATTGAATTGTAAATTAAAAAGTTAATGCATATTTTTGATAATCTATATTAGATTTTTAAGGGACAGTGGAATGTAATTATTTTTTTAAAGCGCGTATAGCATGTGCAACACTATTTGCTTCTTAGAGCCAATATTGTTTGTTTATAAACGACTTTCGGACAATCTTGCGCAACGCCCTTGTCTACCGAAGGCGTTCAATTTATAATTTAATAGCATGTTGAAAAATAAGTTTCCTTTCCAACAAAAACCTTCATAGTCCTGGATGCGCGTGCATAAAGTGAATCGTAAACTAGTAAAAAAAAGTTTTTTTAAATGGGTTTCGGCGTTATTGTTTTAGCTCCGAAGCGCAGTCGGAAAGCTATTTTCTTACAAGGGAAAAATAAATAGCTTTAAAGAGGCCACGTTAATATTTGATCAGGGTATTATTACAGTTTATATGCTGTATATATTGTAATCTATTGTATTATTGAACTCTGTAGTCGGGCAACGTTCAACGGTGCTTCAAAAAACTCTTGGAATATCAAGCCCCTTTGATTTTTTTTTGAAAATATTTCCATGACGTATTTCTGGTGGCCTGGGAGGGGATGAATATTTTGGTACCCCTGTATAAGCACAACTGAGGATTATGAGTATAGAATGTTAGGTCCTCACAACGTTGCTTAATGATGTAAAGATTTACAAGAAAAAAAAAACCCTTAGTTTCCCAAATCCGAATGATAAATTAAAATTGTGCTTATGAACACAGCTATTGACAGTAGTTCAGACACAATTGTTTGATATTAAAAAACAGTTAGGAATGATGAAAGTAACCCTTCGCAAAAAATTGGCCTTTACAAAATGTGTACGTTCGAAGTGATATATTTTATATGTTTTCGTTGTCCGGAAACGAACAGTGGCCACTGACAGATAGAACTAGATTAATAGCATACTACAACTTAGTGGAGAAGCTAAAATTTATAAATACATTGTTAGTAAACTGTAAAAGGCAAAAAAATATAAATGTAATGTAGGTATAGCATACAATAGTGAATACAGCTGCTATGTGTCGTGGTTCAAGAAGAAAAAATTTTACTTTCTGTAACTTAGAAAATAAGGTTTAAAGTTTTTGTTTTCCAATGGAAAACCGACTCTGGTGTAATTTTTTCACAAAACTTTTCGTAACTTAAAATTTTTATCACGAGCAATTTTTTTTTATTATATAATATAAATTCTATTAACTGAGTTAAGTTGTCTAACTTATTTAATACTATAGCAAAAACGTGCTATCCAAGCCACAAAGTTCTTCAACTGTAGATAATCCATATTAATGATATAATATCTTAATAATAGTATTTATACAACATTATTATTTTTTGATGCCTTAATACTATGATGCCTCCTTGAATAACGACGATCTTATGTTCCTTAATGCATTTTTAGGCTCCCCAGTCCCCCAAATACATCTCTGTAGTGTGTAAAATTTATCGTTTGGGCACAAAAATAATTGGTCATTTTTAAGACGATTCGGTAGTTTTGATATTTTGCGACCGTTGACGCCAGTGGGACGTCGCCGTGGGAAATCGCCTCACCGTTGACGACTTGTAATATATAATATCTGTATGTTTTATAGCGACGTTAAGTACACCAATAAAATTGATTTTGGACCGGAACGATTTATATAACGACGGCAAATGCTTTGGCGGACAAAAAGGATTCCGAAGCGATGGCGGGGGAGGATGTGCGATGTGCGATGACTCTACGCGTGACCCCAAGTCGAGTCCCCGGTGGCTATCTAACAATATAAAAAAAAAAAAAAAATGGTCAACCACCGTTAAGTATGGAAGATGCGAAAAATAAATTTCCACGTGATTGGCCGACGGCGGCATATTTTTTATAACATACATTTATATTTGTATTATACATCATAAGCCTCGTGGACGGCACCCTACGCCCACGCGACGAAAAATTCTAGAAAAAAACACACATATGCATATACGACGCAAACGCAGGTAAATGGCGAAATTATACAATTGGTACGTTCCCCGCAACGCTATTGTGCACGGATGTTTATAATTATTTTGTTTTGGCATATCTGTACCTACGTGTAGGTACCATTTGGATCCATTCGATGGGAGCTAATCTCGATTTTTAGCCAAAATAAAATAGAATACTTACCGTACCACTGTGGGGTTATAGCAAATTATGTTATATTTCAGATGGCGGCCAAAACTCTTAGAGAGTATTAAATGCCAGAGGAAGAGAAGATGGCCATTGGAGTCCAGTTTTTTTAAATTTTACCCAACTATATTAGGCGTTTGATATAACTGTTTAAGCTCTTAGTTTTTTTTTAATTCTCTATTCTCTCGCGATGTGATCTAAACATTGTCCGAAGATTCTTCTCAATACTATTCATTCAAAAATCAAAAGTTTGTTTTGCTCAGATTTCCGTATTATAACGTATTCTATTGTTACAATAACAATTAAAAAACATAATTTATTAATACACTTTATATCATAATTGTGCCGCGAATCAAGCAAAATGGCGCTTAAAAAAAATCCAAGGTAACTCTATACAGGCCTCTTACAAACATCTTGAGTTGGCGCATGCAACATCAATAATAATATGTATATAAATACTTGTAAGTTGCCCGTCGGACAAAACGCGATATTTCATTTTTATGGAAACCGATAAACTTAATTTAAATCAATTCGGTAGCGTTAGGCAAAACCCGAACAGGAGTGAAGTACATTATGTTTAAAACTTTGGTAATGGCGCGTCTTTAAGACTATAAAACCCAATTTTTTTCGGTCATGGTTGAACGTCCGATATTGATTATTGTATAATATTCCGCTTTAGTCTCGGAGCCGCTATTAATAGGGTTATTTTAATGAGATCTCACCGATGGGTTAGCCGATTTTGGAGCTCGTGCGACCCCTCCATCTCCAGTACCGGTATCCTATTTAAATGTCGGAATAGGGGTGGAAGTCGCCGTACGATGCCAAGTCGTTTATTTCATTGTGTGACACTATACGAGTCTTACGGGGACTGTATCAAGCCGTCGCGTGACATATTTTTTTTTATAATTACAGAAAACGTATTATGTACTATCTGCCTGCTATTTAATAAATAGTGTAAGTACCTTTAATTTAGGCCCGTTGAGCGCCTCCAGATTTTGATGTCTCTGCGCGATAACACACGATATTTTGAAATACACGTAGACGACCACCACCAACGGTACGAAGAACGAGCCCATGGCCGAGAACACGACATACCCCTTGTTTTGATTGTAACCGCATTTTTTGTTTTTGTGCCTGTTCTCGTCGTACCTGTGGTTTAAAAACACAACAAAAGTGTAACGCACTGTTGGACAGTTTATTAATGTTTTCATGAGTGTTGTATTGAAAATAATTTATGTATATTCATCAATCGTGTGTGTGTGTGTGTGTGTGTGTGTGTGTGATGTATTATTGCTATTAGATTTTCCGCCAAAACATGATACATGAAAACAACAGAAATTGCTTGTGGAAATACACACCATCCGAAAATAGGGGCACACGCGATGACCAACGACAAGATCCAAACGACAAGTATCATTAGCGAAGCCAACCTTTTGGATCTTCTTTGTTTTGTGTACCGCAACGGTTTGGTGATAGCCAAGTATCTGTCTATGGATATGGCGCAAAGGCTAAGTATGGACGCCGTACAAAGGCAAACGTCCAACGACACCCAAATATCACATATCAGTCGACCGAGTTCCCATGTGCCTGAAATCAAATAGGTCAGAATATTATAAAGTAGACTCGCGTCAACTAATATAGTATACGGCAAGTGGTAGCCAAACGATGGTTAAATATGTTTAATTTTATCATTTTAGACGAATCAGACGTGTAAATGATAACTGAATAAATAACAAATAGACGGAATATAAATTATAAAATATTTGCTTATAGAAAAAGATCAGGGTGGATATTGATTATAATAGTACGATAACTTTTGAATACTGCCTAGCTTTCTAGACTAAAGATTTTGCAGCATTATACATCTACAACCTAACTGTAGTACCTAAGTTGCACACAAAATATCACTCTCTCTGTGACTCTAAAGCTAAATAAAAATAAAAAACAATAAATTAAATTGGCTATCAGTTATCACTCTACTATCTAAAGTAGTGCACACTGTTACTTTTGACAAATGTCAGACGACATCGATTGTCGACTCACCCATAAAATGGTGAACCACAGCTATGGGCATAACGAACGTCCCCACCAGCCAGTCGGCCACTGCCAGAGAAGTGACAAAGCAGTTGGTCACGGTTCGCAATCTTCTGGTTGTGAACACGGCCAATATAATAAGTGTGTTGCCCACCTGTGAACATATATTAAATTTTTTAAAAAATATATTTAGGTTTAATGATAGGATAGTAATCCTGAAGTCTGAAGTACACGGATTGTCCTATTATTCCAGTCCGGATACTTAAGATTTCGGAAATCTGAAGAATCACATTACTACTTAGGATTATTATACATAAATATCAGCTATTCAATTGACTCGAATTATTAAATAACAGTTCTTGTGTTTTTTAAAATCATAATTGTCATTATAGTTAAATCAGCCTACGGATCTGTGCACTCTGTAATAGTTTGAGATTCTACTTATAATATTATACAAACGGGAAAATTGTATAACGGATCCGATCTGCAGCTTATTTATCTCAACTATCTTAAGTTAGGTTTGATTAACCCAAAATGCCAAAGCTATCGACTCATCTAAAACCTGTATGCAAAATAATTTGTAAAACAGTTATATTGTCATTACTCATTATGTATGTGGTTTTTATAACTCTTGTTAATAAATATCTAGTAATGGTAATATCCGTCAACATGTATTTTGTACAACCAGTTTAAAGAGTTATATTAGTTTGCTTATATTTTACTGTTAATGGACAATTCGTTGTCTTATGGTCTAACGGGATAGGTTTTTTTAAAGTAAAAAAAATACAGTTAATATTATAATTATAAATATTTACGACACCGAATTTCATACAATTTACCTTTATGGAATTTTTAATTTGGACTTAAATGTAAGAAAACCCAGTTTCAACCCACGTGAAATTAATTTTTTCGGTTAGGTTCGTAACAGGAATCTAAACTTTTAATTTCAATACTAAATATAAACACTAAAAAGTATTAAACTGTTATTTTGTATGTACGTAAGCTCGTCATAATAAATGAAATAAATAACGATTTAGCGATTTTATACATTTACATAGATTAATTTGTATTGCCAAAGGGGATATCTTACAGCTGCGTGTTTTCGGGGAACCTCAAAAACATATATATATATAAATATATAATTTTGTCGGTTCGAAACAAATGAGCTGGGTTCGCGTTCGGTTTTGGCTTTGTTTCTGCCCCAAGAATTTTAGCCTTGAAAATAAATTCTAGTCGTAGCTCATTTCTTTACTCGGAGTGACGCGATTAAGTCGTGACGCGTATACCTAGTTAATCTTACACGCTATCTCACGGTCACACTAGTATATCCTACACATATACAAATTCAATTCATTACCCGGCCGAGTCTTATCAGGGGACGACTTAGGTAAACATTCCTTTTTCTTACTGCCGCTTTAATCGTTATTACAAATTTGTCTTTTGAATGAAATATCAACGTTGTTTGCACAAGATTACTTGCCCGAGTCGATTAGTGCTTTATGCTACGCAATCAGGTTCGTTGTAAAATGTTTAGCGACCGGTTTAACCGAGTATTATTAAGTATTAACACAATAGTATATTATTATGTATTTATCTATAGACATCAAGGTAACTTCCTGATTGGAGGAGATAGCGAGGGATGGACTGTTAAGCTTTAAAAAATGTTTTATAGACATCGGCAGTATTTCCGGCTTCAGTTAAAGTAATTTATAACTATTTTTACAACATAGGAATTCTGAATGAGAGTTTAATGATTTATAACTTTTTTTTTTTGCTCGGATTTTGGAAGTTAATCATAATATTATTATAGTACAATATAATTGAATTTTAAACAACAAATAACTAATAATTAATCAAAATTTGAACAACTGTGGTTGTCGAATACGTTCGGGCGGGGAATCAAACAAAATTACAAAGTTAAAAAATCTCCCAGAAAGTAATGTAATTTTTTAAATATTTTATAGTAATTGCATGACCAAAAATATAATGTAATACATATTTTTTAATTTTTTATGTTTGGGAGCTACTACACAAGTTCATACAACTGAATTATGTAGGTAAACAAAATACTTATGATCTAACTAGATCTGAATAAGTGGCTAAAAATATATACCATATTATAGATTACGTAAGAGTAAAGTTCAAGTTTTATGATAAACAATCAAATTAGGAAGTCGGTCCGTAGACTGGAGAGCATTAGCGTAACTAGATGGAGGGGAATTTAAAAACTCTGAAAGCTTCCTCAGAATTTCAGGAAAAATTATAAACCTTACTAAGGGGCTGTGTCTGAATGGTTGGTTGCTGACATATTTTTAGAGTCTGAACGAGTTTAAAATGATTTGAGCTTCCCGAGCCCCATCTTGTTGCACCACTGGTGGAGAGTGAAAATTTTAAGTAAGAAAGTGGACAAGAATTAACATAATACGCCTTTTGATAGATATTGAGCAGTTTGCCAGTTGATTTCGATGCTGAAGTTCAGTGGTGTCTTAACGACCGATGACCTATGGAACTCTATGAAAATTGTAAGAGACATATTTGCCATCCTCTTGACTGGTAATCGGTCAATAAGGTGGTTAACAGGTATATAAGTATGATCTAATTTATTTTGGCGGAAAACGGATGACGGTTTAAACGCATGTCGATGAAATTCGGTGTAGGTATAATATTATGCCATACGAATTGGGAGGGATAGGGGGGGGGGAGGTGGGCTAACCATACATAGTGCTTGGTAAGGCACATTTACGGTGTCCCGCTGAAGCTGACGACGAAAAATGTCAAGCGCGCATCGTTTTCGATAATGTCAACGATTCAATTTTTTTTTTCTTTTCTTTTTCGGCTGACTCGCAAATACACGTCTCCCGACCGACGAGAGAGTCCGGTCCCCGGTGATGGTATATATATATTATCATAACACACAATACATAAGGCGCATTGATCGCGGTCGATCAAAAGAATAAAAATGATAAAAATAAGAAAAAAACACGTAATAATATTCCGGCACAAGTAAACAACGGCGACGGCGAGAAGAAATCCGCGTTCCGAGCCGAACGTAAGCTGAAGAGAAATTTATGAGTACGACCGCCAGCCCGGCTTATAAATAATCTTCAAGTCATTGTGCCCCCGCGTGTTTAGTTCGCTGCCATCGCGGTTTTTCTCTTTTACCCCGTTTGCCGGCCAAAAATGTCACTTGTAAAACCGTTTATCTTGTCCGTACAGTGGGCACGGCGCTTAGATAGATAGAACATAGCGAACGGTGGTATGCACGTGAGCGTGTGGGAGGACCAGTATCGTTTTGCTCGGTTAAACGGTTTTATAATTAGTTATTACTACACGAGAGCAAAGTTATTATGAACTCCAAACAGTCGTTAATTTTTCGTTGGTTGAGTTTATGTTCTGTTTAATACCTTATCGGCTTCGAGCTACTTTCACGCTGAAACAAACGTTTTCCTTGCTAAAAACCGGCACGGTAACCACGGCGAACGCGTCTAATAAACGTGTCAAAAGCAACGGTGGTCGGCGCCGAATTAGAGACTTTGCAGAAACGGATCTTTGAAAAAAAATAACTAAAAACCGATAAAAATAAACGTACAAAGAGTGAACAACTACTAGACGGTGCGAGGAGATGCAGCGATGGGGTTGAATACCTTTTGAAGCGGAACAAAAACGGATAGTAGAAGAATGGTCGGTTGATTTTGTTAAAGATTGAATACCCGGCATTATTGTCGGTCGTATCACGTGTGGTATAATATGTGTGATTTATGAGTAAAACCAACCTCTACACACCAGTCAGTACAGTACCAAAAAAAGTGAACCTTTTTAAAATACCCATATAAAAAATTGTGTTTTTTGTTTATTTTGGTGACAGTGAACTAAAAAATCAAAGGCAAAATCAATAAATAATAATATTAATAATTTCTTGTTGTTTTTGAGGACACATTAAAAACAATTAATTCATATTATATATTATACTTTTTATATAATCTAGACTCAAAGTTAATCGAAATTTACCCCACACAAAAATACACTACAAAAATCAACATTTGATTCGCAAAAAACTCATAAACGAAGCATTTTCGGTTATGCCTTTTTAAATTAGCTTTACAGGATTTATTTTCATAAATTAAACCAGACGTTCTTATAATATTACCTTATTACTAATATATGCCATTATGTGTTCTTTTAGAAATAAAATAACAAATGAAAACTGAGTAGTGCAATGATATTATATGTGCATTGTTGTCGTTAATGGGGCATTTCGGAGGTTTTTGGAGGAACCGTGCCTTTAGTTTTAAAATAGTTATACAAGTAGTGTTATTGTAGTATATGTTTCCAGGTTTTCTTTTGTCTTTTGACAATTAAACCCAGTGGTGGCGCCAGACATTTTTCATTTTCTGGGCAAATATTTTCTTCTGATGGGATATATTTTGGAGTGTACCACAACTACTTAACCGAATATTACAAAACATATTGGTATAAAATTTGTAAGAATATCGTAAGTTTCCTTAAATTATATACGGGCACTGACCCTATAATGTCCCAGTCTAGAATAACCTTATATCTAAATTTATTATTTATAATGACAGTATGGGTTCGAATTTTATTTAGTGTAATATTTCCTCGATTTGGTATGAGTGAGAAATTGAACTTGAAAATGTAGTACTGTATTACCTCAGATAAGTTTTAATAAGTGTATATAAATATAACTGTTAGGTATTTTCTAAGACAAAACTTTAGAACACGTTTGTTCATTATGAATTAGGGAGTGACGGTATAGTGTTTACAAATCAGATATACTGATAAGCGATAAATAGACACAAACTCTAAAGATAAAGGACTGTCAGCCAACCAATAGCTTGTACAATGTTTTTGGGTGGTTGATAAGGATAGGCATTTATTGAATCCTGGGTAATACGCTTGAGGGGTAAACGTTTATAGGTTTTAAAGTATCTTTTTAAATTAATGGATTTTTATTAATTGACACGAACCATATTTGAATCAGTTTTAATTAGTTTAAATATTTAATTAATTATTGTGATGTTAAAATGACTAATTATAATACTTCGTTAATTATGTATGAGAAATACAGTCACGTCTCATCTTATTTTTCAATTCACTCGCACCACGATCTTGCGACGATGGTTATATTTTAAACGT